CCCTCCCCCACCTCGCCCGCCATGAACGTCCTCAAGCTGCAGAAGAAATATCCTCAGTTTCCGCAGGCGGAAATCTATGGCCTATCCGACGCTTTCCGCAAGCTCGATGTCGATGACAAAGGCTACGTCGACGAGGGAACCGCCATCAAGTCAGCCCAGAACAGCGAGCGACAGCCCTACGATGTGGTCCGACAGGCCCTGAAGGAGGTAGAGCTCGACAGCTCAAGACGAGTGGAGCTGGATGACTATGTCGACCTGATCGCTCGCCTGCGACAAAGCAGTCCCGCTCAGCAGCGAACGCGCGGCTTTAGTAACGCTGCTCAGAAGACTGGTGACGGGGCTGCTGCGCCTTCGCCCTCACATGCCAGCAAAGGCAGCATCGGAGGTGGAGCGCAGGCGCGAGCTGGCAGAATCACCGTTGGAGGCTCGACTGCAAGTTCGCAGCACACGATCAACGAGGATGAGCGAACCGCCTTCACCTCCCACATCAACGCCGTTCTGGCCGGCGACCCCGACATCGGGCACCTGCTGCCATTCCCGCTCGACACGTTCGAAATGTTTGACTCATGCAAAGATGGTCTCGTGCTTGCCAAGCTCATCAACGACAGCGTGCCGGACACGATCGACGAGCGCGTGCTGAACCGCCCCGGCAAAAAGATCAAGAGCTTGAACAACTTCCACTTTACCGAAAACAACAACATTGTCATCGAGTCGGCGAAGGGTATCGGGTGTTCTGTGGTGAACATTGGCGCAGGCGACATAATCGAAGTGCGAGAGCACCTCATTCTCGGTCTGATCTGGCAGGTCATTCGACGTGGTTTGCTCGGGAAGATTGACATCAAGCTGCACCCAGAGCTGTACCGGCTGCTTGAAGATGGCGAGACATTGGAGCAGTTCTTGCGATTGCCCCCGGAGCAGATTCTTCTGCGATGGTTCAACTACCACTTGAAGAATGCGGGCTGGCACCGAAGGTATGTGACTGCTCCTTGAAGTCGGGATAATAAATTCTGGTTCCGCGAGATTATGCAGACTTATACTGATTTGTGCACAGGGTTCAAAACTTCTCCAACGATGTCAAGGACAGCGAAAACTACACTGTGCTTCTCAACCAGTTGGCGCCACAAACTTGCTCTAAAGCACCTCTTCAAACGTCCAGTTTGGAACAGCGAGCCGAGCAAGTGCTGCAAAACGCCGATGCTCTCGATCCACCTTGCCGAAAGTTCTTGACACCGAAATCATTATGCGCTGGAAACCCGAAGCTCAATCTTGCCTTTGTTGCCAACTTGTTCAACAACCACCCAGGCCTTGACCCTATCACGGAAGAGGAGAAGGCCGAAATTGAGGACTTTGATGCCGAAGGCGAGCGTGAAGCACGTGTGTTCACATTGTGGCTCAATTCCCTCGACGTCAAGCCAAGCGTTGTATCATTCTTTGAGGATCTCAAGGATGGTATCGTTCTACTGCAAGCCTTCGACAAAGTCATTCCTGGTAGCGTCAACTGGCGACACACCAACAAGCCACCTGCCAATGCCGTTGCTCCTGTGAGCCAGGACGAGGACGAGGCGTACCTCACGATCAAATCCGGCATGTCGAGATTCAAAGCTGTCGAGAACACAAATTACGCAGTCGAGATCGGAAAGCAGAACAAGTTCTCTCTTGTCGGTATCCAAGGTGCCGATATCACCGATGGGCAAAAGACGCTTACACTTGGTCTCGTATGGCAACTGATGCGTCGCGACATCACCAACACTCTACAAGGCCTCGCTCAACGCCTCGGAAAGCGAGAGATCACCGATTCTGACATGGTGAAGTGGGCCAATGACACCGTGAAGAAGGGCGGTCGCAGCTCAGCCATTCGCTCCTTCAAGGACCCACAGCTTGCCTCGGGCGTGTTCTTGCTCGATGTGCTCAATGGAATCAAGAGCGAATACGTTGACTACGACCTTGTCTTTTCTGGGCGGACGAACGAAGAAGCATACGCCAACGCCAAATTGTCCATTTCGATTGCACGAAAGCTTGGAGCGACAATATATCTTGTGCCCGAGGATATCACGAGTTTGCGTTCACGCTTGATCATGACTTTCATTGGTAGCTTGATGGCCACGGCAGAGCGATGAAGGGGAATCAAAAGTTTTTCGAAAAGCGAGATGGTATGAAGAAGTTGATGAGCATGATGATCGGAAACAAGATGCAGCGTTTAGTCTGTGTCACATAGGAGAGCAGCAGCCTTAGCCGCGCTGATGTACCGTGCTATGCTATACTGAACTCCACTTCGTGAACAACAAGGCATGCTCTAACCATTTCCATCTATCATGTTGCCTCTCGCGTGTGTCTTGAATCTAACATCTACTCATCGTGCCTTTCCTCGCCTGCTCAAGCCCATAAAAACGAGACATCTCTGATAATCGACATCATCACCCCTGTCGCTTGACCTTCTACAACGTCTCCCATCCTCCAGGATTCACATCCCCCTCCAACTTCCTGCTAACAACCGTTTGCGTCATCCCGCCCAGCCAAACCTCCCTCACCAACTTCTCATACCTCCTCGCATTCAAAAACAACTGTTGGTGTCTCCTCAACGTAGGATCCGTCTCGCCCCAACGGTCCAGATAAGGCGCCTGCAAGTAACATCCTGAGCAAACCCTCCCATCAAGTGAAGAAAAAGACCCCAACGAAGATCCAGCGAATGCAGTAGAACCTTCGCCATTGCCCGCATTGCCATTGGTCTTGTTCCCTGTGCCACGAATATGCAGGAATAAAACCATACATTTGCGAATATTGATGAATTGCCCGGTTCGCAAACCGTGTTTCATCATATGCTGAAAGCAGCCGCCAAATGTCTTGTCCTTTTTGCAACAGACGGCCTGAGAACAAAAGATCTCGCCGCAGTGGAGACATAGCGTCGGATCGACGAGTTCCTTGCCTGTAGTGGGACATTTGCGTTTCGTGGCTTCTTCCGTTAGAGTGTCGTAGGTCTTGGGAAGGCCAACTAATTCGAGGATGGAAGGGTGTGCGAGGGTGATTGGTTGTGCGTTGGGGTGGTGTGATGAGATGCGGTAATTTGTCCCCAGTGAGGAGAGGGAGTCGTTGGTGTAGCGAATGTCGTTGAAATCGGGGTTGGCAGAGTGGGAAGGGATTTGTCGAGCTTGTTCGAGCCAGCGATGGGTCAGAGTGCGGAAGCATTGGCCTGCTGGTGATTCGGCTACGAAGGTCTGGCAAAGCTCGTTAAGTGAAGGCATGTGCAAATGTCTCGTAAGACGCTCCATTTCGGGCTGCTCCGGATCGAGATTGTAAGGGCAGTCGAATTCGAGGCCATACCGCACCATCATGAGCACGGCGCTCTTTCTGAGGAAGGCAAGCGCGTACTTGTCCACAAGGGTACGTAGGAGCTTTGCTGTCGAATCATCGACAACCTCAGGACCGTGGCTTTGCTCTTCGTTGGAGAACATCATGGCAATAACCAGCTTCCATAATTGCAGCGTTTCGGCGTTCAACGCCGTCATGTCCGGAGCGTGTATCGATCGCCCAGCCGACAGCAGCGGCGCGTAAACATGTACTGTCTTGACAATTTCAGCCCAGAAGCAGAGTTGCAGAATGTTCGACGCCTCCGCTATGTTCGGACCCATGAAGCTCAACCAGTCAGAGAAGAACAGGAAGATATCGTCTTGGAACAGAAGCTTCCCAGCAACGCTATGCAGCTTCACCATCGTATCCTTAGATTCAGTGCCAAAAAGCTGAGCAGTCATGATATCGCGTTTCTTGAAAGTTTCTCTCGCCACGATGTTGGAGCTGGACTTGAGCACATTAAGCGCAAGGAAGCTCTCGATAGTCTCGCTGAGTATTCTCAAATGCGACAAAGTCTGCTCCGAGACATCCTTGACGAGGCTCGTGGCGAACGGATCGGAATGCTCAACCCCACGATGGGCGATCTCCCATGCGCTGACAGTCATGCCTAAAGCCCTAGACAATGCGGCAATGGGGTTTACTGTAGACACAAAACTCCCCTCGGGTGCGTCTGCTCCAGCCAATTGATTGATCTTGATCATATCGTCGATTCTCTTGTAAGCCTGGAAGACGTCTGTCAACCGATTGGCTTCAGTGCCGGGGCTTGTGACATCTGCCGGCCCCGAATGGAATTGTGTGCCGGGCGCGGTAGCCACGTCTCGCCCTCCAGCACCCATACCCAGCGTCAAAGGTCTGGCGAGCAGAGTTGCAGCTGCGCGTAGGGGATGTCGGTTGATGCCAGTGGGGCTCGTGACGGGTGAGTTCAATGTGAGCTCTTGCATTGTCTGCATCAGATTCGGCGCGAGCATGGTGTTAACGTATTGAAAGCTGCGATCCGAATACACCTCTGACACTTGTTGGTATCTCTGATGATAGGCATGAGGGGCAGAGATGTTGTCCAAGAAAGCGAGATTGGCCTGATACTTGTTCGGTATGTCCACCAGCCAGTCGGCAAACTCTGGCTTTGCGTGCACTTCGTGCTCTGCAATGCATTCCTTGACCTTCCAAATGATAGGCAGAAATGTATTTCCTAACGCTTTGCACAGCGGGCAAATGAACTCTCGACATTCGATGCGCTCGGGATGGCTTCGCGCGATTTGTGAGGCGTGACGTCTGTTCGTGGCAGCTTGATACAGCTCAAAGCAGTGCCAGTGCATGATGTGGCCACAACTCGTGCTGACAGGTCCCTTGATTCGGTCTGGTTGATGAGGAAATCCTTTGCTCACTCCCAATCGCTCAGCGGTGTATGCTTTGCCATCCGGGCCATACTTAATATCGGTCTGCTTGTTATTGCCAGCAACGCCGAACGGGCGAAGATGCTCAGCAGACTGATCTAGGCTTTCTGGTGTGTCAAGCACTTCCTGTATGTACTCGTCGTCCTCGACGGGAGTATGTCGAAGAACGGTGCTCTCGCCCAAGAAGGCGAATGTACCGAACAGTCGAGAGTCATCAGTTTCTTCCTGGCAAAGGATACAAGTGCCAGTGGGAAAATTCCAAGTTTTGCGCATCTGAGGGCCGTCGTCTGTTGTGGACATATCGTCACCGAGATCATCGAACTCATCGTCATCCATAGCAAGACCCTGATTCTGCAAGAAACTGTTCTGCTGCGCCTTCATCTGTGCCATAATTTTGGCTTGGCGGGCCTTAGCTTCTTGTTTCTTTCTTTCTTTGTCTTCAGCAGATAATGAGGCAGGAGAGCCTGTACCAGAGCGATCAAGAAGCTGCGCAAGCTGACTACTAGCCGTATGGGCAATCTTGTCTGGGCGCTTGAGTTGCATCTGCCGAAGCACATTTTTGGTAGCTGGATGAGAAGAAGCATATTCGTCCATATTGGCCAATTGGGTCAGAAACGAGACCACACCAGGTCGAGTGTCAAGACCATTGCCCGAAGGATCTTCTTCTTTGTGGAAAGGTGTGTCAACTGCCAAGCTGATGAAGCCACCTTCTTCACCCACATGCGTCTTGTCCTCTAGCACGGCCGCTAGTAGGAGATGCAGCACCATGTGCAAAAACGTCTCCACTCTCGTGACCTGGACCTTGGGTGCCACGTGCTCGAGATTGACAGCAAAATTCAGTGCAGCTCCTAGGATCTGTACGAAAAGAGGCGTCCGTGTGAATGCCGCCAAATCTTTGAAAAGGCCTTCCTCAATGACGGCCAAGCGAGGCTCATACACGACGTCTTCAAGCTTCTTCCCTGTGGCCTTTGCAATGTGCTTCTTCATGACTTGCTCCGCCTCTTCCCGGTGGTTTCGCGTGTAATGAGCATAATACGGATCAACCAGTTCCACATACTCAGGCTTGAGCTGAAATGTTCCCACGTCTGACAAGCCCTCCGGCTGACGGAAGTTGGTCATGCTTTCCAATACCCGATTGAAGTCGTCAGATTCGCCGACCTTCTCCGTCACGCGGCTAGCAAGCTCGGAGAAGGATAGCGGCTTGAAGATCAAAGCATGAGCGATGTCGTGTTGCAGTACTCGGTCATGCTGTTCAGCTTCTGTCAATCGAGGATGCAGGTTGCCACGCTCAGACAGGGCAATAACAAGCAGGTGGAAGAAGTCCTCAATGCAGTCCAGCTGCTGCGCTTCCTCGAACCCAGTCACAACATGATACTTGCCGGTGACCCATTCTCCCATTTGGAAGCGGTCGATCATTTGTGCAAGGTAGCGTTCTCCTGGCAGTTCGTTTTCGCCACCACAGAGTACAAGGCCGGACTGAATCATGAAGATGTCTCGTTGGTATCCGACATCTCGAGTAGAGACGCTGCGATAGGTATGCGCTTGGTGGCGAAGTGTGATGCCATTGCGAACCCACATGCCAGCCTTCATCTGTGCTAGCCACACACAAACACGCAAAGGATGGTCAAAGATGCCGCTAAGCAATTCGTCGGGCGTGAGATTGCTTGGAGCAGGTGCTGTCCTGCTGTGATTGAATGGGTCTTTGAGGTCATCAGGGGCAAAATGAAGCAGCGTTCGAATATCTTCTCGCGTCATGCCCCTCGCGTTCTCCAATAGCCAGGAAAGAAGATAGTGCAGTGGGTGATGGAAGCTCATCGGCTCACTCTGGACGACGAGCTTTGGCACACTGTACTTCTTCTCGCTAGCGTCGAATGGGCCGACCACATGCCACGCCAGGTCGTCACGCAACTCCGCGGCAGAGAATCGCTTCCTCTCGTAACCGAACGCGTTGATCATAGTAACCTGTCCCACGACTCGGATCGCACGATGCAGGTTGGAGTTTTGATCGGCGAATTTCTCATCTGGCGCAAAAGATAAAGCGAGCTCTTTGCACAGCTTGTTGATATCCTTGACAATGAGCTGTGCACTGATCCACGTATCGGATTCGTACTCGACATGATCGCCAAGCGCGCGAATGTTAGGGCAGACGCCTTGGTGTAGCTTGACGAGGTCGAGGAACTGCAACAGGTAGCGAGGCTCCGATCGCACTCGCCAGTGTATGAGCTCTGATCGGAATAGCCAGCGAAGGTCCAGGAAGAAATGGAAAACTCTGCGGTTCGTCACAGTTCCAGCGTCAAAAGCCAAAGTAGCTTTGGGGTGGACGTCTTCTGGAAATCCAACCTGTCTTGTGGTAAGAAAAGTGTAGAGGATTGCCATAAGATTGGTCAGAAAGTTGCCTCGATCGACGACCTCCTGAGTGACGGACGGTGTCGTGAGCAGTTGCACGCTGAGATTGATGATGGAGTGGTCTGGCTCTCTATCCGCAATCAGGTAGAGCTGAGCAAGAGCAGTATACAGCCCGGCGATTCGAAGACCAATGATGCGCTTGAAATGCGGGATTGTCACCACTGTCGTAATGTACAAGTGCCTCAAGCTGATTCGAAGAGTTTTCCACAACCGCAGGTCATAGAGGATGAGATAATCCAACCTTACCCGCTGCCAGATGTCTTCGCAGGCCTCTCTGGGACGAGGCGCCTTGTATGCCTCTGGCTTCTCCAACCAATGCTTGCTTGGTCGCAGTCTTTTTGGAGCCTTCACTTTGGGCGTGCGAGGCACGTTCGGGAATGGTTCGATGGTCGCTGGGCGGGACTGCTCTACCTCGCCGTCGTCGCTATCCTGGGGTGTCAGGACCTGATCGCGCTGTCTTCGGTGGTCTGGTGGAGGTGGCGGAGGTGGATAACCGGCGAGTGTGGCTTCGAGCACTTCGGCACCATCCTCGGCGTCATCCATGATATCGATGTCCATCTCCCCTGCTTCCACGTTTATACGTCGTGCTTGGAGCAGGCGCATTGCATCTCGAATTTCGTCATCTCGGACTTCATCTTCATCGTCGTCGTCCATGTCCTCGTCTTCGTCGTCATTGTCATCATCATTTTCATCGTCGTCATTATCGTTATCGTCGTCTGCATCTTGCACCTCGACATCAAGTCTAATGATGCCAGCGTTCAGCGCTGCGACCAGACCAGGCTGGCGAAAGTGATTGACATAGTTTCGATGCCGCTCACGAGTGACTTGATTGTCCTCAAATTCGTGGTCATCGAGGCCGTTGACGCCAATATCTCTGTTATGATCATCGGCACCCATCCACCACGGCTTGAGGAACTCTTCGCAAAGTGTGGTGCGGAGCAGATTTGAGTCGTCTCCCACAAGGCAGCCAGAAATGTCTGCGAACCAATCAATGATGGAAGCACACATCTGCTCGCGAAATGTGTCTCGCGCGGATCGTATGGTGACAGTAAGCTTCAGCTGCTCGATGATGCTCGACATCTTGATCAGTTCATCCAGATCCCGACTGTAGGTAATGATCGATCGACCGATATTGTCGACTTCGATCGCCTTCTCCAGACCGAATGTTTTGGACTTTGAACAAGCTCTGGCAACCTGGTTCTGCACGTCATCCACAGTGTGCTTCTCATCGTTCCACAGCACGAGCGCATACTCTGGGTCTCTGTCTTCGGGTAGCTCTTCGCCATAGAATCCGCCCAATCGAGAAAGTTGCTCATCCTGTATGATGGACTCTCGAGACTTGGGCAGGCGGAGTTGTTCCGGACTGCAGGAGAAGACATCGCAGAGATAATCAGTGCATCGAGCAATGGTCATGCGGATGGCCTCTACCAGATCCTCGGGCACCTGTTGTCCAGCGGGCTCTTCCTGCTTGTGTTTCCCACTGCTCTTCTTTTCTGGCTCGGCGTCTGCAGTATGAATAGAGCATCGCACTTCTCTCTTCCATGCTTCATGATCGCCACAGTCGCAACAGCCGCTGTTCCCCGGCGAGACCGAAATCATGACCATGTGGCCCTCGTGATCGCTACTCTCGAAACATCGCGCACATAGCACACAGGTGTCATCTGCAGCACACGTCTTACAGGAGTATGTGCTCTCGCCATTCTTGAAGATGTGGCCACACGCAGTGCCCTTGGCCGCTGCAGTGTATTCTGCTCCTTCCACCGCCCCTTGTGCTTTCTTCAACGACCAAGGCTCTGAGCGATCGGGTGGGGTGCCGTTGGGGAAGAACAAGGGGAGATAGTCCTCTCGCCCCGCAGCAAGAGAGGTGAACAGTATCCGACGTAGATCGCAGTCGGCTGCGTGTGTCCATCGGTAATCGAAGTTGGAGGGCTGACGGAGCAGTTCACGATTGAGTGCCTGAGCCGCAGGAGACAATTCTTGTAACATGGTGTCGGCACAAATCGATGCAGGCGAGTAGTCACGTTTGCGCCTCGAGCTCTCTGTTTCCCACGTTGGACGGGCCGCAGGCGAGAGGAAGCGGAGGCTGCGTGGACGTCTTAATGGCTCGAGGTCCCAAGCGATCCGACATGTGTTTCTACGTGTCTGGGATCATGTTTGTCGCGGTTTCCAAACGACGCGTCAGGGGTTCTTTGGCAGGTGCCGTTGCACAAACACTGTCGCGTGTGCTGGAGACTGGAGGTCGAAGTTGCGCGAATCTGCAGCGGGCAACCACCATGACGTGTGAAGCGTCAAATATTCATTCATCCCCTACCTGTTTCTGCTTCACCTGCATATGGGCCTTTTTGCTCACCGGAAGACTACAGCACGCTCGTTGTGAACAGCAAACTCATTTGCAAATAGCGTGAGACACACATGATGACAATCTTCACTCCAGCAGGGAGCCCGAGTGAGACCGACGTGAAAATTCGACATGGTTTCTGCCTCGCCTGGCGCAAGCTCGGCTCTAAGATATGTGTACAGACCGCGGCATCTCAGTCATGCCAATTGCTGAGTGCCATTGTTTCTGTTCTCGAGGCTGGATCGGCGTTGCCGTGGCCTCTTATTGTCGTAGTATAACATGATGCTGCATCCCCCCGTGGTCTCCTTGCTTTTCCGCCCAAGCCTACTCGTCGTCCTCGTCTTCACCTGCGTCCATGTACTTGTGCTTGATGTCCTTCCATTGTCGCTGTGAACGGGTTAGTCTCATCCTGGATTGTGCTTCATGTTGAGACAGTCCCGACGTACGCCCTTGTTTACTTGGTCCCAGATCTTGTTCGCTGTAACATCAAATGCACTGCTGCCCGTCAGTCTCCCTATCCGGCTCGCTTCTCTCCATAGCTCTTACATGTTCGTCGCAAATGCGCCGGCGAAGATTGTCGTCAGAAAGATGGTATTCCTGCAGGTTCCGCATCAGCCAATGCCTCTTCCCATCTGCTTTCCCACTCCGCAGCTACTCAGCACGCCCTACCTCTTGACGATGGAATTGTAGACGGTGGCCAGGATTCCAGACATGGTGCCGGTAGTGACGAGAGTTCGTGGGATACGCGCGAGGAGCTTCCGAGGTGCCTTTCGTGGGTGAAGTGGTGGTGTCGCTAAGGTTGAATGTCGAGATCGCAAAGTCGGCGGCCCAGCCCGATGTGCAGCGGCAAGCCAATCGCAGCATCCAACGATGTCAGACAAAATCCCGCCAGGCACACCACAACACATTTCGCCTACGGGCGACGCGACGACGACATAATGGCGGAGAAGGTCACTAAATCTGGTCGAGTGGTCCTACCTTCGGGCGAATCGATCATTCCATCATCGACCCGAGCAGACGGCTCCGTGCGAAAAGCGATAAAAGTCAAGCCAGGCTACAAACCACCAGAGGATGTCGAAGTCTACAAGAATCGAAGTGCAGAAAGCTGGAAAAATCGCGGGAGCGGAGGCGTGCCTGGAGCCGCTGCTGCGAACGAAGAGCAGAGCATTCCACCACTGAAAGCTGCCGCAAACGCCAAACGACGGGAACGAGAAAAGGCGAAGAAGGCCGAAGAGGCTGCTGCGAAAGCAAAGGCTGAGGATTCTAAGCAGCAGGATGCTAAGATTGCGGAGCCCGTGGACCCAGAGGCAGAAAAAGTGAAGGAGGCACGAAAGCTCGCCAAGAAGTTGCGACAGGCGAGAGAGCTGAAGGACAAGAAAGAGAGCGGCGGTGCACTGTTGCCTGAGCAGTTTGAGAAGGTGATCAAGATCAACGAACTGATACGACAACTGGACAAACTGGGTTTCGACGCGGAGGGAGAGAAGAAGGGCGAAAAGAGTGAAGATGGAGCTACCGAGCAGGACAAAGACCAGCCAGAGAAAGCAGCAGGATGATGAGATTGCAATGGGTTGACGGCCTGATATGGCTCCTGCTATCGGATGTACACCTTCATCAGGACACCTCTTCCACGCATGGTCTCGTACAGACCGAATTCAGTCTCCGTCCGGAAGTTGACTTGGTCCATTTCCACCTCAACCGTCACCGGTGGTGGAGGCGCAACCGTCACTGGCTTCCCTGCTATGGGCTTATTCGACTTTCGACCCCAAAATGACGGCTTTGGCTGCTCACTCGGTCTTTCAGGAAGTGTCTCGCGTATGGGATGCGTTGCCGGACTCCCTCCTAGCTCGGTCAACATCTGGTCTTTCAGCAGTGAGAGTGCTTCATCCTGCGACCAGAACTGTGATCCGTCATGCTGGCCGTCTAGCTGAATCACGATTGGCAAGTCGTCGTCGGAGAAGCCTACGAGCTCCCCTCTCCTGCTAGTCCCCGCTGTACAACATCAGTGAATTACTCAAACCACTTGTACGTGTTTGGCATCTACCTTGGTCTGACGGCAGAATCAACAAAGTTGAATTCGATAATCCATGCTTCGCACGCTCTCGTATCTGGGGCATCAATTTGGACACCAAAACTGCCACATGTTGCGACCGCGAAGCACCAACTTCATCTCTGATGCTCATATGGTGTTTCGTTTTGGTATCGCCATCCCAAATGTCGTTCTCATGCACGACTTCGTCGTACGCTGGAGGTTCCATTGCTGCGAGGTTGGAGCAGACGCCGCCGATGCTGTCGACTATGCGTAAACGTCCGCTGCCAATAGTCTTGGCGAGTTCTGACAGTCCCGCGGAACAAGAAAAGGCAGTGCAAGTTCTCCACAATGCTGCGGCCCCTGCGGATAATGAAGGAATGCACACCTGACCTCTATACGAGATTTTTCGACTGCCTGAGGTTGTCATTTTAAGGCCGCATCTGGATTGTCCGTGAGTCTTTTACTACCTCATTGCAGGATTGAAGCTAGCGCTGTGAGGCCGCCGCGTAGCCGACATGCCACTGTGCTCGCTAGGAACGTGGCTCATGTGGCCAATGATGGTTGTATCATCTGCAATGCGCAACGTCCTGTCGCAGTAGTGCGTTCTTGGTGCCTTCTTCGTGTCTTCGACCAATACTGGCATGGCGAGATAAGTGAAGATTATTGGTAGCTCTCAGCCCTACACCATGGACAGCCGCGCCTCCCCATTGGTACGACACACTGCCTCATCACCTGACTTCTGGGAACGACATCACTCACATCCTTTGTTCCAATTGCACTTGCCGTAATACCGAACGAGCAACATATCTGCTGTGCCGACCTAAGCGTGGTTGCTTTGAGGGCAGCACTGCCCGTACCGGTAGGCTATGACTCTGAACACTTCGCATATATAACACAGTATCTATCTCGCTTTCTGTCTCTTTCAAACCAAGTGCTGCAACAGCATTCAGTGGAGCCACTCCGTCACTTTCATTCAAAGACACTAATCGATCACCCAACATAACCGCAATCATGTGGTTCCACGTTTCAGAGCCCAACACATACCTCGTCGTCACCGGCATAGGCATCAAAGATGTCATCATCGCGAAGAAACGCTTCGTCAAGCCTCTCCAAAAGGTGACGAAGATATCGATCACGCCCTTCGACTTCAGCATGTCGCTGCAAGCCATGACATCGGAGAAGCTTCAATTCAATCTTCCAGCTGTGTTCACCATTGGGCCCAAGAACAATCCAGCGGATCTGAAGAAGTATGCTGAGCTCCTTACTGGCGACTCAGATGGTCATGTTCGCCTGCAGAAGGGAGTCGTCGCCACGGGCGGTAACCATGTCCAAGACATCGTCAAGGGTGTCATTGAAGGCGAGACACGTTCGATCGTGTCGAATATGACTATGGAAGAGCTGTTCAATAACAGGAAGCTGTTCAAGGATCAGGTTGTCAAGAATGTACAGGCTGAGTTGGAAGTGTTCGGCCTGTACATCTACAATGCCAACGTGAAGGAGCTGCAAGATATGGGTGAGTGTCGCTCCTGCTAGCATTGAAGGCTCTTTCTTCGCTCGATTGCGAAGTCTAACAACAGTATATTGGCTAACAAAGCACAGGCGACTCCAAATACTTCGAATCTCTGTCACGCAAGGCTCACGAAGGCGCTCAATCCCAAGCGCAAGTCGATGTCGCCAACGCACGCATGATTGGCCGAGTCGGAGAAGCTGAGAAGGAAGGTCAGACAAAGCAAGAGATTGCAAAGATCAACGCCAAAACAGCAGTTCTTGAGACTGAGCGTAAGGTCGAGAAAGCTATTGCAGACCAGAGGCTCCGCACACGGGAGATTGCCATCGAGCGAGAAATCCAATTGGAGCAAATCAACGCTAAGCGGACTGCTGAAGCGAAAGATGCTGAGTTGCAGAAGGCAGTCGAAGAGAAGAGAGCCGAAATGGAGTTGGAGAGGCTGAGAGCTACTACCGTCACGTATGTTTCCTTACAGCTGGCGCTCTGGGGCGCAAGGACCATCTCCGCGAGACACTCTGACATTTGACTACAGGCAAGCGAAGATTGCAAGAGAATCTGCCGAGCAGAAAGCCGATGCTGATCTCTATACGAGGACGAAGAAGGCTGACGCAGAGCAATACAATCAGAAAGCAGAGGCCGAAGCCATTTATTATCGATCGACTCAGGACGCCGATGCCGCCAACTATAAGCGCATGAAAGACGCCGAAGCTGCTCTCGCTGCCCGGGAGAAGGAAGCGCAAGCAATGTACATTATGAAGGAGCGCGAAGCCGAAGCTATGTTTCTGCAGCGACAGAAAGAGGCTGAGGCAAACTATGTGCTCAAGGCACGAGAAGCCGAAGCCAACTTCCTTGCGAAGAAGAAGGAAGCAGAAGGTCTGACAGAACTGTCGAAGGTGAGTGACCCACATGCCTCCTCGATGCACCCAAGCACAGAGCCATCACTGACACAACTCCCACTCAGGCCTACGACCACCTCGCCAACGTCATGGGTGGTCCTCAAGGGCTCATGCAATTCCTCATGCTCCAAAACGGCACCTACGAGCGTCTCGCCGCCGAAAACGGCAAAGCCATCAAAGGTTTGCAACCCAAGATCAACGTCTGGACAACCGATGGCGCCTCGAGCGATGCGAGCATGGCGCCCATCCAGAACCTCTTCAAGAGTCTTCCTCCCCTGTTCTCGACGATCCAGGATCAAACGGGTATGATGCCGCCAAGTTGGATAGCTCAGATGCCAGCGAAGGAAGTAGACACGATGCCTGTTAAGGAAAGCAAGCTTACGAATGGCGACTCTCCTTGATTGAGATTTGCTTGGAAGCTGTAATTGCAACGGTCAGAGCTCATGGCTTGACTTTAACTGACTGCTTTCTTTCATTTGTGGAGTTGAGGAGATACCTATTTGCTACTATCTATCTAATGTGTCGGATCTTTGGAGACATCATGAGCCTTTCCTATACGACAAGTGCTATGCTGTGTAATATCTATAAGGTATTGGAAAAATTGACAGCTGAAATCGGCCAAGGTGAGTGACGAGATTTTGGACCGTTGCCATCGTTCGTGGGTCGAAGATTCGACGATGGCGTGGCATCAGATTCGCTACATTGATCGGATGAGTACCGATCCCAGGAGTCGCAACACTACCCAGCACTGTTGCCATAGCCACAAAAGCGCTTCCGGCTCTTGAATGTACCAAACTTGTTTGCAAAAAAGGAGGATTTCTCAAAAAATGACTTTCTTTTGTGCAGTATCGTGATCGTTTAAACTTGAATGAACATGAACAGCCCAGCTCCTGCAAACGAATGAACGAGTTTAGTGCCACTAAGTCGTCTCACCAGTAGCCAGATTCTCCTCCCTCTCAGTCTGATGAGGTGTGACACTTTCGAAACGAACGATAGCCAGCCTTCCCATAGTCCAAACATCACAAAGATCCCCCACCCATCTTCATATCCACCTCAACCGTTACTCAACACACTTCCTTTCTTCTTCGCCGCCCCTCTCTAGATTCAATCTTGAGCTCCGCAGAAATTGACAATATCATTCTCGCCGCAAGGTTCGGTCGGAACGTCATTGTAACAAGCTCCGTAACATACGCCCGGATCACAGCAATCGCTGCAATCGTCGATTTGCGATACGTAGCGATCAGCCGTATAAGCGGCTTGATGGTTATGTCGAGCTTTGATAAAGCCTTTGCCGACAAGGTCCGGAATAGCCATGGCGGTTGTTGCCAAGATGGTGATCAACATGATTGACTTCATGTCGAGAATGAGTAGATGTGTGGGAGATCGAGGTTAAGGTACGGCGTTCGTGGACGACGTTTGTGGAGTACCGAAGAGATTGCTGATGGTTCGCTCGAGAGGAGGATTGAGGTTGCTATGATGTTTCCAATCAGTCGATCAGAGGGACATTCCTATACTCACAGCACAGTCCATTAAAATTGACAAGCATAAGTCTCGTAGGCTGAAGCTTTTCCTGGAGACCAATCGCAGATCTCATAGGCAGCAGGCAGGATGGTTCTGCTATGTCGACCAACAGCTTGTTTGCTTTCAATTCGCGCACCCGCGTTTCATCGACCGCGCGCGGACGCCGAATGCGGCAATTCTGTCATGAGAGTTTCAAGCCTCCCATGCTTCATGGTCGACTCTTGATTAATTTCATGTTGCATGAGACAGACACCTTTCTGGGCTAGCATGGACTGGCTCTAGCTAACTTGACCGTCTCCCAAATCTCATGGTGGTCGAATCGTGAGATGATTGTATCCATTTGCTGGGAGGAGATTGGGAATCTAGAATACAGCAACACCTTCAAACATCGAACTATTCCCAATGAGATCGGGGAATGCAAGCTGTACACGACAACTATGTAAAGAGACCATAGGCATCGCTACACCTACATCGTACAGAGTGAGTGTCCAGCGGTACGACTTGCTAACTTGGCCTTGCAAAGAATGATTCGGTGCTTGTAGACTCGCACCTGTACAGCCATCTGCCGAGCAGCTTTTCAGCCCATTTCCGAGTCCTCCTTCCATCTCCCCCCTCCCAACCTCTTCTGCACGTAATTCTTGCTTGTACTCAAACGACCGTGATGCATTAAGATGATTGTGTACTTTGGCCCGACGAGATTCCACCTTCACTATTTTGGATTGCAAGCCGGATAGTCCCATCCAGGCTCACAACTTCCATCGGGTTTCTCGAGATCGCATTGAGTGTAGCAGCTGCCCGAGCAGCAGCAGCTGCAGTCGTTGCCTGTTGGTCGATCAAAGTCAATTGTGCATGGAATATTGGGGTCGCAAGCCATAGCAGTAGCCACCATGGCGGCCATGAGGGCGATCAAATTGAATGGATTCATATTGTGCGGTGGATTGTTGAGTGTTGATGGTTGCCTTAGACCTGACCAATTTGTTTGAACTGAGCTTAGAGAGGTATATTTGAGTCGTTCTGTGCTTTGATGTCAGACGGTGAGACAGCAGTTCATATCTCCAGTACTTCCAATTCCGCGAGTCGTCGTGTACAGGTCGTCATCTGTATATGGAAAATGCACCACGTTGCGTGTAGGGCTGGTTACGAGCGTCCCCGCTCGGATACTAGATCTTGGTAAATTGATTCGTCAACTTCTCCAGGCTCTGCATTCTTTGCATGTGAACACAACGCACTGAAGATGGTTACCTAGTTGACGGAAACTCACGCAATTCTTGATCAGAACAGTGCACACTATCGTGGGCTGCTTCGTGACTATCAATAGCAAGCCTTCGTGAACTGAGGACTTCTCCGAGTGTTCCGTCTACCTGGACGGCGGATGTCTTAGAGTTGGTGTTCATATATAGGTCTGACTACGTTGTTCATTAGTCTTACTACTTGCAGTAATACTTGAATGCCAAGAGGTAAGCTTCAAGATCCAGGATTGGGGGAGCCAAGGCTTGAGACCAACATCAGAAGGAAGAAGAGCGAGTATGGCATTCATGGCGAGTTCGATGAGCACTGAACGCTGTCTGTTTGAGGAGGGACCAAAACACGCTGAGCGAAGTGCGATTGATGATATCTCGTAGAGCGAGCTTGCCAGAGCGCTCAATCGGGGCATTTGCTGTAGAAGCCAAGCACTCGTATCGCGCTGACATCGGAGGTCGCGAATGAAGAGTGTTGCGAACAGTTCGTATTGCTTGCGAGGAAGGCTCTCTTGCTCTCATCGGATTGAGCATGGAAGGTGGTGGCTCTAATTCCCTTCGCAATCCAAAGGCAAGAGCGTGCCTTGGCAATGCAGCATAAGGGCACGAGCCGAGCAGGGAGGCCAAACCGTCGTCACATGCATGCCGCCTTTGAAACAGAGCAGTAGGAACTTTGTCTGGAAGCATTCAGCGAGCGTGAGTTGCATGGTCGATGACTATGTGGAGAAGCCACTCTCATCGTCCAAAGGCTATTCCAAAAGCTCTTCCATGACCACCATATTCGCGGAGTCGTGATCAACGCTCGCCCGATTTCAGAATGAATGTATGCTTGTCCGTCAGGTACCCATCTCCATCCATCCCATCCCATCCTCCCTTCTACTTCGAACTCATTCTCGTCTTCACAGCAGCTTCTTAGGTGCACAATGTCTCTAAATAACCCTCTTGGCAACCCTTTCCTGTCTTGATGTTTTGAAGATGACAGATGTGAGAACAGTGCTTCGAGCAGCAATTCGTGCAATCGTTGTAAGTTGGTGTAATGCCCTGTGGTGCGCATGGGATTTTGGCTCGAACCACGAGAGCTTCGTCCACGGGGTTGGGGATTGCCAAGGCGGTTGCTGCGAGAGCGACGAGTAAGGTGAATGGCTTCATGTTGAGAAGAGTCCCGGAGAATCGATTTCGAAACCCATAAATTGGCCGGATGTCTGCCGAGATGCTTGTTGGTTGTAAATGCTGGAATTGTCTCTTCTGGTGGTCTTGTGGCTTCAAAGTACACAGTCATACATTCATGACTTTATATTCTTTCTCTCAGCGCGCTCCGTTCATGGCATGGAGTCCTTCAAGTGCACACGGCAACCGTACGCGTGGTGTTGGTATGTGATTCCAAGTTTTAAGCCTTCATGTGTGCGCAGTGATTCGTCAAGACCAGCTAACTTTTCGTTCTGCAGACGTATACGAGATGTTGTAGGATTCTCCCTCCTGGTGATGGACGGTTGCGTTGTGTTTGGTACAGGATAGTGCCGACTTGCACAGATTGCTAGGTAGCTATCAATAGGGTGGCTTGCGACAATGGGCATCTCCTCGCGTGATCCGTTGGAGCACTGATCAAATCCTCGTCTTGTCAAGTCGGCATTTGTACGGAGATCTTGTCACTATTCCGGGCATCCGGTCGAGACCTCTTCTCGTATCATCAGCATCGGTCAGAAAAAAGCAGCTTTTACAGTTGGAGTATAAATTGCTCAAGCTTATGGGTTTCCAGACTCCACGTCCAGACTTCGCCAATCCAAGAGATAAGACCGAAAGCAGGAAAGCTCTTCATCAAGTCGCGAACGGGCTACGGCCGTCGATGACTCGACGTAATAATTGATCAGGGAGCGCGATCTGAATACTGTACAAACAGAAGTCAAGATATTGGAGGTGCCGCGTCCCATCCATCTCGATGCCCTAACTCGACCATCGTTAGCACATAGCATTAGCTTTGAGGAGGATCTTTTGTTGGCAGTATTTGGTCAATGCAGAATTGAGGCCCAGGCGTGTCGCGAATTTCCACATTGGGACTTGGCGCTTGAACTCTCAAGGACTGAGAGTGCTAGCCGAGGAATGTCCTTCACCTACACAGGTTCCGTAAGCTGATTCCATCAAATCGTGCACATACATGACGCCGCTGCGCAGAACACTGTGAGGATCATACTCCCGAGTCGCTTGAATCAGTTTGCGCTGCCATCAAGCGGGTTTCTGCAGTCTGTCCTGCACTGGCGATGGAGATGCGAGGGGATGTTACACTCTTTTCTAGCTGCGATTCTAAAGTAAAGAACTCGATTGTGCAATTCTGAATCTGGCTTGTGAGAGCATTGAACGTGTTGGCTGAGGAAACGCATGGATTGCTCTTGATACGTGAGTGCACTTCCAGGTTAGTGCACTTAGGGCTCGTCCCACACAGGGTAAGTTTTTCGTTTATTTGAAAGCCGTACTTCCCTTTCTTCGAATTTCCTTTCCTTCATACTTCCCTTTCTTCGTACTTTGCTTACAAGCTCGAGGTCAGCGCTCCATTGCGAAAGAATGGCGCAGCTTGATACGATCCGCTCGAAGAATCTGACCTCCAAATTGTGAAGCGGCGATGGCTGCGTACTGCATCGGTTCTGCGGTTTTCAGGATCTTGGGGCCACGAGATGGCCGGCTTCAGGCTGACATCAGATGGTAGGAATGAAGTGAGCTAGACCTATGAGCTTAATATGTTCCAGGGAGCAGTGGGTGACGGGGAAGGGGATGTCACCGCAACGAGCCGTGTGTCTGAGGGCAGTGCGGTGCAAACACGAGCTCGTGGAGAAGCTCACCAAAAGCGGGAATAACGACAGAGGCAATGCTGTTTGACATGCGCAGCAGAGCAGTGTCGCATGCGCCGAAAAGATGGTTCCAAATGATGCTCGTATTGAGCAAGGCCAGTTCGCCTCTCATCTGCGATGAAGACGACGCGATTCAGTGGTGGTGGTCCATGTGGTCATCACGTGCAGTGCACCTTCTTGAAACAGACATGATGGATGACGACCGGTGCTGGCCGCCACTGCACGTGGAGGAGACGAACAAAAGCTATACTTCTGGTGGCAGCGCCATGTGTCTGTGTCCGCGGCACTCGTTGAGCATCGCGCAGACACACCGCTGGATATTCGCCTCAGCACTACACACCAATTGGTCAGCAGTTGCAGTAGTTCAGCAAGCAACGTGGAGGCTCACATAATGTCGGCATCGTGATGACATGAGATCCCAAGCGCACAGGAAGACGAATCGTGTGGTTCACGAGCGCCACGATCGACGGCAGACCAGGGAATATGTCGGTAGAAGGTGATTGACAGGGCGATGCTGTCTCATGTATGGCCGCAGCACCTGCACACGTGCGCAAACAGAAAGGTGTCGATTTGAGAGGTTAGAGGTTAGGTGGATGGAGTCGAATCTGGAGGTACGGAGGTACGCAGGATGCATGGTACCTGGATTGGCTGCGTCTATGGCCCGACGCCGTGTATGTAGCTATCGACGCCGACACCAGGGGCGCGCATACGGCGCTGCAGACAGTGCAAGACCGAGGGAGGAGTGTCGGTGACCGTGTCGAGTTTGCAGCCTTCTCTGCATCAGCATCTCTCCCCATCAACGGTGTCGTTCGGTGTTGCTGTTGCAACGGCATGCTCTATTGAATCTGGAGAAGGACGTGGGTGAGTTCTGGCGGGCGTGAGTGGGTGGCGCGCGGAACGAGAAAGCTTTGGCAGCAGGTCGGCACGCGCCTCTTGGGCTGCAAGGATCCTGCTTCAAACACCCCTGTCGCCTGAGACACCCTGAACTTCCACCACGCCAGCAGACGCTGCGCCGAGCATTCGACCTCTGATCATACCAGCGCCCACTCCCACAGTGCATGATCGAGGGGCCTTCTTTGACGCGTCCGTCACCCTCCTGCGTCGGCACCATCAACGGCAGCGGCATCTACGACTACGCCGCTCTTCTCACCGGGACCCATCCGCGGTATATCTTCAGGCACACGAGACTCCGCCGGCATTGCCCTGTTGAGCGCTGCCCGTCATTGAGCGATTGACGCCATACGCACTTGGACGAGTCAGCCATTGAGCCGTGATCGAGTCGACCGACTGCATTACTGGCGTCAGAGAAGCAGTGCTGCGACGTGCTATACTGACCTGCTCACCCAGGAGGAGCATCACCATCGATATCGACAGAAACCCTCCCACCCACCGCATCATCCGCCGAGGAGGAACAGACACATTGTATCCATTATTTTCTGGGAAAGAGGCTACCGTGGTGCATGATCATGAGCATGCAGAGTGCTTGATCGTGCAGCACAGTACAGGACGAAGAGGACGCGACTCACCTTTTTGCTGAGGTCGTGCCACAACACACATGGTGGAGACGGAGCGTCAGTGACTAGCCGCCGTTGCACAGAAAAGGGACCGCCCTCGGGCACCACGCGCTCCCATTGGGGCTGGTGATACGTGATCGCAACGCCGACGACTCCCTTTTGGGCCGCGGTGCAGTGGCTGTCTGCTCCACGAGTCGCGGAGACGTGCAGATCGCATGAGTCTGCGAACTTCGCCCGTGTTGCACTCAAGCCGCCCAGGGTGGACACAGTAGGGCTGCAGCGGTCGAGGGGCTTCCCGAGACTCTGCTCTGCTATACCAGCGCCGTGCTATTGACGACGTCGTCGACACCACAAGGTTGGGCCCTCTCACTGTCGGGCGTGCAGGCGCTGTGCGGAGATCGTGGGCGACGTGAAACACCATGCAAGTTTCGCCAGCAGGCCCGTTTGAAGCCCGCTCTGCCGTGCCTGCATCCTCGCCTTCCCTGCTCGAACACCAACTCCAGACGCACCGACAGGACAACCGCTCCACCTCGCTCTCTTCCGGCTCCGTCTCGACCATCAAGCGCCCAGACTCGCTGTCCCGTGCACCCGACGACTTCGACCACACAGCACTACGTTCGCGCCACTTTGGCCGCGATGCCTTGACCGCGAATGATCATCAACGGAGGAGGAGTGTGGCAGTGGACCGCGACACCACCGACTACCTGCGTGCGCAATCCGCAGCAGCAGACCCTTCCCAGGACGACAACGCTTCGGGCCCGGGCTCAGTCAACCGCTGGTCTCACTCGACCTCCTCGAGCCTGGCCTCACTCAGCAACACGCGACGACACCGCTCCAGCAGCGGTGCCGTGCTGAGCTCCCTGGCAGGCCAACAGTACCAGTCTCCGCGCCGCGCCGCCCCTGTCCATGCATCCCCCCAGTCCAGTCCGCAGCGGAAAGAGGTGACGACGTCCCACGTCTCGCCATATTCCAGTCCTGAACGGAGAAGAAGACCATCGAGACAGGACGGCACTGGATCCTCACTGACGGCGCTCCCGCTTCTCCATACCACGCCTGCTCTGACGGACCCCAATGACACTGAGTCGCCGTCGACCAGTTCACAGACCATTGCCACACCCTCCGCGACATCTCATCCTCAGCACGACTATTTCGATGCTTCGTTGTCCGCGTACGGCATGGCCAAGCAGAAGCGCATAGTCACAGTACGCAGTCCTTCAGCGCCTGTAACGATACCGCCACAGCCAGTACGTACAGTGCCCGAGGCAGGCACCTCACAGCCCGACATGTCGGAACGGAGCCACCATCATAGACACAGAGCGTCTGGGAGTGGTAGTCATGCATCGAGGAAACCACGAAACAGGGAGCGGACGGAGAAGGATAAGAAGTCCATGCTTTCCAAAGCATTGCAAAAGGCGAATACGGCAGTCTTGTTGGACAATGCGCAGAACTATGAGGGTGCGCTGGAGGCATATGGAGATGCTTGTGATTTGCTGACGCAGGTCATGGCGCGCACCTCGGGTGAAGAGGACCAGCGAAAACTGGACGCCATTCGTGTGACATACAGCAACCGGATGGAGGAGCTGAAGTTATTGGTTCAGGAGCAGGCTCACCCGAGCGATGAGAAGGACCTACCTGCGCGACCGATGAGTGATGACGGAGCATCATCGCCGCCGCCCATGAGCCCCATGAGCGGGTCATTGGGCTCACATTCTGCAGGAGGAATGCTGGCTGAGCCTGCTGGCCGCTCAACTGCGGCTCCTCGAATATCATACCAGCACAATGATCGCGACAGCTTTTTCTCTCGGACAATGGCCGCCGTGGAGAATTCAACAGCCTACGACGAACCAACGAAGGACCAGTCACCTCCAGCGAATGCGCAGCTCTCCTCGACAAACGGCCATGCACGAGATCCCTCGATATCACTCGCCCCACCCGAGCATGCCGAATATATGCCCCGACCACTATCGCCGCGGCGGCCGACTGAGCGATCGCCGTTGACTTCAGCTTACGCATATAAGGCAGAAAAGCCATGGCAAGCGACGGAGCCGGCACCTAGTGAGTCTTCAATGGATGATCGAGAGCCGGTGGAGACCAAAGATTCGACATCGTGGTTGGATCCAGTGGACGAGCCTGGCTCCTCCCGCTCGGCTTCCGTGCATTCCAGAGACTCATATCACCAAGGCTCGCGCAGGAAGCACTTGAGAGACCTCAGTGGGGAGACAGATCCTGGATTCGACGAGGCGTTTGACGCTGCGGTGGAGGCTGCGTATGATCAAGGCTTGGAGCCAGATCTTGATTCACGGCGTAGGCACTTGACGACGAATAGGCAAGGCAAGCACAACGAATCAGTTCAAGTGCCCGCATCCGAGATTGCGGAGATCATGCCTGGCCCTTTCCAATCGGCTCTGGCGAACACCGAGCAAGACGAAGAAGACCAGCGCATATTGGATGAGATCACCAACGACTTCGGGAGTGAGTTCAATTTTGGAATTTCGTCCAAGTCTGCCTTGCCACGTCAGTCCGACTCAAGTTCCTTCTCGCGGAGCACGTGGCAGAGCTCACAGGTTTCGTCGCGGGATACCGCTGCGTCGTCTCTGGCAACTGTATCGGAAGACGTGTTGGGGAGAGGCATGTCAAAAGCTGCGGCTTTGAGGGAAAGTGCAGCATTGCCGGCTTCCGTAGCGCCTCCGCGCGCTTCATTGCCACGACCAACGAGTTCGAGCGATCGTCGTGCCTCATCTAATGTGCGTAGCCGGAGGTTGTCTCAGGCAAAACAGCTCAAGATTGAGACCTCTGTGCCGCCCGAGGGCCGCAAGAGATCATCTACGTTCAACACCGGCAGAAGTCCCATGCTTCAAGATGAAGAGGATGATGCAGAACTCAGAGCCAGACAGCCGAGCAGCAGCACTGCTGGCGATCCATCCCACGAGCATATGTTGCGATCCCCGCCATCGCTGGATCTGCCCACAATCACGAATGATGATGACCACACTTACGATAACACGACAACATACAACCACAGACCGAGTTATGAGGAGGCACCCAGTGACTTGTCTGGAGGCGCAAGGCCGTTGCTTTTCCGGAAGAACAGGTCAACAATGAGTTTGCGGGATCATTCTCAGCATACAGTGCTACTGGCCTCTCCCGATCCCGAAGCTTTTGCCTCAATGGCAACACCCATGAGCTCGACGTTCATGAGTTTTGCCTCAAAGAGGAATCACAGTCAGAACCCACTGACTTCACAACGAGCGAATTTCCCATCCCTGGCACACATGTCCTACGATTCTCAAGTCGGGGGTGGCATACATCTTTTCGATACATCCTTGTCAGGACCACAGGCAGCGCTCTCGCCACTCTCGCCGCGGTCGCCAAGCCAGGCGCAGCCCACCAGCCTTGAGCCTTGCCCAGAGCCTTTCCTTCTGCGGCCATTCTGGTTGATGCGTGCCCTTGCGTCGACCATCGTGCATCCACGTGGTGGATTCCTGACGGAGAAGCTTTTCGTACCCCGCGAAGTTTGGCAGACGAGAGGTGTCAAATTGAAGCTTGTCGAGGACAAGGTAGCCAATTGTGACCTCCTGACTGCCGCATTGGGACGCCTGGCCAATGTGAACACTTTCGATGCCGATGCCGTCAAGGCAGAACTGGAAACCTTCGAAGAAGTCATGGACCGTGCTCAGGCGGCATTGGCCAAGAAGTTGGGAAGCGATGTAGGGCCGCACGGTGTCACGGGCATGTTCAAAGATGCCTCAGCCGCGAACGTGACGTATACTGCCGGCAACAGTCCGTCGGATACTAACGCGCCCGCCGACAAAGCTACAAAGAGCAATTCGGGTAAGAGCTATTTGACTTCCTGGCGCAAGCTACGCAACAAGAGCTCTGGTGCACCACTATCTGGAGGTGGTGTTGCCTCGGTGGCTGCCAACAACAAAGATGGCGGGAAAGAACAGCATACCATGCAATCGGTTCCGATGACCAGCTTTGTGCCCGTGGAGCGACGAGGCAACAAGAGAGAGGCACGGAATCTGGTGTTCGAGGGTCCAAACAAGGATTATATGGGCTCCCTGGCTCGGCTGTTCGACGGCGTGCAAATACTCGGTAAGTCCACATCATCCGCCTGCTATGCTCAGCCCAGACATGCAGCAGACCGCCACTACGTCTACCGACTGTAACCGTCCTTACCGCCTCGTACGACGCTCGACGCTATGTGCGCGGGTCAGACGGGCTCGGAGAGGTGTGCGTGGTGCGGTGTTCGTTTCGCTTGCATGGCTTGCAGCTCGGCTTGATGCACGTCATTTGGGCTGCGGGATCCACCTCGCTAACGTTTTTATCTTCTCACTATCACAGATCAAATCGCACGTCAGGTCGAAGACCCCGGGCTCAAGCACTCTTCGCCAACGCACGTCGGGCTCGAACTGAGCATTCGCCACGCAGCCGAGTTCTTCGGATTCTATGTTTGTCGGTTCGTGCTCGCGGATCTGACGCAGTTGATGGACAAGTACGTTAAGCGAGGCACCGAGTGGGTTCTCGCGTAGAACATTTTAACAACACATCACGACGACGAAACAAGCGCTCGACAAATCACTGGCATGCTCTCTTTTCGCACGCGAATCCGACGTCGGTGGTGCTCCGCGGAGACAGTCTGGGACGGGTACGCCTGTGTGCACGCGAGTGCATCTGATCACACATCAAGCCTTCTTTTGATTTTTACCATTATCGATATGCGTCGTTCCTTCTCGCCCCAGCCGCATGCGTGACGCGATGCATATGTGTGCGTGCCGCGCGCGTGTGGCGTGAGGATTCATTCTGCATATGAAGCAAGCAAGCAACACCAACCACTTGGAACCGACAGTTTTGAAAGCTTTAACAGGGGAACGACCAGCGAATGTTACTAATGACCCAGCTTCTAAGAACTGAAGAGAAATTGTTCTCCATCTTGGCCCATGGCAATCAAGAAGCATGAAAGCACACCGCGCAGTAGGGGTTGCATGAAAAGACGAGATTCGCTCACATCCGGGGTGAACGAGGTGGGAAACACGGAAAGTACAAGTGAGGAAGGAGAAGGCAGACTTGAAGATGTCAAAGACGACGATGCAGAAAGCTGAAAGTTCCCCCCTTCCGATCACAGCAGGAAGTTGAGGAGGAAACGTTCCAAAGAGAGCCGTGAAGAACGCTCACTATTAGACGCGAAATTTTTGTTGTTATAGTTGAAGTTATCGATCTTCATGCTTATATGGGAGATCAGTCAGGCAGGCAGGGACAGAAAGAAGGGAAACTAGAGAGACGATGTGAGGACCTGCTAGAATTTGATTTGGTGTTTTTTGATATCCATTGCACGATACCAAGGGTCGTTTTGAATTCTGTCTATCTATCTATGCATCCATCAATCGCTCGCTGTGTCTGTGTCTCTTGCTCAATACTGCCCCTCCAGCGTCTTCTAGGATGCCAAATTTTGGTTTCTCAACTGATGTTTTTTTTCTTTTTTGCTGCCCGAGCAGTGAGATTGATCGTCGTTGAAGCTGCAAATCCAATCAATCTGATAATATGCAACAACGATCAGATAAGACGCCAGATTTTCGTCAAAGTGCAACGAGAGCAAGTCAAGTCGTGCATAATTTCGATTACCATTTCTTCTCAGACAAGGTGATTTCATCGGCACCTTCATTTTGACTTCTACTCATGTCAAATGTGATGAGATACCAAGACCTATATTGATGCGCGTACTTCGTACTCGGTCTACATGAAACATGTCATCCAAACTTCTTTCTGTAGTAGCTCAGACTTTGCTCCAACGTTTCTGCATATGGTATATGCATAATTTGCCTGACATATTGATATCTGTCCCATTCGGCTGGGGGACCTGTACCTCGTTTCTCATTCCACGCGATGAGCGATGCCATCTCACACTTTCAACTGATCGCATACTGTGCGTACGGGTTTCGAAATGAGCGGGACAGTCAACTGACAAGATGAGTCCGTCGCAGTTCCGAGAAATCACCTTAACGTTGGTATCGCGTTTGACTTCCTCTTTGAGACTTTCGTGGCTTCAAACATGCTTTCCACCACAGATCCTGCGATATTATATTTGCTTCATATGATATCCCATGTCGCCATTCACTCGTTTCAAAGTCCAGACAAGATCCGACTTTCCTTTGTGCCCGAACACTGTCGGCGACGTGGTTGATGCCTAGAAATCGGCAACGATGTTTTCACTCCCGACGTGGCTTGCTTGATGAATTGACTCAATTTGCATGTGCCAAGCCCGGACGTTGTACAGCGCCGGATTGATTTCGAGGGTTGACATTCTTGCATTCGTGTTCTGGAAAATGAGGCGAAGTTGATTTCAGAGACGGCTCGAAGCTGGGATGTTCCTTTTGGTATCACTATCGAGGTCATCCTTGCTTATCCAGAGATGCTTTATCGTGCACGGCTAGCCATCAACGGAGGACGGTTGGAAAGACCAGGAATGCCTCACTTTGGAAGTTGCAAGTTTTGCCGATGCCGGCGATATATTCCGTCTTTGTGGATGATTGGCGAACGACCGTTGTTGATTGGGTGCAAGGTCACATGCTGCAGTTGTTTTGGGCGGCAGTGGTCACCAGGCAGTCGATGGTCGACGATTGAGTGACCGACAGCATTGCTGCGAACGACGGTGTCATGTTGAACATTCCAATAGGGAACTGTCGTTGCTTTCAGACGGTCCGTTGTAATTCAAGGAGGACTGCTGTTTCTTCGTTTGATGTGTTTCGGCCGCGGCTTGGTCGAGTTCTTGTCGGATTTACGTTTTGTGATTCGAGTAGAAACCTCGTCGTGAGAATGACATCGATCGGGCTGGACGGGTGGCTTCTTGGTCTTCTGATGGGCTAGGAAGTGTGTGATGTCGTTGGATATCGATTGCAAGAAGTCGCCGTAGTAAGCCCCTTCTTGGGTTGTGGTGGTATTGTCGTCGACGGTATGGCTGCTCTCGTGCATGACCTGGAGCTGCTGGGAGATGTCGTTCAACTTGGCTTCGCGGTCCGTGTCGAGACGTGTGGATTCTTGTTCGTGAGCACACATGGGTGGTGTCGAGGGAGGGAAGGCTGTTGGAGGTGAGGGACGGAGGGATGGACGGAATGGGTAAGAGGCAGGAGCAGAAATAGGGCGGCAGAGCAGGGACGACGGATGGAGGGAGAGATGAGGAAGGAGGAAGGAGGAAGGAGGAGCGAGACCGAGATGGTGCGGCAGTCGTGGGCGTGTGTGGTCTGGTCTGGCCATGCAACGTGCACGGCATTGGCAGCGTAGATATACTCTGCGCCCGCATAGCCTGGTCGAGCAGCGCAATGTCCTGAGCTGGGCACGCGGCCATCCTGGCGGGCGAGCAGCACTACGCATCGCCCAGCAGCTCGTCTATTTGCTTTGCGGTAGGCTACAGAGACACCAGGCGAGGTGTGATGATCTGAGCGCTGGCGGCACTTGCGGTCCTTAGCGAGCACAGTCAAGCTTTCGCAGGTGAGATCGCTTGCGGCGGATGCAGGGAAGGTTGCAGACACGGCCAGCATCATCAGCAACGAGAGGCAGAGAGAGGTGGACCTCCCGCCGGCGTGGTAGCGAGGCGAGCGCGCAGGCGACGTTTCATCGTGCACGCTCGCCGACAATGGACGATGATGCACGTCGCTTCGCCGTCGCCCGTCTCACACACCGTCTGCCAGCGCTCATCATTGCACGCGCGCACTCGAATAGCGGACCTCTTCCGGAGACAGAGGAAGGGAAGTGAGAAATCGGATCTGCGCTCCAAGCGAGCCCTCCTCCCACGTCACCGCCTCGGCGCTGCACCCGGCCGGCCCTGCGACTACGACGACCACTGCTCTTCTCACCCGCCAAGACGCTGCTCCCAAGAGATGCTACTCCCACTGCCACCGCCGGACGTGCTACGAGCAGCCTATACCAGCGACGCCCAGTCTGCAGGCTCGGCATATTGCAACCTGCCAAGCCATCGGGCGTATTATGCTGCTCATCAACGACTGAATATTTCCTGCTCGTCCGTAGATCAGCAGCGCCTGCGCCTCGTGTCGACATGGGGATCGCGAGAGCGATGGATGGAACCATGAGCGCGGGCGTGGTCGTGATGTGCAGAGATCCGGTGCCTCCTTCCGGATCATCCTCAGCCCATCCCATCTTCACCCTGGCGCTAGGATAACCGCATGCCGGTCTTGCAACTGTCAAACCCGGTCTGGTCTGCTTGTCTGCGCATCGCAAGCCGCATATCCGCGGACACCGCGACCGTGCGCTCCGACGTCACCACGACTCTGAGATGCAATATTGCCATATTGCCATATGTGCCTGCAGTGCGTGGTCGTGTTGTTGTTACAGCAAGACCCTTCAGGTTAGTCTACGAAGAAGCTCGTACAAAGCTCACGCCGGAGGGACGTGATTCCGTGTTTCTACGCGATGTGATTGGTGCCCCAGCATGAACTATCCCTCGTCACCAGCATCACCACACTTCATAATGAACGCCCTCGTCTGCACTCGCCAGGCCAGCAACGCACCCTCCTTCACCTCTGTTGCGTGCGACTGACAATCTCATCACTTCCACCACCTCAGCCTGTCGTCTTCCGCAGTGGAGAAGGACCACTGACGACCCAAACTACAGCTTCTGGACGCTGGCCGCCACGACGTTCCGGCCCAGATTCGCCCGCTGCATGTCCACCACACGAATCGTGTTCTGGCCCGCCACATAATACATTACTCGCCGATCGTCCCTCACCGTATTGCTCTATACATTTCACAAATCCGTGGAGATATCGCGCGAAGCCCTCGACTATCACCGCGCAACCGCACATCACTCGGCTCCCACATCCGTCTTGGTTCCTGGCGGGGAGCAAACCACGATGGGCCTCTCGTATCTTGGGATTGCCTTTTTAGGCCTGCTGGCTTACTATGCACTGAGCACTTACAGAAACCTCGCCAAGAACATCGCCGCCGCGAAGCAGACCGGCCTTCCGTACATCGTGCTTCCCGTCTACACTTTCAATCGAGCCTGGCTGATCACCCATCGGCTATGGCTTCCCTTCATCGATGCCATCGCGAAATTCCGGAATTCACAGTGGCGACCATACATTGTGCCAGAATTCGCCTGGGCCAAGCAATATGAAAGCTTCCGGGAACTTGGCAGTGACATGTTTATCCTCGTCTCTCCAGGCGCGAATACACTGTTCGTGGCCGATGCAGAGGCAGCTGCTCAGATAACCACCCGACGCAATGACTTTCCCAAGCCCATCTGGATGTACACGAGTGTCGACCTGTTCGGCAAAAGTGTCGTCTCGACCGAAGGTCATGTCTGGCGACAGCATCGTAAAGTGACCAGTCCACCCTTCACTGAACGCAACAATAAATTGGTGTGGGATGAGTCGTTGAGGCAGACACAGGGTATGATGACCGGATGGACCGCTGAAGGCCAAAAAGACAGCGGAACTGTAGAAGACGTAGCCACAGAGTCCATGCGTCTGTCATTACATGTGATTAGTGCGGCAGGTTTTGGCGTTCAGCTCCACTGGCCACATGAAGGGAAGGTCGCGACTGTTCCAGAAGGACACACCATGACTTACAAGGACGCCTTGGAAACACTGCTGCACAATCTGATTTTGGTCGTGATAACACCACGATGGCTGTTGCCACGATCACCTCTACGGATGCACAAGGTTGCAAACGAGGCGTACGTAGAGTGGGGCAAGTACATGAAAGAAATGTACCAATCCAAGAGGCAGGAACTCAGAGCTGGCGAGGGCAGAGAGGGTCTGGATCTGATGGGTGCACTCGTCAAAGGCGCTGGTCTAACTCAAGAAACTCTCAATATCGATGTCAATGTTGACACAAATAAAGCTCAAGCCAAGTCCGGACAGCCTGCCATGACGGACGAGGAGATCATGGGGAATGCCTTCGTCTTTATTCTTGCAGGCCACGAAACTGCCGCGAACACAATTCACTTTTCGATTCTCTTCCTAGCCATGCACATGGCTTCTCAGCGGCGCCTGCAAAAAGACCTCGACGACATCCTTGGCAATCGACCGCACTCCGAATGGGACTACGAAACTGACATGCCCAAACTCTTCGGCAGCATGTGTGGAGCCGTCATGAACGAGCAACTTCGCCTGATCCCACCAGTCATCGGAATTCCCAAGACGACTACCCCAGATCGCCCACAAACCCTCACCGTCGACGGGAAACAGATCACGATAGCAGAAAACACATATGTCACGCTCATCACCAGCGCAGTCCACCGCCACCCCAAGTACTGGCCACACACCTCTGAAGAAGACCTCCTCGAATTCCGCCCCGAACGTTGGCTTCTGGACCCCACCAAATCTCAATCCCACACTGCCACTGACGAAGAATACACCAAAGAAGAAGGCCTCGAATTCGACGAAACCGACAAACGTCCCGATACCGCCGCATCCCTTTTCCGCCCCGCCAAAGGCGCTTACCTCCCCTTCAGCGAAGGCTACCGTTCCTGCCTCGGCCGGCGATTCGCCCAAGTCGAAATTCTCGCCGTTTTGGCTGTGATTTTCAAGGCTTGGACTGTGGAATTGGATGTTAGTATGTTTTTGAGCGATGAGGAGTTTGAGAAGGCGAGTGAGGAGGAGAAGCGGGAGGCGTGGAAGAAGGCGGATGCCAGGGCGAGGGAGTTGTTGAAGACGGGGATGATGACGATTATTACGATTCAGATGAGGACGGGAAAGGTGCCGTTTCGGTTTGTGAGGAGGGGGAGTGAGAGGTTTGGGTTTATGGGGTGAGGAGACAGACTATTTTTGAAGGGGGAACAGAATGTGGTTGGGGATGGTGATGATGATGGAATTTGCAGGCGAGTGTAACAGAACTGCAGAAAGAGAAAATAATTCTGAGCGAGTTTCAGCGTACATGAAAAGTGTCTATTCGACAACTGAAAAACAATAGAATTCGTTCCGTAGTTGCGTTGGCACTCCTTGCCCATGCACATTGGAGAACAGCTCTGGGAGATGTGCTGACGAAGGTATAGACCACGATCCACGCACATGAGGGACTTCGAGTTCGCCTCGAGGCTTTTTCTCTACGCTTTGCGTTCTTTCTCACCAGCGCGTCCCGATCTCCACAGACGGAGCGTGAGAAGTTGCCGGCACGAGAGAGGGAGGCACGAAAGAAAGAATAATGTTGTGTCGAGAGGAGAACTCCAAATTATCTAGCCTTTTCGAGTCGATTGTCGAGATTTGGAAAGTTCCACGCCGGGACAATGAATAGGGATCGCCGTTGTTTGAACATGTTCTTGAGACATACAAACACGCAGGTTTCCCGCTTCCCCTTCATTATCCTTTGGCCCTTCGCTCTTCGATCGTATCAGAGAGACCGACAACAATTTGAACTCATTTCAAGTACCCGAGACGTCCACTGGTCCTCATCTTCCCCTACGGCAAACTCCAAGATTTCTCTCAAGTCAAAGCACCGCAACGAACGAAGCCGTAAGGAAAACCATGAAAATTCTCCTAACAGGCTTCAACCCCTCCCAAACAACCCGAAACTACCACCTCCATTCCTCCAAACTCCACATCGTACCCTGGCACTACTCTCTCTACAACTGTCTCGTAGATATGGGTCACGAAGTGGAACAGAGGAGTATACCACTTGGAGAACCAGTCAGGCCGCTGTCCGCTTTTGTCGGCGCAGATAACAGCTTCCTTTACGATCAATACGAGAGACTGAATGCCTCTCACTACGACGAAGTAATCCTCTTCCTCGGCAGCCCCACCCAACGCGTCTCATCAAAATTCTACGAAGGATTATGGACGATCTCACAATTTCCAAATTGTATCTTGGCGTTTGATGATTGGCAAATCAAAAAGCAGTGGAGGGGGATTGTGAGTCTTGCTGCCTTGACAGATGGAGAGAATTGCTCGAATTCGTCAGATAAGTTGTTTGGTCGTTTTGTATTGGAAAGAGTCAACAAAAAGACCATCGAACAAGTCAAACCGTATGAGAAGGAGTTGCGAAAGGGGTTGGATGTGATTTTGAGGAAAAGGAATCGAGTTTTGGTGCCAGGGTTTCGAACGGAGCATTTGTTTGATAGGTCTGCTATTTCTTCTTCGGCAGTGTCTTTGGTGTTGGGAGAGAAGAGAAGCGAAAAGGACGTAAGAGGGGCATTTGGAGCGCATTTGTTGTTTGGAGACGAGATTGGGTATCCTCGGAGCAGGATTTTCGTCGTGAATCCGAATCCGTATCATCGAAATCGGACTTGGGAGGATCCAGGACATGAAAGGGAGGAGAGTTTGGAGTGGAGAGAACGCGGGAGGTGTTCTCGAGGAGAGAAAGAAGTTGAGGGACGCCCAAGGAAGAGAAGAAGGTTGAACTTTGCGTCTTTGGCCCACTCGATGACGAGGACTTGGTTGAAGAAGCAATGCGGCGTTCCAAAGAGCAAGAGCAAGTCGAAAACTGCAAAAGGCACTGAGGACAAATCAGTGGCAGGCAATCAGCACCCGGACCCAACAACCAACGAAGACAAGATTCCGACCCACATCGGCACCTGGCCCCTCGACATCTACGGCGGCAGACTAGAACCCGAAAAACGTCTGCCTGAAGACGAAATGGTCAAAATCTTCGCTCAAGACTGGGCCTGTATGATGCCCAAGTACGAACATGCTGGCTCCGGCTGGTGGCGTGCTCGTCCACTGCAATGCGCTGATGCAGGAAGTATTCTGATCGCCGACGATAAAGAGCTGGCTGTGCTGTATGGATGGCAGTATCCGTTCTTTGGCCGAACGGCAAGCGACATCATCAAGTTGTCAGACAGTGAGCTTGAGGACATGGCTAGTATCCAGGAATGGTTGTTGTATGCGATGCATCCGCTTGATAAGAGGGTACAGCGGGCGGAGGCTTCGGCCGTGTTGCATGCGCCGAAGTGAAAGGAGAAAAGTGAAGATTCTGTCAAGCAGTTTTCACATAGCTTGTTTGGATGTGAAAACTGGTGGTGATGTAGTATCAGCAAGGTGTTGAATGCAGATCGTGCTGATGAGAAGTCAGTGTCACTTAGTCAAGGTCGTGTCTCTTTCAGCATGTTGGGGGAATGCCGCCAGCGAGGGAGTAGATGCTTCCTGTAACAGGTTCGACATGGTTACTGCAGAGAATATTGCCAAAGATGCAGGCTGTATATATTACGAAGCCATCTTGTACAAACGTTCAATACTTTGGTCTTCGTGGCGATGACGAACTGGATGCCCTCGCAAAAAGTGTGCTCGTCAGTTGTATGCCATGGTGAAGATTCCTTCACATTGCGGCTGCTCGAGCACGGCGCTTGTGATCCGACGATGTGATGCAGCGGCGAACGGCACGGGCACCTGGTGGAAGGAGCCGACGGGAGTTCGCATCAGCGTGAATGGGACGAGTGTGGTGGATGGATACAATGGTCGTGTGCCTGCAGAGCTGAAACAAGCAGGCCCGAGCTGTCTCGAGGGTCGCTTGGCTCGCATCGTTGCACAGCCTCCGCGCTGGTTGAACCGAGCCCTCGACAATAATGCCCGCCAACCCTGCCAGTGACGACGACTGATCAAATGACATGGTGCGAGTGCGGCGAACTGGATCCAGGTACCGCCTACCGTGGCGCAGGAATGGTCATGCAGCGGCGCGATGTAGGGAGAGAGGCTACTTTTGATACTGCTATGCGACAGTGATCGGAGCGCAGTGCGCGCGCAGAGACCCAGACATCACGTCACCAGCCACAAGGCCCTCCCCTCCAGCGCCCAGAACTCGTTCAACCTTCGACACCCACACATCCCAGCCCAGGCACGCAGGCAGAAACCCGCTGGCAATTGATTACACCACTCTGCCCTCCTCTGCTCACCTCTCATTCACAATCGTCGCCGCACGAGTGAACATCGACGACACTCTATCCGAAACCTGATCTTCATTCGCTTAAAGAGCCCATCCTCGCGACATATCTTCACTGCCTGTGCAAAGGAAATTCTGTCGACCGCCTCCTACCGCCACGACTGACGACGCAACATACGGCGGCCTCGGAGCCGCGAGGACAGAACCATCATGGACGACTTCGTTCGAGTCCGCCGAAAGGATACCACCAAAGGCCCGCCGCTTCGGATATTGTCGCTCGATGGAGGAGGCATTCGTGGATACTCCATGCTGATCATCCTGCAAGAGTTGATGCATCGCACGTTCGTGGAGATTGAGGGCAGGGCGCCGAAGCGGGACGAAATTCCCAAGCCGTGCGACCATTTCGATCTGATCGTGGGAACGGGTACGGGAGGCTTAATCGCCATTATGCTGGGGAGGTTGCGACTCGATCTGGATACCTGCAAAGATGTCTATGTGCGGATGACGAGAAAGGTCTTCCAAACCGACAAGACGGTCTTTGGGGTGCCCTGGAGAAGCACCATGTTCAAGGCGAGCATGTTAGAGGAAGCCATTCGGGAAACGGTCAGAGAACACACTGTCTTCGAGGACGAAGGAAACGATACATTGGCGAATGCTGCGCCCATGACTCCGACAAGCATTCGCAGCTCCAACTCCAATATTCCCCCGATTCCATCGCGAACCATGAGCCAGAGCAGTCATTACAGCCAGATTGGTCAGAGCCCTCTTGGGAACAGAGTGATGATCGGATCGATGAAGCCAGGCAATCCGAACGCCCTGTTGTATGATACGCGGGAAAAGAGGACAAAGACAGCTGTGGCAGCGGTGCTGAAGGGAACGAATCATACAGTCCTGCTCCGATCTTATGACTCTCGGAAGGAACCCGCACCAGATGTCAACTGTGCGATCTGGCAAGCTGGCCGTGCCACTTCGGCGACACACATGGCCTTCAAGCCTATACAGATCGGGCAATCTGTGTATCTCGACGAAGGAGCAGGCAAATACAATCCTGCCCCGCTTGCGCTGGATGAGGCAGTAGCGAATGAGTGGCCCGGACGAGAAGTCGGCGTCTTCGTTAGCGTGGGAACTGGCAAGCGGCCCAACAATCCTGCTGCTAATCAACACGAATGGTGGGAAGGCTTTCTCGGTGGCAGTATGGGAGAGTTCGCCGAGGCACGGAGAAAAATGATTCAGAAGTTGGAGAACTGTGAAAAAGCGCACGAGTTTATGCTCAAAGACCACCTCGCAGCGAGGGGCGTCAACCCGGAGACTTACTATCGCTTGAATGTGGAAGTGGGAGTTGGAGAATTTGGTATGAACGAGTGGGCACGCTTGTCAGAAATCAGCACTGGCACAAGGGCCTATCTCTCCAAGAAAGAGGTCGAAGCTCTGACGTGTGGTGCCGCGGCCAAGATCGCAAAGATCTACTTCGCCAAAATCAGACACGACCGAGCAGAAGCCCGAAGGGCAGCAGGGACAGACCATCCTGCGTATGCTTCACAGAACCCATGGGAACGGCCTCTGCCTACAGTCCCGCCACCGCAGAACTTCGCAGTCGAATTGCCTGGTGATGATGAATACCGACCTGGACAACACTACGCCGACGGCGGCCATTTCATGCAGCACAAGTACAGCTTGTCGACCAACAGCGACGTTTACGACCGGCATAACAGCAACGCAACTCCGACGCAGCAGTCGTACAATTCCTCACCCGCGCTTTCTGCAACGCGACCCTCTTTCGAACAACAGCAATCATCTGGCGCTGCCTTTCGATTACAACCGAATTCATATCAATATCACGACCACCCTCCATCGCCTCGGCACAGCGCCGATTTCGCGCATCCTCCCTCGTCCCCGCCTCCTGTGCCTCCCAAGACACCAGTGAACGGTGCTGGGTCAGTATTACCTTATCCTGATCGAAATGGCCCTCCACCCATACCTCCGCCAGCAGGAACGATGGCACCAGGACACCCGCCTCCACCGCCACCCATGACCTTCATGAACATGGGCAGCCTTGGCAGGAATCTACCGTATGGCGTCGTGGGTGCTGATGGCTCGATCGTGGATGAAGTAGGACAAGGCCCGCCTCCACCGGTGAATATGGGGAACAAACCGACGCTGTCTTGAGGAACGTGGACAACGGAGGAAGAAGGATACTTGATGATGAATAACTCCCGGATTATGGACAAACTTCGATGTTGTGCTACCCCATGCTATCATCACTAATTTTGCGGTGGATTGTATATATAGTGTTACGTGGTTCTTTGAGCGAGCGAGCGAGCGAGACCCAGCTTCTTATTGATTGATTGATTGATCGATGATACCCCTTTTTGGATAAGAAGCGAGAAAGGAAAGGGATGTGAGGGCATGAGAGAAATTTAGTAAAATTACTCAAACGAGGAAAATCGAAATGAAGAATGCAATTGTCAATTCCACAGCCTTGATTCTCGAATTCGTAAGGCGAGACGACTTACACAGAAGATGATCAGTCTTGATTTGTTTTATCCGATCGAATGATTGTACCTTTTTTTTTTTTTTTTTGGCACACCTCGTTCTTGTCAAAGTGCTCTCTACCACGCAATTGCTACACATTCGAGGTGGACCTTTATGCGCTATCTCTTTTCTATCAAGTTTTGTTACTTTTCTTGTATATTTCTCTCTATCTCCATTTTGCAAGCTAGGAGGGAAGAGATACAAGCAAGAAGCTCGTGAAATGAATTCCCATCTCTTTCGTAAACAGCGGACCAGGCGACAGGTGGCCGTGATCCAGTCACGTCGATGTGACTATATTTCTCTAATGACTTTGGAAAAGTTGAGTAACAACTCAAATGAAATTTTCTTATTCTTCTCTACTGCGTCTTATCTTTGGCGGCTCGTTTCCCGGAAGTCTGGAGAAGTAAGCTTAACATGTGCAGCCGTGTGGTAATCACACCAGTCGCCTTTTCTTCCTCGGGAAAGTTGCCGGGTCTTTTCGATTGATGGAGTAACATATTTTGAAGAATACGAGGATGAAGACGAGGAAAACGCGGCTCGCAGATTGGCTCCTGGCGGCTGACCGCTTTGGGGAAAAGACTTGTCACCCAAGCACGTAGGAAAACCGACAGGAAGGAAGCTTTTGAGTGCCATGCGGAGCTTATTGAGCTTTGAAGCATGTGGCATTTGCTCGGACGTGTGGCAGGCGGAGCTTGTTTTTCTTTCATCCCATGTCGTAGTTGGCACTTCTTTTGGGGCTCTGCTTTGACTTCTGTTATGTTATCCGTGGGTCGAATGTCGCGAGTTGAGTAGCTGTTTCACGCTTCGTTGCCTGGTTTGATGATGCTGCACTATCAGGCGAGGGGAGATCAGATGTGGCCAAGCCGGCATACTGCCATCATCAGAGCTTGAAGAATCAGGCGATGTGGGTTTTGAAATATTTTAACGCGGAAATCGTCTGCTTGGATCGAGGATGCAGCACCACCCACATTAGGCGGTGATCTCTGGAAAAGTCAGTAGTACCAACTGTGACGGGATCAGGGTCGTGTGGTGGCTTTCTGCGTGCGAAACAGTTTCATGCTGTTCCGAAGCAGTGATGAGTGATCAATAGTCCCACGGTCGTTGTCGTCGGCGGCGGACATGACGCCTCATTACTGAAGAGATCTTGGCAATAGCCATCGACGATCTCTAGAATGTCAAGCCTGGTCGCTGGCACTGTGCGAGTGGCCTGATGGCAGGGATGGAATGCTTCTCGAACGCGGTTCGACGACGGACAGAAGTAAGTATCAACATGGCTGTCAGCGGGCAGGCGTAAAGGATCGGTTCGGTTCACAGGGGCTTGGCGGACTTGTATCCGATCGGGTAGGAAGGTGTGATGAGAGTATATCGTCGAGTTTCTGATGAGTCTGCTCACTGTACACGACTCTGGAACTCTTGGTATGGTGCAATGCGAGGCTGGATGCGGTATGTACGGCGAGCGGGCGGGGATGGTCCAGACGCGGCTTTGAGAGAGCAACAGCAGACTGACTCGTTCCGGGCCATCATGTACCCCAAACTCGCAGACGGGGAGTGGAGCTCTGAGCCGCTGCGGCGTCGCGGGACAGCTTCCAGACGTGTGTCGTTGCGCAGTGCTGTGCCTGTGCAGTGCGGAGAGCAGGTCGACGAGGTCCGCGCTGCTCTGGCAGACGGCGAGCATGGGTGCGTGGTGCTCTTCTGCATCATCGCCGCCTCTGTGATCGCCCGCGCCTCATTCCGGGCCAAAGGTTGCGATTGAGCGTCTTTGTTCGAGTGGTGCAGCGCGGAGAGACAAGCGAGCCACAAGCAACAGCTCGTCGTCTTCGCTTCGGTTCCGTGCGCACAGCTCACGGCCTCCATCACGCCCACACCCACACCCACACCCACACCTCACATCCCAGGCCTCGTCTCGACCGCTACGGACCTCGCACGTACCTCTCCGCTCCGCCACGCCGCCCCATCGCAGCACCCCGCTGCTGCTGCCACTGCTGCTCCGTCAGTGACTGCGCCGTCCATGGGCTTTGTCCCGCAACCGTTCACGTCGCTGCGGGACTCGTGTTTCCCATGGGCTAGCCACGAGTAGATGTAGCAACACCGTTCGGGGAGGATGACCCTGCGCAATACCACCTCTTCCTCGGACCGCCATGGCTCGACTGGCGCTGAATCGACGCGTTCCACCGATACCGTCAGAGGCCCGTTTGGCAGCTTCTCCACCGTGCGGAGCCAGCCGCCGAAGTTGCATACCAGGCGCGAGAAGTACGTGTTTGCATTCTCATATGTCTGTGGCATTGGGAGGAGGGGAAAAACGTTTGGGCGCAAGGATAGTGGGAAGCGTAGACGATGAAACGGCCATCTAGCAGCACGGGCGGGTCGTATTGTGGGCTATGCTCGGACGGCAACATGCACGATGCGAGCACGGCTGCATACACACATCGCGCATTTCGTTTGGTGGCACGGTGCAGACAGCCGGGCGAACCAGCCTGCTGCGAAACAGGTTAGCTAACAATAGTGCAATAGACTCGAACGGCAAGACTCCGAGGTCTCACCTTTAACCATTCCCAAACCTCAGCCGGGCAACGCACGCGCGAATAGCATTGCACCATGGGAATCCGACTCATCATCGCCCTCCAGGTCAGCAGACAACTCGGGCAGCACACCTGCTCTGCGCCAACACCCACCGACCGCTCAGGCAATGGCCTGGAGCAATAGCAATGACAACCACAACACGGCCATGCCGCAGTCCATCTTCACCGGCAGCTTCTACAACGACAGCAATGAGAACCTCAGCCAGATATCGCCGGGCTACGCGCCGGCCAACGGCATGTACTTTCCCGATGGTGAAGACCGAAGGCCGTCGATAGCGAGTGCGACCACAATATCTTCCACGGGCTCCAAGGCGAGCGTACGGGATCGCATGCAGAAGAAGCTGCAGGGGTTCTTTGGCGAGGCAGATGTGCCCATTGGTACAGAGAGTCGTCAGAATTCAGAGGCGAGCTCGGTGCAGAATGGGCCTCTCCCTCCCTTTGCGCCGGGCGCGAGCGCAGGGCGGAACCGCAACAACTCGATGAACGATGCCATGATGCGCAGCGGCTTACCGAGCCCGGGCTCAAGACCGCGAACACCCGGGCCTCAGCCGTCAAGTGAGGTCACTCCATGGGTGTTCCAAGATCCAGAGGTATGTCGAGCCAGTCCGATGCACGCAGGCAAGCATGGCTGACATTCACACTAACACAGAATGCGCCACCTGCGCCTGAGTCGAACTTTCCACCCGAGAGCAATGGTCGTAAGGCTTCGCGATTGCACTTGCCTGGACATAAGCATAATCGGAGTACTGACGATAAAGGCTATGGCTTCCCGCTGCGACCTTCGACGTCCCGTGAGCAATCCTTCAGTTTTATGCGCGCCGGCACCAATGCTTCGAACCCGATGAGCTCAGCGCTCAATCTCAAATCCGCTCGTTCCACCAGTCCTGCACCGAGTGCACATAGCGCTGTAGGCAGCTCCGCGACCCGATCCCCCAACGCTGGAGGCCACAAACGGTCACTATTGGATCGTGTCACTGGCCGACATAAAGGGGATAAGGAAAATCTGCAGTCGCAGTCCTTCACATCTCTGCCTGGAATGCAGAAGATACCGACACGCGAACGAGCAGAGAGCAGGGTCAAGGGCGGAAAAGGCAAAGCAGATGCGACCAATGGCGGACTCATACAAAAGAAGGGCCCGCGATTGCCCTTCAAGAGCAACAAGACAGCAGAAACGAATGTGGAACAGGCGAGGCCGGTCAAGGACCCAAATGAATCACATGCAGAAGCAGGAGATGCTTTGTGGCATCTGGACACCGATATATCGCACATGGAGGGTATCATAGATCCTATGAATCCTCCAGTGAACTCGCCGCACAACGAGATCTACGCTGGATGGCCGCCCGAGGAAGCTCCGCCAGAACCGGACGACAAAGGTGCCTGGGACGCGCCTGACTCCTGGGCGGTGCAGAAAGTTGCAGACGAGAACATGCGCAGGCTCACAGAACTCGACGACGAAGGTGATGTGAGGAGAGATGACTCGGGACCAATGTTTTTCATGCGAATATTCCGCGCTGATAGCACGTTTGCCGTCATATCTGCCAGTCTCAATACCACTGCTGCAGAACTGATATCAATGATGGCCAAGAAAACATTCCTCCAGGATGAATTGGACAAATACCAGATCGTGATGCGGAAACAGGACACGAGCCGACAATTAGGCTCTGGTGAGCGACCCCTGGTTATGCAGAAGAGACTACTTGAGCAGGTCGGCTACCAGGAGAAGGACCACCTAGAGGACCTGGGGCGGGAAGATCATGGCTATCTGTGCCGTTTCACTTTCTTGCCTTCCAAGATGAGCGGCTACAGTAGTCTCGAGCGCGATCCTGGATTCAACAAGATGCAACGATTCAATCACATCGATCTGTCTGGACGAAATTTGATCACAATACCGATCACGCTCTACCAGAAATCCACGGAGATCATCACACTCAACCTTTCACGAAATCTCACTCTTGACATTCCGAAGGACTTTGTGCAAAGCTGCACGAACCTTCGGGAGATCAAATACACGAGTAACGAGGCCTGGAAGTTGCCCCCTAGCTTGGCGCTGGCCTACAAGCTCACCACGCTCGATGTATCAAACAACAAGCTGGAATCGCTGGAACACGCAGAGCTCTACAAGTTGCAGAACCTGCTGAGTCTGAAGCTGTCAAACAACAAGATCACGGCGATACCGACCTACTTTGGCCAGTACCGAGCATTGCGTAGTCTGAACTTATCGTCCAACTCGCTTTCTGAATTTCCACCTGCACTCTGTGAGCTCACGACACTGGTCGACCTGGATATCAGTTTCAACTCGATATCAACATTGGGCGACATCCATACCTTGACAAACCTCGAGCGGCTTTGGGCTACCAACAATAAGCTGTCAGGACCGTTTGACAAGTCTTTCAGCGCACTAGTGAACTTGCGCGAGATTGATGCTCGTTTCAATCACATAAGCAACATTGATATTGTGTCGCAACTGCCGAAGCTGGAAGCATTGATGCTGGGGCACAACAGCGTGTCGCAGTTCGAGGGCTCATTCCAATGCTTGAAAGTGTTGTTCTTGAATCATAACCCGGTCACGAACTTTGACCTGAACGCACCGGTACCGACCCTGTCAGTTCTGAATCTGGCATCGGCCAAGTTAGCTCGTCTGCCAGATGCACTCTTCATGAAAATGTCCGGGCTCACCAAGCTTACGATCAGCAAGAACCATTTCGTGTCGCTCTCACCACATTTCGGAATGCTGTCCAAATTAGAATATTTGAGCATTGCCAAGAATGAGCTGAGCAGACTACCTGCGGAGATAGGGCGTTTGAACGAACTGCGCTATCTCGACGTGAGAGAGAACAACCTGAGCATGCTACCGCCGGAGATCTGGTACGCAAAGCGATTGGAAACACTGAATGTCTCGTCCAACGTACTAGCGGACTTTCCGAAACCAGGGGCTCCTCCTCCAGCACTGCCAGACGGACCGCTTGCGGTGACGCCTAGTCAGATGCCAAACGCCCACAGTCCTGACTTCGAGGAACTGGGCAAGTTGGAAGACTTCCAACTACGACGGCCGAGCCAGGCCTCGGGAATGCTAAGCACAGCCAGCTCTCCAGGCACACAATCACGCAAAGGATCGGTGGTATCAGCCTACTCAGGCAAGGCCATGCTTGGGCGGACAAGCACTACGAGCAGCACTGCGACCCTCACAGCAGGAACAGGCGGTGGGCGGAAAGACTCGACGTTGTCTCATAGGTTGGCATCGACGTTTTCCACCTCCCTTCGACATCTCTTCCTGGCTGACAATCGTTTGGAGGACGATGTCTTCAATGAGCTGGTTTTGCTCCCTGAACTTCGCATATTGAATCTGTCGTACAACCAGTTGTACGACGTCCCGCCGCGAACGATTCGCAAGTGGACCCATCTCACCGAGCTCTACCTGTCCGGCAATGACCTGACATCGATCCCGTCAGAAGACCTCGAGGAAGGCTCGTCGCTTAAGGTCCTACACATCAACAACAACAAATTCCAAGTACTGCCTGCAGAACTTGGCAAGATTCAGCGACTCGCGATTCTTGATGTTGGTAGCAACATGCTCAAGTACAATGTCTCCAACTGGCCATACGACTGGAACTGGAACTGGAATCGTCAGCTTCGATATCTGAATTTGTCAGGTAACAAACGTTTGGAGATAAAGCCGAGTGCGCAATCACTCAGTGGGCGTGATCAACGCGATTTGACCGATTTCTCTTCACTGATCAATCTCCGCATTCTGGGCTTGATGGACGTGACACTCACTATTCCTTCGGTACCAGATCAAGCTGCAGATAGACGTGTACGACTCGCAGGATCTGTCATTGGCAACACCATGCCTTATGGTATGGCAGATACACTTGGACGGAACGAGCACTTGTCGACATTGGATCTGGTTGTTCCTCGGTTCAGAGGGCACGAAGACGAAGCACTTGTTGGCATGTTTGACGGGCAGTCACTGTCCTCAGGTGGTAGCAAAGTCGCGAAGTTTCTGCAGGAGAAGTTCAAGCACTACTTCATCGAGGAGCTTGAGAAAATTGACAGCGAAAATGAAACGGCCCTCGATGCACTTCGTCGCACCTACCTCGGACTCAATAAGGAGCTAGCTGCTGCCGCGACACAAGCAATGGATGCCCGCGAGCATCCCAGCAGTGCGATCGTGCATCGTGGTAGCGTTACTGGACCAGATCTCGGCGACGATGATATCTTGTCAGGGTGCACCGCTACAGTGATGTACCTTCATGGTATGGAGCTGTACATTTCCAATGTCGGAGATGCGCAGTGTCTACTTATCCAGTCTGAAGGAGGCCACAAACCCATCACAACGAAGCATGACCCAGCCGAAGCCAATGAGCGCAATCGCATCAGAGAAGCTGGTGGCTATGTGTCAAGACAAGGCAAGCTTAATGACCAGCTCGAAGTCTCCCGCGCCTTTGGATACGTGCACCTAGCACCATGTGTTATTGCGGCGCCAGCACTGAGCAAGATTGACATCAGAGAACAGGACGAAATGATCCTGTTGGCCTCTCGGGAACTATGGGACTATCTCACACCAGACTTTGCTGTCGATGTTGCAAGACAAGAGCGTGGCGACCTTATGAGGGCAGCGCAGAAGCTTCGCGATCTTGCAATCGCCTTTGGCGCCACGGGCAAGATCATGGTCATGATGGTGGGTGTCAGCGACCTCCGGAAGCGAGAGAAAGCTCGTTTCCGCACCCACAGCATGAGCATGGGTCCTTCAGGCTCGCCAGACGACTACTTCACGACAGTGCGGAAGGCGAAGCGTGGCCGAGATGCTGTGGGCGACTCAAAGCTCGCTCGTCTGGATCAAGAAGTCGAGGCTCCGACGGGAGACGTCACTCTCGTCTTCACGGATATCAAGAACAGCACGATATTATGGGAGACATATCCCATTGCGATGCAGTCTGCGATCAAGATGCACAACGAGGTCATGCGCCGTCATCTGAGAATCATTGGAGGCTACGAAGTGAAGACCGAAGGTGACGCCTTCATGGTGGCCTTCCCGACAGTGACCAGCGCGCTGCTGTGGTGCTTCACGATTCAAAGCCAGCTTCTTGACGTGCAATGGCCGCAAGAGATCCTCAACAGTGTTCACGGAGAAGAGATGCAGGATGCGGATGGCAACGTGATCTTCCGAGGCCTGAGTGTTCGTATGGGCATTCACTGGGGACGACCAGTGTGCGAGATCGATCCGGTCACGAAGCGTATGGATTACTTTGGACCCATGGTCAACCGCGCAGCTCGTATCGAAAGTGTCGCCGATGGTGGGCAGATCTGTGTGTCATCGGACTTCATTCAGGAAGTGCAGAGGATGCTGGAAAGCCACATCGAAACCGATCGGAGTGGCTCCACTGGCTCTGAGGATACCCTTAGCGATGATATGCTCAGCCAGACCATCCGTCGTGAGCTCCGATCGCTGAGCAGCCAAGGGTTCGAGGTCAAGGATCTTGGCCAACGAACGCTGAAGGGTCTTGAAAACCCGGAATACATCTACTTGATGTACCCTCACTCACTCGCGTCACGATTGGTCGTGCAGCAGCAGAAGGCTGAGGCCGAATCACGAGCGGCTCAGGAGAGCGCCATTGAAGCGAAGAAGACACGCAACAGCCAGCTCACGATTGACACGGATAATGTTTGGGACTTGTGGAACGTGTCCTTGCGACTGGAAATGCTCTGCAGTTCTCTCGAGAGTACAGGCATTGGTAGCCTCAAACCTCCTGAGACGGCTCTTTTGGAGAAGATCAAGCATGGCGGAGGTGAAATTACTGATCGGTTCTTGGTCAATTTTGTTGAGCACCAGATCAGTAGAATTGAGGTGAGTTCTATCGTTGCCTTCACTGACCTACACCGTCACACTGACATCCACTTCTAGACCTGCATCTCGACGCTCGCCATCCGCAACATGATCCGGCCATTCAAGAACGGCGTCCTCAGCCAGGCTTGTCCCATGTCGGAGATCTTGGCCGAACTTGCCGGCCAGCTGGATGAGTTCAAGGTCTTGAAGGCCGCACAGGGAGATGTCGAAATGGCCGACGCATAATTCGCAAAGCTGCTCAGTGTGGTTGTGACAGCAGCGAATTGGGGATGTTATACGTACACAGAGATGACACGCTCATGACTTCAACTTGGGGAACACAAATGATGACATAACAGAGGGAGAGAGCAGTAATAATTTTGAGTTTGATTTCTGGACGCTTACGGGACGCCTTGCCTGGGACGCTATCAGTCAGCCTGGACGCGGTAACATTGGATCTCTTGCGCATGCACGGCAGGGAAACGGAATGGAAATGGAACTTGGAACTGGAAAGGATGTCAAGGTATACTTACAACATTGGTCTCAAGGGCGTCGGAGGGATCTTTGGGACCTGAGACTACTATCGAAGGAGTGTCATGACAGTGTATTCTTTACCTTTCCACCACACACTTTCAGGGGTGAAGGGCTCGATATCATCACCTGGGAAATCGAGAACAGTGGGAATTCAGGACTGTTGTTTGTTGTTCTCGTTCATCGAATGGGGTGGCTTTCGTGGGGTCCATGTGTCGTCGCTTTCTTTTTGTCTGTTCTGATGGTCGAGCAGCAATGGGAAGAATGGGGCCCTACACATGTGATGAATTTTATCTGTCTGTATATGATGGCGTTCAAGCGAGCGATGCTACGCTAGCTAGCTGATGTTGGTAGTTCGGCATGCGAAGAATACGAATGAATGTTGAGTGAAGCTGTTCGACTCCGACTGGGATACACATGCCTTCTACCTTCGATGCCCGGCTAGCGACGCCCCGACCCAAAGTCCTCGTATCTCAAGGCGAGGCAGCCACCTGACCACCTCGCCTTCAATGTTGCTTCGGGAGATGAGCAGCAGCGGCAGAAGCAACATCAGCCCCACTGTCGGTAAGGGCGAAAAAGGGTGGCAGACGTTCTTGCTCCTATGCGTCCACGACTTCGATACGATCACATGCGCAGACTTCGAACCAGAAGAACCTCGTGCACCCGCTCGTCCGGAATTTTTCCTGCCATTCCGCGCTTCGCGCGGGTTGCGAACAAGGCCTTCTGTCTAGTGCTATCTAATGTCAGAAAGCCGAAACTGACAATCTAACAGGCCCTTGAGAATCACAACATATTGGTCGCTCTGCCAATGTCGTGGAATGGGGCATCGAACCTTTTTGTCTTCGATGCCACGAGAACGGCTCGATGGAAGGAGATGTGTAAAGAGGGCTGCCTTCTCTGTGTGACCGAACATGATCAAGCATCCTCTTTCTAGTCATAGTCTAAAGACACGACTAGGGACCTGGTCGACACGAGATGATAGCTGCTTGCTATCGTACGAGCGGGACCATTCCTTCGAGCGCTGCACGGCCTTCGGCGAAATGTCTTCTCTCCTTTGCCTGACATGTAATAACAGGCGCCTCACACGAGACTGAAAAGAAGACAAGAGCTTGCGTAGCCGTACCGGGGAGTGGTGCATATCTAAACAAATCCGATCAGTGTAACTCATTGAGGAGCCTTCCATCAGCTGCTACGAACCGTCCCAGATACCCAAACCGTTATCTACACTAAAGTAGTCGTCTCACTGGTACGCGTAACATGTCTCAGAAGGTCCTATAACGTATATGCATTTCTCATGCCGTGCCTGGCTAAAGCCCTTTCCCATTCTTCCCTACTACGACCATCAAGAGTCACAGCAATAATACCAAGACATCAAGAAATCCACTAAGCTTCTACACCAAAACCATTCAAGATGCGACTCTACTTTGCTATCTTGATAGCGTCCATTACAACAGCATTATCTGCGCCCACAGACTCGAATATCCTCATTACTCGAGGTATGTCCCATTCAAATCACACTGCAGCATTGAACAAACCTAACCCGCTCGATGTACCGCTTCTAACGCACACTTCTACAGATCCACAGACTTCAACAGGATGTAGGAAGATCTGCTACCATAATTGCAACGCCGATTATCCCAGAGGCGCAAGCCGGAGTAGTTGCTACGAGGGGTGTCCTATTCTGTTCAAAGATTGTTAGCCGGGAAAGATAGTGGCGGAGAAATGTTAATTGCATCTGGCAAGCACACCGTTAAAGATCTAAACGGATATTTCGATGCACTTTTCACGATCCACAGACTTTCATTCTAATCGAAATCTTTTCTATATGTCTTCGTAGACATACGTTCCCATGCGCTGATTCAACCAAATTTATTCTCATGCTATCATATTGCGTCCTCCGCGTTAAACATAAGTGACAAGCTCTCACAGCTGTGTTTGACGTGATACAGCCCCGTTTCTAGACCATCATCTTCCATATGCCGCAGGACCCGATCACTACTCCAGAATTGTCAGTCTTCGCAAGCCTTCCCAGCCTCAAGAAAGCTTGACACTTACACATCCCTTTTTACATTTCGTTGTGCATGGACTAAAAGGTTCGCAGAGGCTGCAGCACGGGGGCACAATGTCCTGCTCGGGCTGATCCTTTTTGATTAGCGAAACTTCGTGATGAGTCTGGCGAATGCCTTGTGCTAGACTCACCAATGCAGCAGCATAGACGACCGGCAGCAAAGCGATGAGATAAGCCATAAACTTCATGGTGCCTGCAAATTGTAGGCAAGCAGTCGTTCGGCGAAATTGGCGATAGAATATGAATGGCGGGGAATATGACTAATGTGATGAATTCTGCTCAATGTAGAGCGAAGCAAGAGAGCAGACGGAGCGAGATACTGATATCTATACTCATGTGAATGGGTCGTAATATCTGGCAGAACCGGATCTGTCGTGCATCCGCAAGAAGGTCGGCTGCTTGGGCTTACAGCAACCACCCTAGGATTGATCGAAACTATGCACGAGGCCAGGCTATATGAGAGCACTGTCCGATCGTCAAAACCTACAGTTTGCAAGACCTCCAGCAAATAGCCGTCGGAGTTCCAAGGGTACTACACACTGTCCGGGTGCGGTAGACCATCAATCGAGCCTAAGGAGGCGGCCGTATCACCATGAATCTTATCGCATATGCGATCTATTGAGAGTGTCGAATGCTCTATCAATAGACGAATTTACTAGAACGTCAAGAACATATAAGTCCAGGCGAGCGATGCACAACAGCTTTTGCGGGCGCGTAAGTGTCTCTACTTCTGCTCCACTGCGAGTATTATCCACTTGTGAGGTTTGCACCTTGCTCGGGCTCCCGTAAGCATATGACACATTCTATGCTGAATTCGACCTCGTTCGTGAACAGGCGTGTCCACTAGGTTCAATCTCGCGGTTATTCATCGAGCACTGCGAGAGTCGACAGATTTTGAGGCCGGTACAGTGCAGCAGAGTCGCGGCATTCTAGAGTGGTTATTAGAGCAAGATGAATTCGAGTGAGAGCACGCACTTGTTGATAGAACTAAGGCTGTAAGGTAGGCTGAAGGGTTGTGTGTATTGATGAGGCGGTGAATGGAGTCAGGAGCTGAGGTCGTAAGACCCAACTTCTAGGTTCGGACAAAAAGCAGGATGCAACTGCTTGATTCAGAATCCGGAGAGGCGTGGTCCGGTATACGACTACTTCAAACGATCTTGTTCTGCACTTTGATGCTGCCCTTTTTTAGAGGCAGTTGTCGTTGAAGCGGCATGTCTCCCTCAAAGGCGTCTGAGAGTCAACTGATACCTTTGTCAACCCACAGCATTGTACATCGAAGAAGTTCTCAAAACACAAAAAGCCCCTGCCCAACTGACACCAGCTGGAGGAGACGACTTCAGCTTGTCAGCTTAGTATGACACAGAATCATCATGCCATCTCGACCAGTTTGGAAATTGGACACCAATTGCCCCGACCACTATCGACCGTACGAGTGTTGCCGATGGATGAGCCGACATAGTGCATGTAGTACAAGCACCTGGCCAAGACCTCGAGCTCCTGAGTGAAGCATTGACTACCATGTCTTGGTCTCCACGTGTGTTGCACCGGGGCTTTCTTTGTTTCCGGAGAAACAGGACAGAGCAAGAAGTAGTTGTCGTCGGCGAGGAGAAACTTCCCGATGACAGAAGCGCAAGACTGGATTGAGATGAAAGTTGCTAAACGCTTTGCACAGGTGAATGCAGCAGATGACTGGAGAAGACTCAGACAACAACAACAACAACAGCCCCAGTATTTATCAAGGCAGCCAGAAAGACCTCATATCCATTCAAATATCGTTCTGCTCTGTTCACGAGAACTAGCAATGCTCCAGTACGCCATTTGCCAGATGCCTCTAATGGGCAACGAAGTCCTCAACACCACTCATCATACTCCGACATACCACTCTCCCTTCCAAGCCTGGGTAGGTCGATATACCACATAAAATGTATAAATATATATCTTTCCATTCCATCAATTTACCCAATCCTCTCACACACACCGCGCTTGCTTCCTCCCAATAAAATGCTAATCAAACGACCCAAGCCAGAAACGTCCGTCTATGCCATGCTGCTGCTCAAGTGTGCCAAAATGCACAGATAAAACTCCTATACCACCCGGCCAGGACCCACGCCCGCAGTTCAGACAGAGCGCCCTCGCTAAAAGTACTGCAAAGTTATTCCTCCTTGGTGTTTGAACTGGTCTCGTCTTGTTGTTGTGTTTCTTCGATTCTGTCGACTCCAACCTTCGCAGCCCGACCGGGCCACCCCACTCCCATTACACTATTCCCTACTCTCCCCAAAATTTATGCAAGTAATAAAACAATAACTTCCAAAGACAATGCGCTCTCATCTCGTTTTCCTCATTTCTGTGTACATTTGGTTTCTGTCCTCATCACTGCAGCGCACGATGAGAAAGAGCAAGCACGATCACTACTGCTTGAGTCGCTTGCTCTTTTCTTTGCTTCGACCCTCCTTCGAAGGGTCTTTACTCTTGTGAGAGTGCTGTCCATGCTTGAGTTTCATGAAAGCATGAGGTTTGCTGGGATCACTCGGATCCATGAACGTCATGAGAACCTGACTGAGTTCCTTGAAATCGACAGGCTTCGTCATATAACTGTTGAAGCCCGCCTCGACGCACTTCTGGTAGACGTCTCCCAGCACATTCGCGGAGAGCGCGATCACGGGCAGGTGCGCATATTGGTTCTGCTTTTCCCATTGACGAATCTCCTTGCAGGTCTGGTATCCATCCTTGTTCGGCATGTGTAGGTCGCAGAGAATGATGGAGTAGTAGTTTGGTGGATTGGCGAACACCTTCTCGGTGCATTGGACTCCATCCATCACGGTGTCAACCTTGATCGAAACCTTTGACAGGAATTTGAGAATGACCATTTGGTTGACTTTGTTGTCTTCGACGAGCAACACACGCTTATCCTTGTTGCCGAGACGGCGGGCAAGCTCTTCAAACACTTGCTTCTGGTTGACTGCAACTTGCTGGGCACTGTCCTGGTTACGATCCAAGCTCATTTCGCGTTCCTTCTGCGGATCGAAGATCAATCCGAATCGTGATGGCTTCAGAGGCTTGAATACCACTCGTAGCTTGCGATCACTAACAAGCCGATCATAGTCGTGATGCGGAGCTTGTTCCATAATCTTGCGTCGTTGCGCGAGATCTGTGATCAGCACGATAGAAGTCGTCGGATTGTCAGCTGCGAGCACTTGATCCATCAACGAGACAATTTCGTCGACATCCTGGAGTACCACAACAATGTGAGTGAAGATGACAGGATCCGGGCCTACTAGAAGCTTCTGACAGTCCGCAAGGCTCTCACGTGCTGTAATCTGATGCGGTACATTTCCAGGCAGAGTTTTGTCGATGTGCTGAACTGTCGCCTCCCGGCTGTACTTCAGTGGTGCTATGACCAGGATGGAGAACATGGGTGGAGGGGAGCCACTCGGTGCACGGAGTAATGCCTTGTTCGTGCCAGCTGCCACTGCGTCGATAGATCTTGAGGGGAGGCTGTCAGCTCGAGTGTGTGTAAGCTCATGTGATGGCAATGCAAGCTTGATTGAAGCCCCAGGCACTGGTGGGTCATGCGTGAAAGATGACGCCGATGAGCGCTCTGATCGCAAGCTCTCGGTGCGCGTCACGGACCGTAATGAAGGATCGGAACTGGCAGAAGAGACCGAAGGCGACTCTGTGCCTGCATCGGACATTGGCGGATATTGCGGCGGTGTCTGAGTGACTTCGCTTGCAAATTTCGGCGACAGCCTGGCATTAGGGACCAGAGGTATTGAGACGGCGGCAGGACCGGGCGACGTTGGCAGGATTGGTACATGGACGGGACTAATGCCTGGAGTTGGGATGGGCATAGGTGGCTTGTCGTCTTCGGAAGGCAGCGTGGTCCTGATGTAGAACGTGAACGTCGATCCCTTCTCGGGCACACTCTTTGCGCTCATGTCACCTCCATGCAACTGCGCCAGCTGTTTCGAGATGACCAAACCTGAAATATGCGAGTTAGCGGAAGTTCAAATAGAGGCCACCAGCTGAAACTTACCAAGACCAGTGCCGCCATGTTGCCGCGTGCTGCTGCCATCAATCTGGCTGAACCGCTTGAACAGCGAGTCCGCATCTTTGTCGGTAAAGCCTTGACCAGTGTCGATAACATCGAACTTGATGAGCATCTCTTCTTTCACAAGGCGACTTTCTGCCTGATAAGTGCTGCATCGAATGAAGACCTCGCCCTTCTGGGTGAACTTGATTGCATTGCCCACAACGTTGAGCAGAATCTGTCGAATGCGGAAGCGATCGCCTTTGATTTGCGGAGGAACGTCTTCGTCGACGATGTAATTGAGCTCGAGGCCTTTGTCAATAGCCATCGCGGATGTCAAATCGTTGACTTCCTCAATCAATGCGCGGACGTAGACCCAGTCCATATTGAGCTGAATCATGCCCGCCTCGGCTTTCGACAAGTCCAGAATGTCGTTGATGAGTCCACGCAACCCCTCAGTACTTGCCCGAATAATATTGACATGTTCCATCTGCTCGGTGGTCAGACTGCTGTCAATGAGGAAGTTGACCATGCCAGTAATGCCGTTCAATGGAGTCCGGATCTCGTGTGACATGTTACTCAAGAAACGCGATTTAGCGTCCATCGTGTTCTTCAGATCTCGCTCAAGATCTTTGTGGTCGTTGATGTCGGTACATGTGCCATACCAGGTCTCCTCTTCGTCTTCGTGTTGCAATAATGGTTCAGCGACCAGGACGCGTACGAGGTGCCACCTGAACTCGCCATCTTTACTCTTAAGTCGGACTTCGGTCGAGTAGGACGGGCGTCCATCAGGCTCTTTGGAGACTTTGAGAATACCAGAAGTCGCCAGCTGAGACAATTTCCGTTGCGGCAGCTGCTGTATAGGAGAAGGAGATGATGAGTCCGATGTCGAATGGGAAGGTGGCTTCTCTGTCTCCGATGATCCACTGGTAGAAATCTCAGAAGCACTGACAGACCGTCTCGGATCCATGGGCAAAGTCGTCGGGACGTTGGGCTCTCTGGTTTCCGCGTCGAAGGATGGCAATTTGCACTTCACCAGATCTTCGGGGTGTACGTGCTCCATGAATCCAACGCCGAGCGCCTGAGCCTCCGTCTGTCCAGAGTACTGCAGCCATTGCGAGTTGCAGAATGTCACGCCGCGCGTCTTATTCACAGCAAAAACAATCTGCGGACTTGAATTCGCAAGCGCTCGGTACTTCGCCTCTGACGCAGCGGTCTCTTGTTGGCGTGCCGCGTTGATCTCTGCAATCTGTTGTTCATGAAAGTCCATGAGCGTGCCAATCCAATGCACGACCTTCTGTCTTTTGTCCTTCAGAGGTGCTGCGCGGACATAAAACCATCGGTAACTGCCATCGAATCTTTTTAGTCGCACCTTCTGTTGCAGCTGTTGATTAGTTCTCAGTGATCGCTGCCAAGCAGGAATAAACTCGTGATGATCTTGCGGATGAATTGCTGCCCATGGATCCTTGAGCACTGTTGCAGGGTCTTGTCCGCGGTAGATGAGAAATTTCGAGTTCACCCAGCTGAGATTGCCAGTCTCTGGCTGAGCCGTGAATATTTGCACAGGAACAGAGTCGATGATGGTTCGCAGTAGTCGTTCTGAAGGGGGAGGCATGTCCTCTGAGTACGAGCCTTTGCGTCCATGTCCGGCACCGCGAACTTCGCCGGACGTGGAAGCCGGCAGCCCGCCAAAGGTGGTCTCGAAATCTGCTCCATAGGAGTGTAACAGTGAATGCGCCTTGTTTTGCTGAGCTGCGCCTGCAAATTGAGCGCCCTGGCTCACTATCTGGGGTGAGGCTGATTCTGAGGGGCGAGTCGGATTTGCTTCGCTCGTTGGTGGCAGAAGCGGCGACTTTCCAAGCTTACCGGTACTTGCTGCTCTAGCCTTGCGCTCTCCTCGAGACAAGGGCGCATCTTCTTGTGAGTCGGAGCTTTTGGACCCCGATTTTCCAGGTGTAGTCACGGTATTGCTGGCATTGCTTCCGCTACGCTGTCCCGAGCGTTTCTTGGCGTCGAAGTAATTGTCGACCATCTCAGAGCCCGTGAATGCCGGGGTGCCTCCTCGAGAGCGAGACGCAGTCCAGCCATGGGTGGCAGGATCCCAACCTGGCGTACCCACGAGAGACCCAGATGGGCTAATACGCGACCTGCCTGAATAGTCGGAAGGACTGGTAATGCTGCCACTCATGGAGCCCGGTACTTCTTCTAGCTCGGCATTCACGATATCTTCCAGCGACGCCGGCTCTATCGTCATGGGAGCGATATTCGCACGCCCACCACTTGTCGTACGTCGATGCCGAATATGAACAGCCTGCATATGCGTTGACGAAAACTGCTGGGCATTCTGGAAAGATGTCGCAAGATGAGGTCCGAGTAGTCTGAGAGCATGCACAAGGTTTGCAGGATAAGGCACGGTGGCAGTCAGTAGAGACAGAATAGCAATTGGTGCTTTGCGGTCAAGATCTGCAGTCTGGGTTCGTTGGGAGGACGGCCGCGAGTCCTGGTTACTCGGCGTCATGCGTAGCGCTTGCATCGATTGGGACAAAGTGGGATGTATCAGCGGAATGTGTATGATTGTGCTGGCGTGGTCGATACCAATGGCCTCGACTTGATCGTACTGCGAGTAGTCTTTGGGACTGACAGCAGGGTTGAATGACTCGTCAAGCAACTGATCATCTGACGCAAAGAAGGGATTTATCTCCTCGTCTGCTTGAATGGCAGGTGATGGAGCTGGAGATTGTGTCCATGGAGAAGGTGGATGTTGCTCGTACTCGTGGTATCCCCAATCTGGCTGCGACGTTGGACGACCAGAATTAGCCAGCGCCGCAGATGAGGATGCTGCTGGAGCGGAGCGAGAGAGTGTAGGACGGCTGTCGTCGTTCGAGTAGTCCCTAGTTATGGTCACAATGCTCCCACGCTCAATGACACGACAAACGCCGAATGGTTCGATCAGCGGCTTGGATTCCCGATCGAGAGGGCGGAGTGATGAAAAGATCTCGGCATAAGGTCCAGCATCGGTAGGGTCAGCAAGGCTGCTGAAGTTGGGGTCATTGAGTGAATCTTGTCGTACGCTATGCACTGAAGGAAAGCGCTTTGGTGGGATGTCACTGAAGCTGGTGGGCGGCGTTGTGCCGGCGGTATGTGTGACCACCCGCTGTGGTCCCTGAGGTCTGGCGCGTGTCGGAGGATCATTCAAAGCCCCAAGCACGTCTCGCACTTCACGTCCGTGCCCAGCATAAGAATGTCGAGCTTCGAGACGAGGTCGCAGTCTTTCCGGATGCAATTTCTGCGGGCGCACATCACTGACAGTCTCGTTGCTAGGCTCGCGGACTTTGATATCAGGTCTCGATAAGCCAAGACCCTGCGGCTGCTTGAAAGCGCTCGGAGGCACGAAGTCTTCGCGGCCATTCATGCTAAATGTGGCCTTCTGGCCCCAGGGTACATTCTCAATGTCGTTAGGGTCAAGTGGCTGCATGAGAGACGCCCGTTCCGCCTTGAAATGGTCATGGAGAATGTTGGTCACTGTTGCCCACCACTGCTCGATTCCGGGTTCGGTATTTAGATGGAGCACGAGATCATACAGATTTGGCGTGGGATAGCGCGGGTCTTCGTTCCCACCAAGCTGCATACCAGGGGGGAGAAAGGCGCTGTTCGCTGCGGGTGTATTTCCGCCAGAGAGCACACTGAAACTAGACCTTGCGCCCGGGGTCTCACCTTCGCCCTGCCGTTGATTCGTGACTGTTGGCGATAGTGCAGTGAAGGGCTGATGAAAGGTTTGCGACCATGATCGAGGCGTGCCAGGTACGTAGGGGAATGGATACGAGGGTGTCCGCAACGGGATGGTTCCAGAAGGAGTCGGTGGAACACTGCCTCTGAGCGTGCGTGCCGATTCCGTCGATTCGGTGGAGGCGGTGGGCGGAGGCTCGTTCGATGCGAGCACACTGTTAATCGATCCAGTCGTCGAGTCGCTGTTTGTCTCTTCCTTGATCGGCGACACGCGCTTGATTGTCGAAGACGTGCTTGAAGCGCCATAGCTGTGGCGCGGCCGGACCTGGGCGCGTTTGAGAGCATCCTTCAACTCTGCGAGGTTTCCCTGCGCTCGTGGTGATACGCCCGCTCGTGACTTGCCCTTGACGTCTGCTTGCGCGGAGCTGGAGGCGGACTCCAGGGGAGCAGCATCGCGGGCAGTACTTTCATCGTTGAAGGAGCTGTCGGTTGACTCCGTCTCACTCTGCTTCTCATCGTCGGCATCTTGTCCCAACTCCGCTAACCGACCTGGAGGCGATCGTACGAGCTGAGGGCGCGCAGCAGAGGACCATTGCTGAGGGTCAGGGCGTGTAGGAGGCTCGGTGGGAGTGGGCTCGCCGTCGTCGTGGTTGGAGTCGTCCTGGTGGGTCTCCTGGGACGGCAAGGACGAGTTCATCGCTCTGGCACTCTGCCCGTCGTACGCGCCTCGTCTGCATGCAGCGCACGTGAGGGTCGCGGCGCACGAGGGGGAGGGGGGAGGGTGGTGGAGGTGGAGAGCCTCATCGAACGCGTGCAGATGGTGTGCATGAAGTTGGGATAGTGCACGTCTCGCGGCGCAAAAACGTGAGAGAGCAGCGGGTGCGTGGTGGTGGATTGACGTCAGGCGCTCGAGGGAGACCCTTGCCTGTTTGGTGAGCCCTGGTTGCGCGCTGTGCGTCTTGCGTTAGCGGCCTGCCCTTTCGTGCTTCCGCGTTGCTGCTGCTGCCTCCTCTCCCACTGCTGCTGTAGCGATATCGTGCAGCAATACTCGCTCGTGGAGCGCCTCCTGTCCGCCCACGCCACCCCTTGCTGCTCGTCCCCTCTCGCCTCGCTGTCGTCTAAACGAAGCAGAGGCGTCGACAGCTATACCGCAACAGGACGCACGCACGCACGCACCCGGCTGCCGGCCACTTTCCCGATTGGCGCTGCCCGAGCGATATCGTCATTCAGCCTCTGGCCCTCAGCGCAAACGACATCATCACTCTCATCATCATCACAAGACCTGGTCCGCTGCCCGCGTGTCGACAATTATTCGTCGCCTCAGCTATTTCCAGCGTGTCGAGGCGGTATGGCGGATCGCTCGATCCCAAATGAGCTGCGCACGTTCGACACAGCACCTCCCAGGCCCTGTGCCTGACTACTGTCTGTCTGCCCACGAGCCGCACCGGCAGTGCGCAACCAGCTCCCAGAGATCGGCACGAAACTCTCGGCAGAGAATCGGAAGTGCACTACGGCGCCGCTCTAGCCGATTCGGGCTGGAATTGCTATCCAACGTCCGCTGTTCTCACCGCGAAACGAAACGTCGACGGGGCCGTCGCCTGACAATTGGAAATTTCCAGCGGCCAAATGTGCAAAAGTTGCCGCTTCGTGTTCCTGCTTGCATCCATGTCTATATTGCATGGCTGAGGCTGAATTGCTGCTGGGGCTTGACCGGCATGCTCCGACACCCCGGTTCAGTGACGCCTGCTTCTCCACAAATCGCCAGGTGACAAGCACTCCATTCCCTGTGTGGCTGTCTATGGATCTCGGAGGCCTCTCTCAGAATCGTCGGAACTGCCTCCAGTCATAATTCACTCGGGCATACTTTGATCAAGCACAACAGAAACATGGCGTTGAGACCAACTATTCACTACTCACAGCAAGACGCCCGTGTCGTAACCGTGGCTACCTTTGAATGCAACGACCTCTGAGTGCAAGCGCCTAACGAGATTGGCTCTCGATCCATGAAAAGCTTTGCTGATTGGCTTAGCGACCTGCGGTTGCACTCAGAGGTCGTTGCATTCAGAGGTGTCCACGGTTATCCTTCCGCTAAGAAACAAACGATATGTGGATCACTGAACATCACCATCACTCCCATGCAGCTCTGAACTTTCCGTGCAGTTTGTAGCACGTGCAACCATTCCCGACCGCTCTGCCCGAGCATCACAACCACCATGAAGTCAATGTGCAACAGAGCACTATATCAACACCTAATCTGGGAAGAAAAATCCCAGCGTGGAAATTCCAACCCGGCTCCAAGCACCCCAAGCAACTCCGTCAGCACTAGTACATCCGATGTCTATCCCAGCAACGTTCTAGCGGACTTCGCTCCTGCGCCGCTGCCAATCGTCGCAACTGGTTTTCAGAATGATTCAGATAAGCTGGTCATGATGATGTTCTAGACTTCGGATCTCGATCACGGTAGACGGCATTTCCGGGAGTCTGTTGTGGTGTGAGCGAAACAGTTGTTTGATTAGTAAGTGGACGAGTGCAAAAAGTGCTGTGGTATGGCGCTGAAATGTGCAACTGAGGATAGAGAATGTAGGCAATGGAGTGGAGATGATGGATTGGCTATATAGAGCAATGACTTTTATCTATACCCCAAATTTCTCCCGTATCTCAATCTGACGATTGGTTTAGCTGCGTATTGCCCAAAGATCAGTCCTGACAACATCTCACTTCGACACCAACGTGAAAGATTCAGGTCACTCGAGCTTCAACGTAAACCACGCGCCATGAGACCGGCTCATTCACGCAGATATTGTTTCTCGGAATATGTGAGCCATACCGGCCTATCAACTTCAGTGCCTTTCGTTGGCACTGAACGAGACTCTCCGAGAGCGTCCAGTGCTGGACTGTCCTCGCGAGGGGTTTCTGACCTCACGATCTATATTCATATCAGTAATTGTTTGCCTAATTCGTCGCATGCTGATAACTGACGCTCGCGGCAGAGCATATCCCAACTCTCCTTGAGCGCACGAGGATCGATGTCTCGAGGCTCATCACAGTTCGCCACCAGGCAACGATGCTCATTGCAGTACTTCCTGTTGTGGTTGTCATCGACGCATGGAATGTTTGAGTACATCTGCGAGATTTGACAAGTGTGAATTTTACAGTATTCAGTGGCGACCAAGGACTCTGCGTCTCTTAGCATGGGGCAGCATAGGCGTGGGCTTGTGTCCAAGAATCCACGACATTCGTGTCGGCGGCAGTAAGGTGCGGCGTGAGGCGTAGGACGAGGACACCCTTCCTTGTGGCAGGTATGTTCGCTGCAGAACTTTGAGCCTGGTCGTCGTTTGCTGATGCAGTGTTCTACTGCACATTTTATACGGGTGACGCAGTATGGCAGGTCTATCAGTGATGAAACTCTGAGGAGACGGCATCCGGGTTCGATGCAACACTTCTGCGTGTAGTGCTCGATGCATAATAGACGTTGCGTGCCGCCTTCGGTGATGCTGTAGATTGCTTCGTCGCTGCAGTTCTGAGCGTTGCAGCTGTGCATGGCGCAGAATGGAGTCAGGCGATCATTCTCGCGAGTGAGGTACGAACCATATCTGTTGCAGCCGTTTGTCTTGCACGGGATGTGGTCGATGCAGCGTGGTTCAATTCCAAAGTTCGCGACAGCCAATTGACAGCAATTCTCCGTTGTGCACGTCTCGACGTGGGCATCGCAGACCACGGTTCGCGGACCTTCTGTCGACTCGCAGCCCCGAATCTGGCATGGAGCATGTTCGAAACAAAAGTGCTCGCCGCTTTCTTCGATCTGTCCTTGTCGGTAACACGACACGCATCTCGTGTAATGCGTTCTGCAGAGAAAGCTGGATCCCGTGGCGTTCCTTTGACAGCTCGAGTGCCTGCACTGCAGATTGTCAACGATGACAGGAGGCATGTTGTTGGGCTTGTGGGCTTTTGGAAGGGTGGTCCTACAGGGCTTCGAGAATGTAATGTGTAGTTAGCTGGGCAGTTTGTGGATGTCTGAGTTCAACAAGTTGGCGAGTCTGTGAGTGTAGTCTCAGATGATGCATCTGCAGGAATCTCGCATCTTTTATGCTAAGCTTGAGGCGACCCCAGGCTACAAGCAGGTACAGAGCGCGCGCAGCCGGTCCGAGCGCAACAAACTGATGCGGATGGCAAAAAGGCGCAGAGATGGAGGCTTGGTACGAGCTGGACGCCCATCCGACAGCTCGGTTCCCTCAAGCTCGGCTGTGCATGTCCATAGAGACGTGCTACTCCCTCGCGCCACAACGCGGTCCCTCTCCGCCCTTTGAGAGTGGGCATGTGCCGAAGCTGCAACGCGAGCCGCAGCACGTTGTCCACTGCACAGGTTGTCAAGTGCCGTCAGTGTTGTCGCTGCTGTGTTGCGAAGGTTCGCGGCTATGCCCACAAGGATCGGTGTGCCCAAATTTCTGCAGGTTACGGCGGTCATGTCCAGGATGCCGGGACCAGGTGAAAGTGGTGTGCGCAATGCTGCATCATAACCAGGACATGGTCAGTTAATAAAGACGCAGTGACCAGCCTCTCGTCACAGAGGCTACGCTAGCAGACAAAACGCAGAGTCATACACCCATGCTCGGACGCATTTGCCGCGACTGGACTGATCGAGTGCAGCGCGTTCGTAGCCTTGACATGCCGCATGCTGTAAAACGGAAGCGGCACCTTCCTTGACCCAACCAGTGCAGTTGGGTCTGTGACTAGAAATGTAAGCGCAAAGCATGCAACGCCGTGACATACATGAATGTGCAAGCTGAAGGTGGCGGGCACGAAAGGCCACCGTCAATAGACACAGATGAAGAAGTACAACATTAGTATCGACAGCCGGCTTGATACGCAGGAACAAGAGATGACAACCGGCCTGAGGATCCTTCAACGGCATGCCGATCGTCTGCTGCCGCCGAAGGTGAGACCGAACACAGGAATTTCTTGGTAGTAACCCGGAGTGACAGGAGCTTATCATCGCACGGTCTAGGCCTTCGCTCATTGTCGTGAAGGCACGCACGTCCTGAGAACCAGATGCCCCCACAACGGGTAAGCCAGGGAGATCACTGACATAGTTGCACAGATCCAATTAAGGCGGCAGCACTCACATAAACATCGTCGGAGGAAGTCTTAATCCCATTTTCAACCAAGAGGATCGAAGATGAGTGGCCTACGACGGCGAGACAAGGCTTCCAGGTCGTGCTATGTTTCGCGCGAAGCTCAGCACAGCAGGTGACGAAGATGCCCACACCAAGACGGCAACAAAGCCACGGTGCTCGGAGTGTCGTCCAGGGGTAAAGACGTAGTTCGTGCGAGCTGTATAGCGCAATACGCTGCTGCTGAGATCCTGGCTAAGTACATGCGCGTTGTCGTACATGCGCCCACCGTGCGACCCTACTCGCTCCTCAGCCACAAGTGCAAGTGTCGGGAGTAATGCAGGGCTGTGGACTTGCATTGTATGGAGTTGTCACCCGATTGCTACAACGAGGAGGGCTCGCTCCTGCCCGAAAGCAAAACAGGAATCCGCGAGGACCTGAGTGCTCTTCAATTGCTCGAACCTCTGCCATGTGTAGCGGACCCAAGACTGTTCGAGGCGCGAAAAGATGTCACAAAATGTGAATTGCCCCCGAATTTCCTGTTCGCCATCCGCAAGTTTGGGAGGTGAAGTTGGGAGCACAAGTGACGTCCAAGGCTTGGCGCTGGCGGCTTTCGCGACTCGCAACGACTCGACACTTCTCTCCACCTTCGACTGCGCTCACAGACAACCACCCACCCCAAATCCCACGACCCCTCCCGGCAGTCTCACGGTAAGCATCGCTTTATCTCATTCACAGCGGTCTGAACATGGCGCGCAAAGGTGGAGGCGGCGGCAACGGAGGAAAGAGTTCTTTCGCAAGGCAAGCGCTAGATAGTTTTTATGCGAACCAACATGCCAACAATCACAACATAGAGGCGAACGCAAACTACGAACAGGGCCAGGCGGAGCACTATCACCAGTATTACTACCCAAATAGCGCCTACCCACCTGCCACGACCACGACTCACGCGACACCGACGCACGACTACGAGCCTGCGGCCATGGCATACAATCCTTATGGCCAGGGCTACAATGCTCAGTACGCACAGTACGCGGCTGCCCCGGCTTATGGAACCCAGTATACTCAGCAGGCACAGCAATACGACACTCCACCGCAGATCCGAAACCCATTCGCCCCTCCACCCGCCGCATCGTCAGCCTACGCTGCTCAGAATGCCGGATTCGATCCCGACCACGAGGCTCAGATTGCACAGTGGCAAGCACAGTACGCGCCAGCTGACCAACAACTGCGTGGCAAGAAGACCGGCAAGGATGAAGTGATCGGGAACGCTAATTTAGCACCATTGGGACAGCGCGGCGCAGCGACTAGTACCGCGGCAGCAGAGACTGACAAGAAGGAGGACAAGTACACTGTCGTTCGCAAAGGTGGTGGTGAGCAGTGGGAGGATCAGTCGCTGCTTCAGTGGGATCCGAACAAATTCCGTATCATGGTTGGCAACCTGGCAGGTGAAGTGACGGACGACTCGCTTGCAAAGGCTTTCGCAGCCTATGGCGTGTCAAAAGCCCGCGTGGTGCGCGACAAGCGAACGACAAAATCGAAAGGTTTCGGCTTTGTGGAGTTCGAGGAAGGTGAGTTGGGCTTTAAGGCCGCACGAGAGATGGTCGGCAAGTACATCGGCAGTCATCCAGTCACGATCCAGCGAAGCAAGACAGATGTGCGAGCGCAACCAAAGAAGGACAACAACAAGTACAAGGGAAAGAACGGTCGCAACAACGACAAGAACAAGGACAAGAAGAAGAAGAACGACAACGATCCGCTCAAGGCACACACTGGAGCCGGCATCGAGAAGAAGCCGTCCAAAGCGACTGCTGGTCTCAAGCTATTGGGTTGAATCAGTCTTCTCGAATTGGCAAGGAGGCTCATTGTGAACTTAGCGAGGCGTTCAGGGATTATCGAATGGTGCATATGCGTGCGATTGCCACGAGATTGCAACGCTTCCGAGGCGTTGCGCTGGCGAGCAGGCAAGTTTTCGCTCTGTTAGAACAGATGGAGTCAATCAGATGAGTATGTTAACTTCTACCATGTCCAAGGACCTCCGCGCTGACACGCCGTGGCTGTGAAGACTGCTCGCAAGCGACACCTTGTGCACAGGTATGGACACCATGTGTCTCAGGTGAACTAATCTGCCGCAGCTTCTCTTGCCGTGGACGTTTCGTTCTCATTCTGCTGACGCCATTCAACCTGGCGAGCAAGACCTTTGCCGTTAGCAAGTCCCCGAGGACTTCGACGCCCTTCCATTTTGCTTGAGTCTTTTGCGACGTTAAATCTTGTCTCACCGAGCCTCTCAAGTCGACTTGATTCTTTAGCATGATGCTATCAAGCCACACTTCAGCGTTGTTGTGCTTATCCTGGCAGAGACAACAAGACTGTTGTCAAGAGTATTTGACATGAGCAAAGCCTGCTGCAATGGTAGATATTGTCTTCTCATTATGTACGCCTGCAGACCTCGATTGTCATGTTCGGATGTCTTCACACAATCCAATAATGTCCTTTAATTGAACCGGCTCAAAGTCAGTTATCTCATACACGGAATCGAAATCGCGCGACCGTTCACGCTGCCCAGATGATTTTTAAAACTGCTCATCTGCACAAACGTTGAAGTGCCTTAGGCACGATTTTCGGCCAAGAAGTCCTTTCAGCCGCATCGAAGCTCCAGTCTCCACTTCGATGCGTGCCTATCGTGCGGGGACATCGACCAGCCACGAAGCCAAAGGGTTCACAGCGACACCCGAGGGTTAGTCGCGTGCATCGACTCGAGCGTAGGTATGGCAAGGTGAGTGGCGCTCTCTTTGCTATCAATTCCTCACAAGTGCTTCCATCATTTCTTGTGCTACCATACAACACGATGCCCGTCTTTCCTAGCTTACAGCAAGATATCCTCTGTATGAACCTCAATGGCGGAAGCTAGATGCTTCGGAGCTAACAGCAATAGTGCCTCGCGATATCACGACCTGGGAATGGCTGTTTGAGAGCACTACATACTCACCAGTCTTGCGATTTCCGAAAGAACAACAAGCAGGCTTCACCGACGCGATCTCGAAAGAGCGATTGAGCTGGCAAGATGTCAAGGACACCGCGACCTGGTTGTCGACTGCACTGGTTAAGAAGTATGGCTTGAAAGAAGGCGAGACAGTATCCCTCTTCTCAGCAAACACAATATGGTACCCAGTTGCGATGCACGCTACGCTGCGCGTGGGCGGCAAAGTGAGCGGTGCCAGTCCAGCGTACAATGAGGAGGAAATGACCTATGCTCTGCAAAAGGCGGACGCGAAGTTCCTCATGACACACAAGGACAGCATGGAGGTCGCGATCAAGAGCGCGAAGAATGCAGGCGTGCCCAAGGAGAACATCTTCCTATTGGAGGGTGAGATGGATGGGTTCAAAAACATCAAGACGTTGATCCAGGAGGGCAAACAGCTCGGCGAACCAGTACCAGTCTGGCGCATACCGGCCGGGAAGACCAACTTCGATATTTGCGGATTCTTGTCCTTCTCATCGGGAACAACGGGGTTGCCAAAGGCTGTGATGATCGCTCATCAGAATGTTATTGCTCAATGTCTCCAAGTCATGAGCATCACACCAAGCGACCACAAGCGCGTACTGGCAGTTCTTCCGTCTTTCCACATCACTGGCCTCGTACACGTTCTTCACCTGCCACTCCTCATCAATGCAGAGGTCTTCTTCTTACCAGCCTTTACAATGGAAGCCATGCTCAACACCGTCACCGAATACAAGATCCCAGAACTCCTTCTCGTCCCTCCGATCCTCATCAGAATGGTTCGCGACCCAATCGTGAAGAAGTACGACCTCAGCTGCATCCAGCGCTTCTCCTCCGGCGCCGCTCCCCTCAGCGAAGAAATTCTCGTCCTGCTCAAAAAGCAGTTCCCGCAAGCCGGCTTCAAGCAAGGCTACGGCATGACGGAAAGCTGCAGCTGTATCACCGCACATCCTCCCTGGTACTACGACTTTAAGTACGCTCACACAGTCGGCACTATTTGCGCCAGCACAACAGTCAAAATTGTCAAAGAAGACGGCACAGAATGCGACATCGGCGAACCTGGCGAAATTTGTGCCAAAGGACCACAAATCGTCATGGGCTATCTGAACAATGACAAAGCTACTAAGGAGACCTTCGATGAACAAGGATACTTGCATACTGGCGACCAAGGCAAAATCGACGAGAATGGTCTCATCACTATCGTCGACCGCATCAAGGAACTCATCAAAGTTAAAGGCATTGGTGTCGCGCCTGCCGAGCTCGAAGATTTGCTCCTCGGCCACGACAAAGTCGAAGATGTCGCCGTGCTGGGTATCCAAGACGACTACTCCGGCGAAGTTCCAAAGGCATATATTGTGCCACAAAGCGGATCGACCGCCAGCCAGGAACTGGGACGAGAGCTGTTGAAGTATGTGAAAGATAACAAGGTGAGGTACAAGGCTGTGAAAGAAATCGAATTCATCGAAGCCATTCCAAAGAGTGCTTCTGGAAAAATTCTGCGAAGAATCCTGAGAGATCAGGCGAAGAAGGGAGCACAAGGTGTCGTGGTTCGAGAAGAGAGACCGAAGATCTGAGAAGAAATCTACAATTTTCCAGGAACTTCGATTTCGTGTTCGGCTGCGACTCAGATATGCATATATGTACGAATCAATGAACGAACCACCAGATCAATCATTCCAGCCCAAACACACCAGTCCAAACATCCATGCTCCTCACCTCTCCTTCTTTCTCACTCAACTCCAACATCCTCTGATATTTCCTCTTAATCTCGCTATCCTCGTGGAGTCCATCTAACTTGGTATCAGCTTTCACAGCCCCAACTTCCCACTTCCCATCGTCAACCTGCGGACATTCAATCCATGCCTCTCGTTCAATCCTCCAGCCCGCTTCCTTAGCCAACTCCACGATCCTCGCTGGTGAAATAACACATTGCACATTCCCCTCCTCAATCGGTCTCGCCTTCTGGATCTCAACCGCAAGGACATGTGCTTCTGCCGCAGGATTCGTGACTCTCAGCCCCCATTCTGCGAGCAAAAGGCGAGGAGGATCTCCGTTTTTGTTCTGAGTTTGTGATTGTGCTGCGGCGTTGTGAAGAGCTCGCAGGAGGCGTGAGAAGTAATCTTCGTTCGGGAGGTAGAAGATTGAATGTGCGAGGATGATGAAGTCAGGTAATCCATCTGCCGTGCTGGTCCCCTCGTTCTGAGTATCAAGATTTTCGAGGTATTCGATTGGATCATATTGTATCCAATTGATACATTTTCCAAGACCGCTGGCACTGTCCGAAATGTGCTTTTGCGCTTGACGAAGGGTATATGGAGCACCGTAGTCTAAGTCTCCAGGATCGAGGGCTAAGATCTTGCCTTTCGCGACATTGTCGTGGTGTTCACTGTCCTCGTCGTGGAGTTGATTTTGTACGAGATGTGCCAAAGCAACAGTCATGTCGCCTTGACCACAGCCAAGTTCTAGAACACAACGGCCTTGCAGAGCGGCTTTAGCTTTGTCGAGGTCATTGTTGAACCATTTGGCGAGAATGTTGAGTCGGTGGACGAGTTGAAAGATTTGAATTGCGTCTGAGCCGCCGGAGATTGTAGACTTTGATAGAGTGGTAGCTAGTTCTTGACCAGTTCCATTGGATGCGGCCATCATGGTTGTGCTGAGCTGATACAATAGCAATGGCTCGGGATTGCAGTGTCTATCTTAACAATCGAATGCATAAGAGCTCAACTTCAAGTCATGCTCGTGACTCATCGTTGGTCATCCGAGCTGAGGGGTGAAGGATGGACGACTGCAGCATTGTCAATTTAGAGCAAAGCGGAGTAAAAAATGAATCATTGGCACATCTCATAACTTCGTCGTTCATTCATATAATTACATAGACAATCACCAAGAACTTTTTCTATGCTGTGGTGGTCGAAGTGAAGCCAGCCTCGTTCTGGATGACAAGTCCAGCAATAGATGCCGAAGACAATGTCGACAGTACACCGGTGATAAGTGCGCTGATGGCGAGTCTCGACACATCACCGGCTCTGCCTGGTGCGATCTGAGACAAGACACCAATCTGTGTACCCAGGGATCCGATATTGCCGAAACCACAGAGAGCATAGGTAGCGATCAGACGAGATCGAGGGGCGAGGTCATCATAGTCAGCGCTGGTGAGCTGGGTGAAGGCAACGAACTCGTTCTGCGGTTTTGTTAGTACGAATCAAAAAATCGGACCGAAGAACAACTTACAGTGACGACCTTGACACCAATCAGACGAGCGACCTTGAGAAGATCAGGGCCACGTGGGACGCCGAGCAGGAATGCGACTGGGTACAAGACGTATCCGAGGATCAGCTCGATTGTAAGATCGTAGTTGCCGTCCAGGTTGATGTAACGACCGACCCAGGTGAGAATACCGTTGATCAAAGCAACAAATGCAATGATACAGAGAAGAGTGGTCAGAATCATAGCAGCAATCTTGAGACCCAGCCATGCGCCGTTGGCGAATGCGTGGAGAGCATTGGCAGCCTTGTGGGTGTCGTCGTCTGGAACGACGACCTTTCCTGCAGTCAAGGACTCTTCCTCTTCAGGATATCGCATCTTGGACGCGGCGAGTGAAGCCGGAATTGACATGACGCAGGAGGAAATCAAAGCCTGAGGATTCAGACCCATACCGATGTAGGCGACCAGCACGGAACCTGCAATCGTAGCGAAACCCGAAGTCATGACCTGATGCAGCTCGCACATAGTCAAGTGTGGCACGAACGGCTTGATCAGCATGGCCGATTCACCCTGTCCGATGAAAGGTGTAGCGGAAGCGACTACTGCCTCGGCACCGGAAATCCTCATGGACCAGAAGAAGAAGACTGCGAATTTGCCGACGAACCACTGGATCAAGCCAACGTAGTACATGAGCTGCACGAGCGCCACGAAGAAGATGATGGCTGGCAGAACTGTCACCAAGAACCATGGGGTGTCTGCGACCCATTCCTCGTTGGTCAAGAAGGACAGACCGTTTGCTGCGAATCCCAGAAGGGATCGTGCAAGACTGGAGATGAATTCGAAGATGTCATAACCAGCACCAGTGCGCAACACGAAGAGCGCAATGATGTATTGCAGCAGGAAGCCTGAGATGACAGTGTGCCAGTTGATCGCCTTTCGGTTTCTCGATGTGGCGTACAGGCCAGCAATCAAGACAAGCATTCCGAATAACGAAATGGCACGGTTCTCTCGAGTGTTGTCCCGCGACTCCTCGCTAGCGAACGATCCAACCAGCAAGACGGCAAAGGTGCCTGCAGCGCCAAGCCAGAGCCTGAATCGCTCGGGAATCATTTCGGTCGCGCGACCACATGTGTTGCGCCATACGAAACGCATCGGCCTCGTGACGTAGGATGTTCCGGTGTGTAGAGTGATGAAGCGAATGGTCAGTGCCAGCCAGATGAGGAACGGCACTACCCAGTTCTTGTCATTGCGATGGAGGACCAGACTTGCAACCCACCAAGCAGTTGCCAATAGCCACAGCGTCAAGTGGATGAATATCCTGTACTTTCGATAGAACGAACGCTTCTTGCTTGGCTGCTCTTCCGAGGCTTCCAAAGACTTCGTTGGAGTGATTGGTGAAGTGTTGCCTTGTTCGACGTCGATATTGTAATCGCCCTTCTTCTCGCTGCCATATCCCGGGCCGTGGCTTATGCCGTGTTCTTGAGCGCTGGGGTCGGGGATCGTGGGACGCTCGTTCGTGGTGCCGACGGTATATGAAGGCACATCTGTACCGTGTTGATGCCCGTGTTGGCCATGATGCAGGTGGCCATGCGAGTGCTGGCGCGCCGGGTCCAGCGCGGGATCCTTGTGTGCAGACTCCATTGGACTGTGCGTGGAAGTCGCAAAAGTATACAGCAAGAGCCGGGATGCAGTAAGAAAATCGCTCTGTGTGGTCAGCTCCACGGCGACGGTATTCTTAAATCTTTACTCCACCTGAGCACGACCCTTTCCCTGCGAGCCATGCGACACCTTATCTGTGAGCCCGGGTCAGCCAGAAGCTCTTTGGCGAGCAGATGGCATCTCATTCGCTGCAACGAGCGTAGCATTGCAGTGGCCCCGCTTGGCGCCACATGGACAGTCGCTCGTTCTTTGGCCAGCAGCGCTGATCCCTCGACGCACCACTGGCCGGGCGAGTAGAGTTGCACGCTGGACCAGCGCTCGCTCCGGTCTTTTTGCCCTTTGCGTGGTGCTCAAGCATTAGTGCCACCCTTGGCGCGATAGCACTTTATCTGCACCGTCTGGACTCGCTGTGCCTTCTGGAAGAGCTGCAATCCTGCTGAACGGACATCGCCTTTGCCGTGGCCCTCACTTCAATCCTTCTCACTGCTGAGCGCTGCGTTGCTGATACGCGTTCCTCCGTGCTGGCGGCTGATTGTCCTGATATGCCACATTGCTGCCGAGACAGTGCATATTGTGGCCGGCGCAATTTGTGGGCATAAGTCGGGTTTCGGAGGTGAGCACATTGGCAGTGGCAATCGCCGGATAGCAACTCACCCTCTGCCGCGGGTCAAGCGAGGTTTGCCAATCATCGCGACTGACCAACAGCAGATGCAGTCGCGGGCAGGATGAGAAGGACTGACTAGCACAGCTCCCATGGGCCCCTCCCCCGTACCTCCCAGCCTTAGCACGAGGAGAACAGGCACCAGAGGCGAAAGCCGATGCGAACAGATGCAGCTTGCTTTCTGGGTTTTGCGGAGAAGAGGTTGATTTGTCGCGTGACAAGCTGTGGCGGTCTTGGTTCGAGGATCCCCTGCGACGCTGTGGCGTTGCGAACGGCCTGCACGATTGCTTGTCTGTCTTCTATCCGGTCGTCTGTCCAATTATTGCTCTTCCGCCGTCCGAAGACCTGGGAACCTCGCCCAAGGAGGATCTAGCGTGGCCGAGGCATTCTACGACCTGCCCCATTCGGATGCTGCCATTTGATGTGTATCAGGACCTCGAATTTCATGTGCGAAAACAGGAGCAGGTATTGAAAGGGACTGTGTGAAATGCAGAGTATCTACACGCGAAGACGAGTTGCTGGCCTATATTCTGGTGTTTGCAGCGGTGTCAAAGTTGAGTGACGGAGTTGAATCTGGGCATCGGAGTTGAGCTTGAGCGCCGATGCATTTGCAAATGTCAACCATGCCAAGTAACACATATTCGCGAACGCGAGATTGTATCAATGGCCCTTTTTTTCACGCATCATGAGTTCGTGAAAGTCTTGTTCACAGCATCGATCTGAGCTCAGATCATTCTGAGTGCAGCAACTTCAACCTAGGCTGCTAGAGCCACGCATGTTCACGTTGATCAACACCACATTGTCGAGCTACCCAGTCTGCACAGCTTCCAAAACCTTTCTAGTCTTACGGTCTCTTTCGGCTGTGTTTACAACGCCATACGCGCGATCTGCTTGTTGGCAAACGTCCTGTTGCCACTCCTCACCAATTTTGATATTACCCTTCTGCGTATCCTCATCACTCGCATCCCAACAATTCTGTATCGTCCCACCAATCTTCTCAAGGAAGCTTTGTAAACCTCCTTCTCCACCCCCAGCAGCATACGCCTTGAAAGGACCAGCAACTGCCCATCTAGGTCCCATTGAAGCACGAACGATTTCGTCCAAGTCTTCCACACCCACCACACCTTGAGTGACCAGCGAGCTGGCCTCCCGTAGCAACGCAAACGCGAGTCGGTTGGCCACGAACCCAACACACTCCTTTTGTACTACCACAGGAGTGCGTCCAAGAGCTCGCCAGTATTCCATTGTCCTTTCCACGACCTCTTCTGAAGTGGTAGGCGACTTCACGACCTCGAGCAAAGGCATGATATGCGGCGGATTGTAAGGATGTACGACAGCAAGTCGACTCTTATCTTTCATATCTCTGTTCTGCTCGCTGGCAGGAATGCCACTTGTACTTGACCACAAGAGTGCGTGTCCTGGTGCATGCTTCTCAATCTCTGGCCAAACTGCAACCTTGAAATCTGAATTCTCTGGTCCTTGCTCTTGTACAATGTCGGCATCTCTGACAGCTTCTGCCAAATCTTTGGCAATCGAAAGTCGTTCCATACATGATATTTGGTCGGTGTCGATGAGATAGCCTGGAATATGTTTTGAGACGTAGTCGTTGATGTCCGGCCTCGTGTCGTATATCGTGACTCGACATGTTGGGTTTTTTGACAAGTGAAGGGCGGCGAAGGACAGTCCGATTGTTCCTGAGCCTATGATAGCAATTCTAGTGGACTTCGCAGCCATGGTTGTAGGTTCGCAGTTCGGCGAACGGAGTTCAATGATGAAGAAGTAAAGATTGTATACTTAGCCGATGGTAATAGATACAGCTCGTAGGCTCTGCGACGCCTTCCCTCACTGTGTTGCTTCACGGCACTTCTGCAAGCAGATGATGTACGCTGCTAGTGTGGGAGGAAAAGGTCGTGGAAGAAGTGGAGAGCGGAGAGGAGAGCTGGGGTTCGGCTCATTTTCGGCAGCAGTGCCTGAGCTTGGAACAACGACAACAACTCTTGCCCCACGACCATACCTCCTACAAATTAAGAGACAGCCATGCCGACCACGTCGATGACTTGCCGATCAGGCGAATCAAACACAGAAGCAACGCAGTAAGAGAAGTCTTCACAAGAAGAGACGACCAGCCCATCTTGTGCGATCGGAAAATGTCTCACGAAGATATCTCGAGCATCATGAACTAGGCGAGGCTGCTGGATTTCATGCCGTAACCTTGCGGGCAGTTGAAAATTGTTGGAAGCAGCACGCATTCAGAGTCTCAAGGCCGCATGCATTTGCTCAAATCATGCGCGGTCACAGTCGTGAGGCCGCAAAAGGTTCCATGAGGATGTGGAATCCCTCGAGTTAGCTGACGACCCACGGTTCCCCTTCCTAAGGACCACGAAAGTCATTGAAGCTTCACTCAATTCCTATTTTATAAATGCTACGCTCCCTCTTCATTTCTCGACATCACACTTCGCTTTTCATCTACCCTCTTTTGAAGAGTTGCGACCACTGTTGCATAGAGCAAGCACGATCCAATCGAAGCCAAATCTCTCGCACGAAATCCATTATGGCAAGCATACCATTCGGTTGGAGCCTTTTGCTTCGACTGGCACTGCCCTACATTGTGGCTGTTCTGGTGAACGTTCTCTGTCTGCACATATACACCCGCGTCGGCCATCGTATTGCCAATTGGAATGGCTTCAAACATGATCGAATCTTGATTGACTCCGGAGCAGCACGCCATGTTACCTGGGACCGCAGCATGTTGATAAACTACAAGACATACCGTGTTCCAGAGCCATGCGCCGACGCTACAGGCTGTTCTTACATTCTTGGAGTGGGAGACGCCATGGTCCCCTTTGTGAAGGAAGACGGGACTGTTCAGGAAATTCTGCTCCAAGGAGTGTGCTATAACCCCTACATGCCTCTTACTTTGCTCTCGACGGAGCTTCTTCGTCAGCAAGGGGTCTTTCTCTCTACGGAACAACAGATGCTTTACCGGAGAGGTGTTGACGGCGGCAAGGAGGCACTCGCAGTGACTGAAACACTCCACAGTATACCGTGGCTGAAGGTTCCGGACGTCAAGGAAGCTCGCAATGATTCGAATGGATCAAGAAAATTCGGATTTTGGTCATACCTCTCGCAGCGAGTGGTCGTGGGCGACGGGAGGCAGGTCGACAGTACCTTGGCACATTATGATCGAGACAATCGAGAAAGCTCGCATGATGAGATCGATGAACTCGTCGACAAGGTGGACGAACAGAAGCGGAAGATCGCCGCCTTGGAGGAGCGTCTCAAGTCCGTCTGTCGTGCAAGCGACAAAGACGGCCTCGTGGTTTGAGTGCTCTCTCCGCGCATGAGATCAGGTCCAACGACTGAACGACCAAGCGTTTATCCGCGGCGGAAAAGATATTGGAGAAGATGCAAGCGAAGCATTCGGAAGCTGGTTCGATTTGTGCAATCATCCGTGCCAGATGCACACGGCAGCTACTGCAGTCACCTGTACTCAATGCCAACGAGATGAATTTTCAGCTGTGTTCGCTTCACCACTTGTGTATATTTCGGCCCTCTAGAGGATCAATTCCACTGCTCTTATGTTGAAATCAGCGATGTTCGACATCGGAGCATGAACTTGGGCACAACTTGAATGCGAACGAATGTTTCGATGAAGATCATGATGCCATGAAAGGTACTCCGCCTAGATAAATGCCATGTGTCGGGCGACAGATTACAACGTTGTCCAAGGAAGTCATTGTCTTGCTACACAGGCAAAGCATTGGCAGCCGCCAGTATATCAGCTCCCAGATCGGGATGTCTGCCTCTTTGTTCCGGGTTTGTAGATTCAATCATCATATTCAACATTCCAGGCTAAGCGGAAGAGCAGTCAGTCAACGTAATCCATGGACAAGTGCTGCACACGACGGTAAGAACTGACCCTCTGATCCGTGAGCAGAGACTTGGACATGACGCTCCTCGAGATGACATCGTGGTATGTCTCTTTCTGCTGCTCATTGTATCGTTCTGGGTTCTTTGCAGGAGGAAGATTGTAAATCATGCCCAGAGTGCGGCCGACAAAGTCCCTAAAACATCGGGCTCAGTGCTTTGAGTAGATGCTGAGTGGAGGACTACTCACCACATGAAGTACACACGATTCTTCGAGCGTGCAGGCGTCATGTACGTGTCCTGCAAGTTCTCGCTCATGGCATCGTGGTAGGCCAATTTGCCAAGCAGATCACGATGAGCGTCAGCAAACCGCTTCCACTCAGCATTGGCGTCATCTGGGAGGGGCTGTGAGACCAAATTGTCCGTGAACTCCTTGCGAGTGGCGTTGGAAGGATCCATTGTTGAGGTGTGTATGGGAAGTATAGAGTGAGCGAAGAGGGCAAAGTTGAATGATCTTGACCTGGTTCTGACGTCGGAATGCGAGGGGCAGGAGTTCAAGTTGATTTTGCCCATTTTACCTCTTTTTATACTCTCGCTCAGAAGGCATTCGCGAAGATTCATTGGGATGTGGCGTGACGAGATGCTGGATCATTTTGATGCCTGCCATGATCATTCGGTGTTTTGTGATACAGGAGACTTCTTTGATCAACGCGTGTAAGCAGTGCAACGCGTCGAAGGCAGAAACAGACCAGGGCCGGAAAGCCGGCTAGGGCTCGGGGGTGACGCGGGGGCATGTGATCTGCAATTCGACATTGCGAAAGTGGCTACTGCTGCAGCACATGAAAGCTGGCATCGACACACTTCTGGTCCGAGAGGAGCGGCAGAATTGCACGAGTCCGTGTGTCGGTTTCGCAAATGACTGCGCACACGCTGTGAGAGGGCAGCACTTCCATCTGGCCCCATGTTTTCCATGAACTCGCCGCAAGCCTCGCCCTTCGATAAACCACGAGACGATCGACCACGGCCCAGCCGCCAGACGTCGCAACTTCGCCCTGCAGTCGCACCCTCTCCTGGAGGTTATCAACAGGGAGACTCGTACTTTCCGCAACAGCCTCCGAGCTCGAACCCCCAACAGTTGCCCTACGGACAGCCCGGCATGGACCAGCAGCAATATGCCGGCCAGCAGTATGGCGGGCCACAGTACGGCGCACAGCCCGATGTCAATGGTGCAGCGCAGCAAATGGGACAGATGGGAATAGATGCTGCTGGCGGCACTGTTCGGAGAAAGAAGAAGGACAGACATGCTCATCACACTATCGAAACGCCAGCTGGAACTTCTGCCTTCGGAGCGAATGGGATTCCACAAGGAGCACCAGGTGCAGACCCATCACAAGCGCCGTGGCAGCAGCCTGCACAACCATGGCAGACGCAAGCCTCGCCTCAGCCTGGCGGTCAACTGCATCCGCAGCCTGGTGTTCCATTCCAACAGCCCGGAGCGCCAATAGGAGCACCCATCAGCATGGGAAATGCACAACAGCCTGGACAACCACCTGGAGCGCAGCGAGTCGACCCAAACCTCATCCCGAGCATACCTTTGAGCCGCGATCTCCCTGCAGACTACTACAAACAGCATGTATATCCAACAATGGAGCAGCGGTTACCTCCGCCCGCCACGACCCCTTTTGTTGCCTTCGACCAAGGCAACGCCTCACCGAAACACGCACGACTCACACTGAACTGCATACCGAATTCTCAAGAACAATTAGCCACGACCGCATTGCCTCTTGGACTGGTAGTTCAGCCATTGAATCGACAATCTGACGGCGAATCTGCCATTCCTGTACTTGATTTTGGTGAGATCGGACCTCCTCGATGTCGAAGATGCCGTGCATACGTCAATCCATTCATGGTGTTCTCCAATGGTGGTAACCGAATGACCTGCAATCTCTGTGGGCATCCCAATGAAGTGCCTCCCGAATACTTTGCCCCAACCGACCCTTCCGGGATTCGTGTAGATCGCCAGGATCGACCGGAACTCCTCCTGGGCACCTGTGAATTTCTCGTGCCAAAGGAGTATTGGTCAAAAGAGCCGGTCGGTCAGCGCTACCTCTTCCTCCTGGACGTCAGCGCAGAAAGTTGCACTCGCGGCTTCCTGAAAGCCACTTGTGATGGCCTGCTGGCCGCACTCTACGGCGATGATTTTGAAGTTGAGCCTAGAGACGACGACGATGAGGACGAAGCTGAGGCGAAGCCACCAAAGCCCAGCAAAGTGCCTGCAGGCGCAAAGGTCGGTTTTGTCGCGTTCGATCGCGAGATCCATTTCTTCAATGTTTCCTCTGGTCTCTCTGCGCCACAACAGCTTGTTGTATCTGACCTTGAAGAACCATTTGCTGCTATCTCTGCTCAGCACCTATTTGTGAATGCGGCTGAGTGCAAGTCGAATATTGTCACTCTGCTGCAACAACTCCCTGCCATGTTCGAGCGCATCAAACATGCCGAGCCTGCTCTCTTACCTGCGCTACAAGCGGCATTGTCCGGATTGTCGGAATCAGGCGGCAAGATCATTTGCACACTGGCAAGCTTGCCCACTTACGGTCCAGGACGGCTGACAGTGCGTGATCGGAATATGCAAACAGCTTCGAATGACAACCCAGAACAGGAGAAGGTCTTGTTCCGAACAGAAAACCAAAGTTACAAGAAGCTACAAGCCGACATGGTCAAGGCTGGGGTAGGTGTCGACTTCTTCCTGACTGCTCCTGCAGGTGGCTACTTGGACATTGCTACGATTGGCTTAGTGTCAGAAAAGACTGGTGGCGAGACTTTCTACTATCCAAACTGGGCATATCCTCGCGATACCTTACGCCTCGAAAAAGAGCTCAGTCATGCCGTGCAACGCGAGCAAGGTTATGCTGTGCTGATGAAAGTGCGTTGCAGCAACGGGCTGCAAATCGCACATTACAGCGGCAACTTCACACAACACACTTTTGGCGCCGACCTCGAGATGGGCACGATGACTGAAGATTCAGCCGTTTCTGTCACCTTCACCTACGATGGCAAACTTGAGGTGCGCAATGACGCTCATTTCCAGTCCGCTGTTCTGTATACGACCACATCCGGCCAGCGCCGCGTCCGATGCACCAACGTGGTAGCGACTGTCACGGAGAATGCTCGAGACAGCATGCGCTTCGTGGATCAAGACGCAGTGCTCACGATACTTGCCAAAGAGGCTGCATACAAGGTGCCCGATAAGTCTCTGGCGAACACCCGACAAGAGCTGCAAGACAAGACGACAGATATCCTCGCGGCTTACCGAAAACATCACAGTGGCGCGCATCCATCGGGACAGCTTGTGATGCCAGAGCACATGAAGGAGTTTGCAATGTATACGCTCGGGTTGATCAAATCGCGGGCCCTGAAAGGCGGCAAAGAGCCAAGTGATCGACGGATACACGAACTGCGTATGCTCAAGAGTATGGGTCCTGGCGAGTTGAGCTTGTATCTTTACCCCCGAGTCATCGCCATCCATGCCATGGAGCCAGGAGAGGGCTTCGCAGATGAGAACGGTCATCTCAAAATGCCTCATGGCGTGAGAGCGAGCTTTGCCAACATTGAGGAAGGCGGCGCATATCTGTTCGACAATGGACAAATGCTCATTCTCTGGCTCCATCAGCTCGTTAGTCCGAATCTTCTGGAGGATCTGTTCGGCGAAGGCTGTAATGAGCTGCACAAGCTGGACCCTAATCTCAACGCACTGCCTGTTCTTGAGACACATCTCAACGCGCAAGTTCGCAACATTCTGATTGCTTTGGAGCAAGGCTCTGGAACCGGAAGAGGGTCAAAGGGTTTGTCGATTCAACTCGCGAGACAAGGACTTGATGGAGCGGAATTTGAATTCGCGAGACTACTGTACGAGGACCGGAACGGAGAGGCGAGCAGTTATGTGGATTGGTTGGTGATGTTGCATCGGGGCGTGAGTCAGGATGTAAGTCGACGGCGATGAGTGGTGTCGAGCTGAGGCCATAGACTGATAAGTGCGGACAGCTCTCCGGGCAACGGTCGAAGTCTTCGACGGACAACAAGAACTTCACTGAGACGATCAGTACCATTGCACATAATGTTCCGTACTTTACGTAGGCGATGAGGTCGCTTTATTGCGGTGTGAACGAAAAAAGTGGCAGAGTGCTTCAAGCGTGGCGTTGGTGGGTTGGAGGGAAACAGGACCTGGGCTTGTTGATCGCGGTAGATGTGGAAGCGATACATATTTGATGTTGTGGCGTATCAGATGAATGTGTCATCTCGACTAGATCCGCCGAATCGAATGCTGCTCTGTCTCAACCAGTGTGCGCCGTGCTGGCGTCTGCCGGACAGTCTTCTTGGTCTGTGCGCGCGGCGCGAGTCATGTGCGGCTTATCTAAGTGTCTGCATTGACGGATATCGAGATTCACTTTCTTGCTCTCTCGAACTTCTCGACTGCACCCATCCAACGTGCAAAGATGTCTGGCCGCAAAGACTTCCTGTCGCAGGCCGCGCCAGAGAACTATGTCGCTGGTCTGGGACGTGGTGCGACAGGCTTCACCACTCGATCCGATCTTGGTCCCGCACGTGAAGGCCCTAGCGAAGAACAGATCAAGGAGGCACTTGCCAAACGCGCCGCGCAACTCGGCACCGCCGCCCCTACTGCATATGGGGTGAAGGGTAAAAAGGACGACGAGGAAGACGAGGACCGTTACCAGGATGCCGAGAACGAGGAAGGTCTTTTCGCCAGCGGCAACTACGATCGTGAGGACGACGAGGCAGATCGCATTTACCAAGATGTCGATGATCGCATGCAGAAGCGTCGCAAAATTTCAAGGTTAGTTTCTCCCCTCTCCCAATCCCCCAGCACTTCTACGTCGCGTACATGAAGAAAAGTCATGTTCATCTTCTTCGCAGCACGAATTTTGTCATGGACAGCATGCCGACTTGAGGAATTACAGGGAAGACCGCGAACGCAAAGAACGCGAAGACTACGAAGCGAAGAATCCGAAAATCTCCCAACAGTTTGCCGATCTCAAACGCGCCCTTGGAACTGTCAGCGATGAGGAGTGGGCTGAGATACCAGAGGTGGGCGATCTGACGGGAAAGAATAGGAGGAGCAAGCAGAACTTGAGACAGAGATTCTATGCTGTGCCGGATAGTGTGCTTGCGGGGGCGCGAGACGCTGGACAGTTGGGCGCAGAGATTCAAGACGATGGAATGGCAACGGAGGCTGATGGAGCGGCGGCCGGATCGAGTGAACAGGCGGACGGGACAATGACCAATTTCGCGGACATCGGTGCTGCGCGTGACAAAGTGCTCAAAGCTCGTTTGGACAAGGCGGCAGGTGCAGAGACCTCGCTGGCATCCGGCACGAGTACCAACATCGATCCCAAAGGATATATGACTGCCTTGACGAATTCCGAGCTCAAGGCGGGTGAAATCCCAGTGGGAGACATCAGGCGTGCTCGAGTCCTTCTGGAGTCCGTTATCAAGACGAACCCCAAGCATGGACCAGGTTGGATCGCTGCGGCACGTTTGGAGGAGTATGCAGGCAAGATCGTGGCTGCGAGGAACGTAATCCGGCGAGGCTGTGAGATGTGCCCGAAAAGCGAGGCAGTGTGGCTGGAGAGCATTCGTCTGAACGACAACGCCAACGCAAAGATCATTGCTGCTAAAGCCATCGAGAACAATGATAGATCTGTGCAGCTTTGGCTCGAAGCTTCAAATCTGGAACAGCTCCCAGCTGCTAAGAAGCGAGTCCTTCGAAAAGCACTGGATCATATTCCACAATCGGTCGCCATCTGGAAACAGGCAGTGAATTTGGAAGAGGATCCAGCTGATGCCAAACTGCTCCTTGCTAAAGCCACAGAGATCATCCCACTTTCCGTGGAGCTATGGCTTGCACTCGCTCGTCTCGAGACGCCAGAACAGGCACAAGTCGTGCTCAACAAAGCACGCAAGGCTGTACCGGCCAGCTATGAAATCTGGATCGCGGCTGCGCGTTTACAAGAGCAGACTGGACAGCATGCCATGGTGTTAAAAGTCATGGAGCGCGCGATCAAGAGTCTGCAGAAGGAGTCCGCTATGCTTAAGCGTGAGCAGTGGATCGAGCAAGCGGAGATTTGCGAAGAGGAAGGCGCTCCTCTTACGTGTCAAGCAATCATCATGAATACCATTGGCTGGTCACTCGATCCAGACGATGATCGCAAGCAAATCTGGCTCGATGATGCCAAATCGTCAACGAATAGGGGCCGTTACGAGACTGCTAGAGCCATTTACAACATCACGCGGAAGGAATTTTACAACAAAAAGAGCGTTTGGCTCGCTGCTGCCGACCTGGAGCGATCACATGGTACCAAAGAACAGCTGTGGGCTCTACTGGAAGAAGCAGTCAAGTCAATACCGAACTCTTCCGAATTGTGGATGCAGCTCGCCCGAGAAAAATGGGTTGCTGGCGATGTCGAAGGAGCTCGTCATACACTGGGAGAGGCATTCTCCAAGAATCCTGAGGATGAGGACATCTATCTGGCTGCTGTCAAGCTCGAGGCTGACAATGGTCAAGAAGATCGCGCTCGATTACTTCTCACACAGGCGCGACAAGAAGCTCGCACGGATCGTGTCTTCGTCCGCAGTGTTGCGTTTGAGCGTCAAACAGGAAACAACGATCGTGCTTTGGAGCTTGTCATCGAAGGGCTTGATGCGTTCCCGAAGAACGACAAGTTGTGGATGATGAAGGGCCAAATCTACGAGGCGAAGAACAATCTGCCGCAAGCACGAGAGGCATATCGCAACGGCACTGATCGATGTCCAAAGTCAGTGCCGCTATGGCTTCTCTGGTCACGACTGGAAGAGAAGATGGGCGTCACAGTCAAAGCCCGTTCAGTCCTCGATCGTGCACGGAAGTTCGTGCCCGCCAATCCTCAACTCTGGACTGAGTCGATCCGCCTCGAAATTCGAGCAGCAAAGAAAGCGAATACTGCCAATGCCACGACGAGTAACCCTGCCGCAAGCCAAAAGATGGCTCAGGCTTTGCAAGAATGCCCCAAATCTGGCCTGGTATGGGCAGAACGCATCTGGAACCTGGAAGCTCGCACGCAACGCAAACCTCGCATCCTCGAGGCCATCCAAAAGGTGGAGAACGATCCTATCTTGTTCGTCACAGCGGCTCGCATCTTCTGGTCTGAGCGCAAGCTGGACAAAGCGGATACGTGGTTTCAGAAGGCTGTGACGTTAGACCCCGATTACGGTGACAGTTGGGCGTGGTGGTATAAATTTCTGCTGCAGCATGGAACGGAGGAGAAGGTCAGACAGATTGTGGCAAGTTGTGTGGACAATGAGCCTAAGCACGGGGAGAAATGGGCTGCTGTGAGGAAGAAGCCGGAGAATGCGAGATTAGGGATTGAAGAGATTCTCAAGTTGGTGGCGAGAGAAGTCGAGTGAGAAGTCTGCCTCAGGAAGTGTCCTCGAGCACCTAGAAGCGACTTGGAAGCGCATACCAGCCAATTCGAACAGTTTGACCTGCATACTGACTCACCAGCCTTTCCAAACTGACCAGCGATGTCGTTGCGCGAGATACATATATGGTGAAGGCATCGTCGATCAACATTCATACATCAATATATACCAGCCGAGGCAGCATAGCCACGTGCACGGCTTAATCCGACAAAAAGCATCTATATCCAAACATTGACCTAAGACATACATCCGCAACAGAAGAACACATAGCACAGTAACAGGATCCTCCACGGAAGCCAACGTACAATTCGAAACATGATTGGGCCAAACACAATGGCACGTTTCGAAGTTCCAGAGCCTGAATCGATGCAGCACGGCACAGTGATCTAGAACAGTAGCTTCTACTTGGCAAGAAGTCTATGCAAGCTGCGCAAGATTCCATGGCTGACGCCTCAACTTGGCAGATGAGGTCAAAAAGAAAGCGGCGCCCGGCATGTTGTTTCGTCCTATTTGAGTGGTGCTGCTGTCGTAATATAGTCTCATCTTTTCGGCACGAAGTGTCAAAATGCAGATCAAGGTTAGTGGTAAGAAGAGAATAATATCAGATGACTTCATGCTGATGATTGATGAATAGACACTGTTAGCCTTCGGCTTCTTCTCCAGCCTTGCTGCTGCACAAGGACCTACATAGTATGCGCGCTCCCGTCAATCCGATGGGAGGTCGTATTATGATTTAACAACCATCAATAGCACCCTCCAACTCTTCGACGAAAGGCGATGCGGAGAATATGTCTACCAACTCGGCGTACCCGCTTCCAACCGACAGTGCGTTGAGCTGCGAAGGAGTCGCTCGTTCAGCTATACCAGTGGCACTCGAGGTCCAGGAAATCGTTGCAGACTGATCGCGTACAGAGGCGATGATTGTGATGGGAGGTCAATTGTTTTGGAGCCGAGGGGAGTTTCGAGTTCGAGACATGGACAGTGTATCAGTGGATATGAGAGCGTGAGGATGGTTTGTACCTGAGGGGACACGTCAAGTCAAGCGTAGAGCAAGAGAACGCGGTGTTGAGTATCAGTCCCGCCAGCGTATTGACCAGTTTCCTTTTGCGAATGAAGGCTCCACGACCATCCCTGCCATCAATGCCTCTGCTTTGCGGATCTCAGTTGCAGATGGAGCTTCTTCTCCTTCGTCTTGGTCTTCGCCGCCTTTCTTCGACTTTGTCTTCCCCTTCCCTGGTTTCTTCTGAGGCGTCGCGTTTCCCTCTCTCCTGGGCACCTCAAACCCAAACACCACGCCTCGCCTCGCTGCCCTCCTCACCATTTCTCTCTCCTCTGCTCTCTTCGCACCCTGTCTCCTCTTCTCCAAATCATCGGCGGACTCTTCAATCTTCTCCTGTCGCCCTCTCTCGCCTCCGACGCTGAAGTTCACCAAAGACTGGTCCTGTGGCGGTCGAATTCTCACCCCTCCATCAACCGATCCATCTGTATCGTAGTTCTCAGCCACAGCTCCCTTCCTGGCCTGAAATTCATCCTCCTCGCTGTCTTCATCATGACTCGCCTCCTCAGCACTCTCGTCATCCTCCTCACCACTACTCTCCATATCCACACTCTTCCATTCCCCCTTCTCCGCGATCCCCCTCGCCTTCCGATTTCTCCTCCTCCCAGAAGTCTTCTCCGGGTCAAATCTACTCCCAAAAACAATCTCCTCAATCTCATCACACGTCACAATGACCCTCGGATCACCTTTGACAGCTTTAGTCTTGGCAGCAGTCTTCTCAATCCCAGAGTCCGGATCACTGTTCAAAAGCGAAGCAATCGTCTTTTCGATTTTTCGATCCAGAGGGCCGGGCTTCTTGCCGCGACAGCGGCTGGAGCAGTACTTGATTTCGTTATTTCCTGATGTGGAAGAGGTTTGCTGTTTCTTGGTGGTTTTCTTGGAGTCTAGAGAGACAGAGTCAGAGAGTTCTGTGACTTGTCTATGAAGCTTGATGGGAATGTATACTCATTACACGGCCGCAGGTATGGCAGTAAGGAGTATCTGCATTGGCGAGATACAGTGGCGCAGGGACTTTGGAGTTGGCGCTTGGCCGGGACCAGGAGTCCATCCACGACATCGTGGTCGAAAAGACTTGATGCGAGGTTCTGAACTGGAGAAGAGCTGTCGGGACTTGAGATCTTGAGGCAGTGAGGCAACTGGTTCGAGCTATGGAGAACAGCCGGATCATGTGAAGTTCGTACAATGTCTGGAGCTGGAGCAAGGTTGTTGGAACACGCGAAGTGAATTGGACGTGTCGAATTGTGACGTCACCATATATGATGCTACCAAGAGCTCTGTGCTTTCCAAACATGAAATTATTCCGAGAATATCTGAGTGTCGCTAATGATATATAACTCCTCGCCATGCTGAAGGTCGTCCTACTACATTGAGCACAAATGAAAATGCATAATTTGAAGCCTTGCCAAAGATCTCTTAAAGCCTTCGTTTCATGATCGTTAAGTCGTTTCGAAATCGTCAAGCGAATACATTTGCAGCTTCTTTCCGGGCAAGTGTGTAGCTTTCACTCCCGTCGTAGAACATACCGAAATCAAAAAAACACTCTGTGCTTCCACATGCGGCATAACGGCAGCTCGCTCACCAACCCTCCCATCCTTCTATTCCTACAAATGAGGATCATCTTCAAATCGGCCCTCGCATTCATTTCCCTCCTTCAAACCCCGGCCCACCAACGAACCTCACTACTCTCCCCATCCTCGGTCCCGAGAGACTCTCATCCTCAAATGTTCCCGTAAATCGGAAATCCCACTCCCTCGTCGCCCACCGATAATGATACGCATCCCATCTCGTTCTTGTATCGTACGGCTGCAGGACCAGCATGTCTTTCCAGGAACCAGCAAATTTCGCCGTCCGAGCCTTGGGCGCCATGGCGATGCAAACAGTCGGTGGATCGAAAGGCTTGAGTTTCCGTGTCAGAGCAGGATAGCAGGAGAGCGAGCAAGAGGTGTCGAGTTCTAGGAAGCGGATGTGCGAGTGCGTGCCGCGGGAAATGACGCTTTGGAGCAGAGGGTTCAGGATTGGAGGTGCAGGTGGAGGGGAATACGAAGATGATGACACATCAGTGTGATCTGTAGATGTCGTTGCGAAGGGGCTGCTGCTGCTCGTGCTAGATGAAGACCTGTAGTTCAGACTGGGAGTAGGATCAAACCAGAGTTTCTGTCTCAGTCTCGGTGAAGCCATGATGGTCGAATGAAACATGTGAGAAGTAGCTTGACTGAGAAGGAGAGTCTTCATATCCAGTTCCAAGAGGATGAGCTCGAGGAGTTCAGTCGTGTTGAAGACGAGTCTGACTGGATTGTAAGGTTGGAGATAAGCTGCTGCGGCGGCTGCGGCCACATCTTGCAATTCGCTGCTATAGAAGCGCATGCGTCTGTCGAGGTCGGTGGAAAACATAATTTGAGCTTGTGAGAACTTGTTGTCTGTGTCGATGCCGCGCGACTGTCTTATAAAGGCAGATCGTGCTTAGTGCAGATCGAAGATGGAAGGACTTCGGTAGCGGACGAAGGTGGAGGAGGACAATGTTGAGCGGTGACGAGGTTGGGGAGTGGGATATCTGTGATACTTCAGCAAGTGGTGAGGAGAGAGCGGTGACACATCATCAACGTTCTCGATCGTCATTAAATCGGATCATGTGCGGTGGTGCAAGAGTGATACAGTCGTGTTGCTGCAGTGTCTGGTCAGCCACAATGGAAAGTTTTGCCTGTTCGAGGCTCTGTGCCTGAGACGAACGTGAGGGGTCGCCAATCAGATGTGAGCTCGAAATCAGCTCTCAGGTGACCACGATGCATCCTTTGATAATCGACAGCAGACGCGTCTATCGGAATTTGATAAGTCCAGAGAGCGACTTGGCCCCGGTATAAGTAGAGAGCGAAACTGCGGACATATAGTGGCTCTTGAACGCAATCCCACAGCGAGGCGGATGTTGCACTCTAGCAATCTTGGGGATGTGAGCAATGGTGACCAAGCCTCCACTGCTGGCCCGAGTGATATTACAATGTTGTACATATTGGCCGCATTTGCAGTTCTGTATCCTGTCTTTTGCTAGCCAAGCCGCGACCGTGTCCAGCGCCTAACCCGAGCACATCCCGTGAAACGCAGGTCGCAAGCCGCAACGTGAGAAATTGACTGTGTCGCGATCAATAACCATCTTGCTCTTTTCTGCCATCGCCCTGTACTGCACTAGTACTCGCGCCAGCGGCGGCATCTCGCTGCGCAGCCTCATCGCCTCGGAGCTTCGCAAAGTATGCCTTGATATCCTCAGCACCGACAGCTTGCCCACTCTCCGCAAATGGCTGGAGGAAGGCCTTAACTTTGTCTCGGACGTGATTGTACGCCATGACGCCCTCAATGGCTCTGACGCGATCCATTGACGACAAGGCCGCCTCACCACGATCAAGTAAGGACCCGGAATTCACACTGCGCCCACCAACGGAGGCATTCTCGTTGTGGTCGGATTCTGAAACTGGCGGCTCGTACGCTTCCTCCTCCTCGAGCAGTTGAGGGTGCTTGGACAGGCGCGGGAAGCACTCGACGCATTTGCAGAGGTGATCACGGAAATCCTCCTTGAGGAAGAGCGATATTGGAGGTGAAGTCGCTGCAGGCAGCGAAGCGTGTTTGGGAGCCGAAGTGCCATTCGTGGCCGGTTTGGTATCGGTGTCCGTTTCTGGCGGTGCAGAGCCCTGTGCTTCGTCCTCCGACTTGAGCTTCTTATTGCTCTCCTGCGAGTCCTCTGCGTCCTCGGCTTTTCTCTTGCGATTGTCGTCGGTATTTGAAGACACTGAGCGCTGTGCGATCTCTCCATGGGCGTTTGCCATCAGCGCGGCATTCGCGGGCAGTCCAGCTAAGAAGCCAGCGGTGCCCGCGTATTGCTTGATCCAAGGATACGCGCTCACGCATTTGTAGCAGATGAAATGGTCGAAGTCGTCCTCTGCGGGGAAGCCCGAAGGCAGAGGCGGTTCATCTGTCTGTGCTGCAGTTGTCCCGTTCTCTGCAGCATTTTCTGTAGCTTCCTCAACCTCTTCTTTCACAGTGTCCAATCCGCCATTGGTCTCTGGTTTTGTCTCGACGCGCGGCTCATGCTTGATCCTGGGCAAACCCATTAGGCATTCAGGATGCCACCAATCTTCACCGCAGCCGCCATCTTCCACATGTCCCAGCCCTAGACACTGGAACATGGTGCCCTTTTCCTGCTCAGGATCGTAATCCTCACTGCAACCGCAGAACTTGCCCTCGAAGTTCTGATCATACTTGTTGCCTTCTCTGGCCTTCTCCCCAGTCACGCCGCCCTTTTGACCAGTCTCTGCGTTCGTGCGGAGCGTGCATGGTGTACCAGAGGTTTCAAATCTCGTTGTCCCGCAGTCGCAGACAAAATCTCGTTTCGTGAACAGCTCGACCAGGTTGTGCTCGCCATGACAGCTGATACTGCAGCTATAGCACACTCCGGCGGGTGTGAACTGCTGGTGAGGCGAGGCGGGCGGCGGTGTACAGGTCAAGCAGGCGTATATCGATTGTCGTAGCGGTCCAAGGGGCTTTGTGCATGTGTCGAACTGATAGGGAAGTGCCTCACGTGCATCTTCCTCGAGAGCCAGCTGCGAGGCGATGTATTGCTGTGCGGTTTGTGAGGTCTCGGATGCCTGGGACATGCTGTTGGAGCGATGCAGACTGCCGTTAGTAGGTGCAGCCATCGTGTGCTGCTTGCCGTGGATTTAGATGTCTTTGACGACCGAATGTGTGGAGGCGGAGATGGAGATGGAGACGCGACGCCTCTCGCGAAACAAGCGCGCTGCCCCATTTCGGCAGACCTTCCGCGTCGGCTCACTCGCCCGATCCCCGCGCTTCTCTTCCTCCAAAACATTTCCCTTCATTCTCACATGTGAGGGACAATGTAATAGTGCTCGAGCTGCGCTTCATGTCTTGTTCGTGCTACCGTACGCCCTGACTTCAAAGTCTTTCCTTCGTTCGTTTCTGCAAGCCGGCCTGTACAGGGGAAGTTCAGGCTTGCCACTCTGCCTCCGCTATGCCCGGGGAAACGAATATACCAGCATCGATCTGGCCAGCATGATCAACAGCGTCATCATTGTCACCTTCATCCTGACGGTACTTTGTACTGGTACGTCGTCGTGTTGACAGACGGATCCTAGCTTGCCTATTGCTTCCGCCGTTTCAAAGATCCCGTCTGATATCTCGAACTTGTCCAAATCAGGAAGCTGGATAAAGAGACTCCACAATACCCCGACGACTCGCCACATGGTTTGTTGATGCCCTTCTTCTCCTTGCAGAATCCTGTGCTCTCCATGCACGGCACAACGGCTCCAGAGACATCGTCGGACTACGGCATGGATTATCCCTGCTTCCATTGCTCCGCGCCGACAGTTCACCTCACCCGGCACTTGCAAATAGGTGCGGTCCAGTGTTCGATCTCAATAAGGCAGGAGTATTAATGACATCCTGCCTATCTACAGACGAGATCGAACTGTGAAAGAAATAAGAAGGCAGCGATGAGAGAGCCTCCTTTTACACACTCCACACACCGTTGACCTGCAATGAAGTTGTCGGCACTTACCCCGCTGCTGCTCAGTGGCCTTGGAACATGCCAAACATGGCGCCACACGAACGCGACTACTTTGGAAGCTTTTCCGTCCTTATTGGAGACTGATTTGCAAGACCTTTCTGCTGGGTTAGAAGCAGGTTTGTTCACGAGTGTGGACCTAGTCCGAGCATATACCGCGCGTGCGCTGGAAGTCAACGGCACCCTAAATGTGGTGACTGAATTGAACCCGGAGGCGGAGGCCATTGCGGCTACATTGGATGCTCAGCGAAAGAATGGAACCGTTCTTGGGCCACTTCACGGCATTCCGATCCTGATCAAGAACAACATAGCGACAGCCGACCAAATGAATAACACTGCCGGCTCGTGGTCATTATTGGGTGCGAAGGTACCACGAGATTCAACAATGGCGGCTAAGCTTCGCGAAGCAGGTGTTGTCATTCTTGGAAAGACCAATCTGTCTCAATGGGCGAACTACAGGTCCGACAACACCAGCAATGGCTGGAGTGCTTATGGTGGGCAGACTTATGGCGCTTACTTTCCAGAACAAGACCCTAGCGGAAGCTCGAGTGGCAGTGGCGTGGCGAGCTCGATTGGTCTGGCGCTGGCGACACTGGGCACCGAAACAAGTGGTAGCATCCTCAGTCCTAGCGATGTGAATGGCCTTGTGGGTATCAAGCCGACCGTGGGACTTACCAGCAGATATCTTGTCATTCCGATAAGTGAACATCAAGATACAGTAGGACCAATGGCCAGAAGCGTCAAGGATGCTGCACATGTCTTGCAGGCGATCGCAGGACCAGACCCCAACGACAACTATACGTCCGCATATCCCTTTCAAAGTGCTCCAGACTATGTTGCCGCATGCACTAAACAGTCTCTGGCGGGTAAGTCAATACAGGTCTCATCTCGTGAAAATTCTGTCTCTAATGTGACCGCTGTCTACAGGAGCAAGAATCGGAGTTGCCTGGAACGTTCTGGACATTCTGGGTAGTCTTACTGACCAGCCGGTCCTCGATGCATTCCAACAGGCAGTCAAAGATATCGAAGCTGCTGGCGCCACGATCGTCAGCGCGAACTTCACCGGTCTTGCTGCCTGGCTCAACGATACTACTGGCGATACAGTGCTCAGCGCTGACTTCGAGGTCGGGCTGGCGCGATACCTGTCTCAGCTCACTTACAACCCGCAGGAAATATATAGTCTCGCAGATCTACGCAGCTGGACACAAGAAAATGAGTATCTGGAGGACTGGCCTGAACGTGATACCGCAGTGTGGGACGACTTCATTGCCAACCAAACCTGGAACAACACCGATCCACGGTTCTGGCCGGCCTATCAAAGCAATCTCTACTATGGTGGCGAGGGTGGCATCCTAGGTGCTTTGCGGCGAACCAATACCAGCGCGGTACTTCTGCCTACGCAGCTCAGCCCAGCAATTCCTGCGCTTGTGGGCAGTCCTGTTGTCACAGTACCTATGGGCTTCTATCCCTATGACTGGAATGTGACGATGAACGGCTTTGGCAACCTTGTGGCGTCTGGGCCACATATTCCGTTTGGGCTGAGCTTCATGGGCGATCTGTGGAGCGAGGAGAAGTTGATCGGGTATGCGTATGCGTACGAGCAGAGAACACAGCATAGAAAGAGGGTCCTGCCTTATGTAAGGCCGAACGTGGAGATCAGAGACGTGGTGCTTCGCATTGAAGTTGGCAAAGCCAATTCTGAGCATCGTGACCTGAGATAGTGCTTCGAGGCACATGTATACCTCTGATCATTGCGTTTGCTCCGATCCGAGAGCCCAAGCTGCGGCATATAGCTGCATATCGCATCCGCTTACATTGCAGCACCACACATTTTAGCGTTACTTGGCTCAGCTGGCAACCTGAAGATCTCCCAAGTAGGTCCCGGATATTCGTCGTGGCTTACGAAGGCCGAGCCTTCAGCTCATCAGCTCTGCTCGGTCTGTCGTGAGACAGAATACGGGCAGCCGCAGCAATGCACTATTGGTGCGAGGTATCGGAACAAGCTGTACCAGATCACACCAGTTCACGTTCCACTAGCTTGCGTACGTGATCCGGGGCTGAGGTTACACACGCAACTTTTCGAGCTCATTGATACGTATATCACGAAGCTGACAAATTCATGACAGCGCATGGTGGCAGGTACAGATCTCCATGTATCCACGAGAACATCGAACAGCTTCGGCTGCAAGTCTGAGCATCGTGAATATCGCTCTGGCAATTTTGGTGGCGTTCTTCGCTGCGGTGTCCCCAGCACACAGCACTGCAGGAGTATCACCCGGCAAGGCTGTGGAGAAGATCCCCAGACAGTCGCCAGGGCCAGACGCGCTGCCATGCAGCATGGTCCCCTTCAGTTGCTAGTGCGGCAAAACATGAGACTTGTGGCTCCGCGAAGGACTATCGTGATAGGTGAACAGCAACCGATTAGCGAGCTGGTGGGCCGCCGCGTTGGATGTACATCTCGCGATGTTCTTCATTCGTCTTGAGTCACTCTCGGTCTCCTCCAATACCTTTTGTCTCTCTGGAGTCCTCTGGGTCCAGATCACTGTGCTGTTTGTTCTCTATCACCTGTCAATAAGAGGCTGCATGCTGGTGCCCATCTTCAATCCACTCAGGTTCATCTCGATGCGAACTGGACGCAGGCCTGTACGGACAACACAGAATGCAAGTGCAGGAGACATCGATCTCTTTCAATGTCATCTGTGTCCTGGACATCAAACCAGACCGGTGCGTTGAAGGGATTCATGTCGAGCGGCGTCGATCAGGGATCGCATATCTGTACCGTACGCAATGTGGTAATACTGGACAAGACTCCCATTCATCGGCGAGACGTTCGGCACTGAAAGAAGAAACTCAGAATCGGGCATTACGAAGTTTGCGAAGATGCTTGCAATTCTGTCCTACTCGGCTGAGCGCTTGACAAGCGTCGACAAAGAATTCAACTCCCCGGCGAAAAGGGCCTTACGTTGCGATATGTGCACAGAGCACGAGGACTCGAGGCCATTGTCGGGCAGCAATAGCTTATGGTCGGAGCATGCAGCTGATCTCTACCAATCTAGACCACACGCTGTAAGCCACTGCCGATGCCGCCGATTGAGCAACGACGACACTCCGTGATCTCTGGAGAGGCGCTGGCTACTTTCCCCGAACATACAAGCTCGGTACTGTACAAGAGTCAGCCGCCGAGATCTATGGGTTGTGCGCAACTAAAACGAACCTTTCGATGTCGCCAGACACGCCCATTGGATTGGTAGAAAATGAGAAAACCCTTCCGATACGCCGGCAACCATTGATGCAAGGATGCACCATACCGCATGTGGCACGTCTGAAACTAGTGTCAGGTCAGCTCGACTCAACACGATGAACGGCATCTCTCATGATCTTACACAAATCTTTCTGCTAACAGGAACTCAAGCAACGACATATCCAAACCTTGACAACCGAATTGAGGCTCCGTCAAACTACAGTACATGTGGCAATGCCAGAAGCAGTCGAGCGTACATCGAGCCGGCGACCGCATCGCCATCGGCCCAGCTAGACGCCATTGTCCTGCCCAGCGTCCGAGTTCTCGGTCTTCTGATATTTTCCGGTGTCGTACAGTACGTCTTTCCATTGTGTAGCGTTCAGCGAACTACCACCCTGGAGGATGATGTCGCCCTTTGGGATTGGCAAGATCTCGTTGCACGAAGAGCGATCCGCTTGTGTGCGATTGTCTTTGTCTAGAGGCATGATGGACTTCCATGTTTGGACGGCGTTATTGGTAGCCATCTCCAGTCTGTGTGCTACCAGCCAGTATGCCGTCAAGTCGGTGCGCTGTTGCGTGGGCGACTGTACTGCCTGCTGTTCGGGGGCCTGCACTTAGAGGAAGCACTCTGGATGACGCGGGGTAGTGTGAGGGACAAGTTGGAAGATATGCAAAGAGAAGAGACGGCGGGATAGAAGATATATGGATGCGACACCACCAGCCGGGAACGAAGGTATGAACTGGGAAATCGTGCTGACGAGTTAACTCCAGCGCAACTAACGCGGGATGGCATCGGAAATGGCAGCAAAGAGCAGAATTGGCAATACATGATGAAGACGGCATCGCACGAACAACACGCTCCATGCTTGACAGCTGCAACCCTACCTCTTTGCGAGCGAATGAGCCAGGCTCCACGTTTCAGAGTTGAGATGAGATGCGATGATGCCTGACTTTGCTGCCAAGATGCTCAAGCAAACGACATGGGCTTGTCGTGGAATATGAATTCATGGCCTGCAACGACCTCGAGAGGCGAATGCAGCAACTAAGGAGTTGTGAGAGCTCGTGTACCAGCCACACATGTGCCGGCCCCCAACCAAACAGGACCGTGCGCTCCGTGGTGCTGGAACAATGGAAGGTCATGCGACTACAATGCAAGCGTGTATGCCTACCGAGCTCGATGCAGTCATGGAGAGGTCCGCGATGCGATCGCGGTCCCGACTTCGTCGCTCAACTCCGTACCAATACCAGGCGTAAGCGCCCACACACGGCCGAAAAGGATCATGCGTCTCGATAGAAATGCAAGGTACACCAATCGCTCACCGCCACTGTGACTGGAACTGGATAGCACCGAAGTGTTCGGCCCCATCGAACCGGCTCTGGACACAGCTGTCGGCGAGACAGCGACGACGCTGCATAATCTCGCTAACGGAGCACAGAACTGCCAGAGATTCACGTCCTTTCCCAGGACAGAATCATGCCTCGACGGGCCAAGACCTGCTCCAACGACGCTTGCGCTTGTCCAACAAAGTGCAGACGCAGGGCGCGAAATCGTGTCACACTGCATTTGCAAAGCACTGGTCATTCGGAAGTGGACTAATACACCACACTGGTTGAATGTGATCTGTCCTATTACCACGAACGATGCCCAAAATAATTCGTGTTTCCATGCCCACCGGATGAGCTGTCGTCGGAAGTGGGGCAATCTGAATCTTTGGAGCTGCTTGGGACACGTCGTAGCGAGCTCGTATCGGAGCCACCTCTGAGCGAAAGGTCGGCATTGAAAGCCATCTGCTGGCGCAAAGAACGTACCGACCCAGTGCCCGGGTTGACGATGATGCCAATGCGGCGGTCTGCATCGGAGACCCACCTACCAGCTTAGCATGCCATGGCACAGATGGGAGAACTGCACGCATGCGCCTAAGCGCCCTTTGGGAAACAGTGGCATGGTGGTGATAGACATGGCTTGCAGGTTCGAGAACGGCGCTCTGCATGTGAAATTCTCTGCAAGATCGCGTCGCCCACACTTCTTGGTCAATCATGACGTGTGATGTCAGCACCCACAGTCGAAGGAACGTGCCCCCGATATCCGGGCTCCTCTATCGCGCAGGAACCTTGCAGGAGGCGCCCGTGACTCATTCATTACCGAAGCTGTGGTGCAAACCAAAGACTGATGATGAACGCGGCAACACTCCGGGCAGGCTAAAGACTGTCGTGAGTGAAGTTCGTGGCACTGATGGAATCGCGAAAGCAATTCGAGGAGGTAGTAGGCACTCGGACGCGAAGTAAGGCGGCATCTGCATCCACAAAAAGATGCGAGGAAGACGCTCGAAGTGTCCTTAGCGAAGAGATTCGGCAATGAGCCCCCGGTACCTGCATGCCTGCCTCGTCAATGATCAATTTTCTACGCGAACCAGATCTTTTTCTATGCGCCTGTTGGGATGAAATAACAGCAGTATCAGTCTCCATCAACACGCATCAGTACGTGACCACAGTCCAACGACGCCTGCAACGATATGCCTCGCGGCGGCCAACACAATTCGCCTATACCGACCGGTCCCGCTTCCCCACACTTGAACCCTAGGGTTTTCGGTGCATGTCGGCGTTCGTAGTAGATCGTCCCCCACACTCTTGCGCTTAGGCTGGAGCCACCAGCAGGCATGAATTGTCGGTTTGGTACGTGGGCTTTACTGGCGGCAGAGCGAGGAGCAGTGGTCTGTAAGCTCTCGTTTGTGCCGTTGAATAGCGGCAGTGACATGAGCTCCTTCTACGGCTACCCGAGATCCTTCGGCGCCATGGTTGGTCTAGGGGCCGCCGTTCCGGAACTGGACGTGATCATAGCATCTGTTCAGGTGTGACAATATCAGCGGTTGACGAGATGCTGCTTAGCATAGGTCGGACGATGAGCAGGGCTTCGTCAACACCTCAGCAGAGGACCGATGACTTCGCGCACTTTTGACTATGTGTTGCATCATCGCCGCTCTCCTCGACTTGTGAAGGGCATTGTACTGCAGCTCTGAGAGTCCAGCGGAGGTGGCTTTAATTTCCTGGCGCTGTCGTACCGGAGTGACGTGTCAAACGAAGTGATGGGGCAACGCCGCTGCACGCGGTCAGACACACTCACGTGAGTCAAGAAATGAGCGGCATACTTCCAGACTGGGGACTGAGCTCCGTGTCTGATACCTGTTTCCCACGGTAGCAGGCATGAGTCTGCGCAGCACAAGTTGTACAGCCACAGCAGCTGACTGCAACATGCAGCTCCCAGTCTGGTGTAAAGACGCAGGCCGAGTGCCTGTCCTGAGCATGCATGTAGGATCATGGCGCGTGGCGCTGATCGCCCGGACGGCTTCCGCGAGGTACGCTAAGCGCCTGAAACGACGAAGGGATCGTGCAGACAGTGACAATCCCAGCGGCTTCTGGAGCCGTGGGCAAGCCAGACCATGAGATAGGTCGCCCGACTTTTCCCACTTTCTGAGGTACCAGCCCGATTCGTGAAGACTTGGCCAGCAGCCATGGCAGAATTGTTCTGTGATGATGCAGTGACACTTCGTACTTTCGTACACGATAGGAGCGCACAGCGAGGGCCAACCCTCGCGGCCGCGACCACGTCCATGACCGCGATAGCCGAGGAATGAAGAGCTTGGTTCCGGCCACTCCCATCTGAACTTCTGCCATCGCGTCTATCGAGCCAGCCGCTGTTATGAAGTGCTTGCCATTGAATTTGGCGCATTCGAAAATGATATCGCGGTGATGATCCTGAGTGCGAGACCTCATTGCTGTTGGTAAAGATCAGGAAAGTCATCGTGACCTATTGACTGCCTTTCGGCGTTCGTTCCTGAGAAACACTTTCGTTGGCAGAAGGTACGCAAGTAATGTCACACCCAAGAGGGGAACGGCTACTGCAAACCAGATCCAGATCGAAAGGCCCTCGCCGACTTCTTTGAAGTTCATGCCAAAGAGTGAAGTCGCGAAAGATAGTGGAGCGTAGAAGAATGCTACGAAAGTAAGCTTGCCAATACGTTCCGTCTCAGAGGCTTGATCCCGTGCGTCTGCTATCGAAGTACTGTTCATCAACAGATTGATGGCCTCGTGGCTTCGATCATGATGTTGTTTTGCCCTTTTCAACAGGTAGTCCAGATCGTTGTGGAACGTCTCCATCATGAACTCAGCATGGGGCCTGGCATCAGCATCAGGGGATTTTGGCCACTTGCGATTCTTTGTATTCTCCAATGCCATTGCAATCTCTTCTAGTTGCAATGTATGTCGTGACAAGATTTGCTTCAGGTAGCGTAGGACTGGGAAAGCTGCGTAACTGTCATTCTGCTCATGCATGTTGAGTTTTTCGTGCATCAAGTTCAGGAACTGGTTGTGAGATGCAGCGACGAGCGAGAAGACCTCACTCAAAGCATAAGCTGGATCGTTCGCCATGAGTGCCAGTCTTAAAGATCTCCCATAATGCTGATCCAGAAGTCCGATTGATTCTGGGCATTTTCCATTTGCAAACCCTCTCCGACTTCCCACTAGCAGATGAGGCTTCAGTGCCAGCATTGGCCGATGCGATACGATTGGTGCGAAGTGTAATAGAGGTTCGCTAAATTTGTGAGTGCCGGTACGCCATGGCTTTACAGAAGCTACATCTCGATCCTCGTGGAGACTTTTGCCAGCATCGCTCCAGATTAAGACTAACATTTCGCAAGCAAGTCAGTCAAAAACGTAAGTTCTGGCGTGCTGCAGCCTACCTATCCAGCCTGACTTCAAAAGGTGGAGACAGACCGTGATTTGCTGTTCCAGAACGAATGTCTCGTTGTCCACGACGTGGCAAGGTCTTACGATACTGTCACCAACCTCGTGACTCTGGCCACTCTTGAGGCTTCTGATGTACTGTATCATGCCTGCATCCACCTTGGCACGCAAGTCTTGCACATCTTGCGTTACGCGATCTCGCGTTGCGATCGTCATACAGGAGAACTGGAAGATGTGCCAGGAGGATGAGGGCAAAACAGGTGTCGCAAATCTCCCTAGAGATCGATTTTCTTGATCATGGAAGTCGAGATGACGACTGAAGAACACTGGGTCGACCTGATACTTGCTGCCGAGAGCCTTAATCCATTGCTGGGAAGGGAAGCCTTTCAAGAAGACTAGCTGCCGAATGTTCTGCCTCGATGTCAGAGGCGGCTCATTCTGTAATTCCAGCGGTGTCTTGATGTCCCGCAGCGTGGGATGTCTATGATGGGCATCGGGGCATAAATCATAAATGGTCACGAAATTGTCCTGCCGCTGATGTAGAAAGCGTATCTTCAAGAAATGATGTAGGCTGTTGACTGTTTCTCCATCACCGGTGGGATAATTTGCGAGGTCAGAGATGAGTTGTGTATAGTCGTCGGGTGAGACTGCATGTGTCCACGTTAGTGAGGATCCATTCTTGATGGTTACACAAGCGTAGCAGGTTGAGATAGAGGTGTAGACTCACGGTCCGAGCCGCTCCGCTTGGCAGGGCTAGACATGTTCTCGGTGTCAGAGGAGTGCAACAATGAGATCCTCGCAAACATCCACGCAATGTCGTGCTATTTTGTACACGACTTTGGTGTGACACAGCATGCTCAGCTGAGCAGACTGAGGCGCGGCCTGCGAGGCCTGCGAAGCCTTGTCGATACTTGTCAGGCTGCCCTCATGCATCCCGCTTGTGTCATATGCATGACCTGTCAAGCGAAGCGCATCTCGCAGCGTGGAGCATACGTGGACGACCCAGAGAAGAAAGCAAATTGATCCTCTATCAGATAACCATTAGCTTCAGCGCGACCAGAACATCACAAGATCGTCGAAGTCCCGTTCGTTCAGAACCGAATCGCATCTTCCATCATCTGACCTCAGAGCTCTTCTGATTGCAAAGGATTCGGTTCTGAATGCTGCACAGCTTTCCAAGTTCTTCTGTGCTGCGCAGACTTGGCTCATCTTGAATAAGGCACGAGCAAGTGATGCGGCGTAGATCCTTGATGTGGAGAACATTGCGATCGCGCTGTTGAGAAATTGCCTGCTCGAAATCAGTACTAAAATACATGGCTTAGATTGTGATGGAGCGCACTCAGCTAGTGATAGATTTCCCAGCCTCAGATGATGGTCTCCAAGACGAAAAGCTGTATCTGCCGTCCGGAAATGTTTCTCTCCCAGAGTGTTTCTGTACTGCTCGTACGCACGCTGATGATAATCCAGGCTGATGCCGAAATCTCCAAGATCATGGTGTACGTTGCCTAGTCCGTACAAAATCTTCCCAGTTCTAAAATTCCGCATCAGCACAGCTCAAGTGACAGATCTCATGGACACAAACTTGAAGGTTTTAACATCATCAAAGCCGTATTCTTCCTCGCAAGCTTCTCGAATCTCACTCAACACGGATTCCGCGTCCAGTGGTTTTCCCTGCACCCAAAGAACGAGGCCCAAGTTCGGCAATGCGTAATCTAGCATTGTGGGCACAAAGTCGGGAAGCGTCCGTATGATTTCCGCCGAACGTCTAAAGCATGCCTCGGCCTCAACAAATTCTTGATTTAAACCATAAGCCAGTCCAGTTTCGTTCCATATACATGCCTCTTCGTGATCGGCGCAAGTCTGTTCGGTCCGGGTCTTGTGTTCTAAATGAAGCTCCAACCACTTTCTGTTGTACACCAACGCGCCTTCTCGGTCGCCAGTATCCGTGGCCGCTGCACCCTGGTAGTTGTAGCAACATCTTAAAATCTCTGACACTTGCGCTGCGTCTTGATCTCGATTTTGTCGACATATAATCTCTACCGTCGCGAAATATTTCTTGGATTCTTCTGGCATTCCACGCTCGTATAGGAACCTAAGACCAGTCAACAGATCTCCCAGAAGCTCACATGTTTGAGCAAAGGACAGACTTACCAACCAGCCTCGTTGATCAGCTTTGCAAACTCAAGGTATAGCTGGCCATGAGGATTCTTGTGAGACGGGCGGCTCCAAAGCTGTTGAAGGAAGGCGATATGTGGCAGGAGCGTTTCACATTGCGGCCACCTGCTGCGATCGTGCCACTGGCGGGCCTTCAGGAACGGCCAAGTCCTGGATACAGCTCGAGCGACCATAAGAAGCATATATGAAGCTGCATCTTGACCCATATGTGCGCGGACTGATTCCTTCACCAAATCATGGACAATGATAACTCGGTCTTTCTTCTCATATGTAATGCGGGAGCTTTGAATCAGGTTCAACTTTGCGTTCTGGAAGCGCAGCTCGCTGGCACGAAACTGAGGTATTGCAGCTTCCAAGAACTCTTTGTCGCACACAAGTTCTTCTGAAACTCCACCAGGTGCCAGGAACGAAAGAACTCGAAGCAGTGCGAGGTCTTCTGGACGATCGCTTGTATCGGCTCTAGACATCCACATTGTGGCAATAGTTTGCCGAAGACCTGTTGAGGTTACAGAATTAGAGCCCGCGGCTGTATCCAGGAATTCTCCAGGATTTTCATGCTCCCACATTCGCAGTAAGTCTCCATAACGAAGGTTCATAGTGCGAATATTCCCGGCCATTTGTTGTATCGCCAGAGGCAGACCACCGAGCTTTCGACAGATCGTCTCAAGAGTCGCTGCATCTTGACAGTCTGATGTTTCCGCTGTCAGGCTCAGTAGCATCATCCGCGTCTCCGCGAGCGTGAGTGGCTTAAGCTCAAGAGTACCAGACAGAGGCAAAGACCGAGCAAAAGTCGCTTCCGAGTCCAAGATACTGCTGCTGCTAGCATCTCGAGTAGTGACTAGTACTGTACCCTGGCCTTCAAACGGCCAGTACTCGGCCAAGCCAGCCAGGGACTCCACATCGTCAAAGACAATCAGCCATCGAGCTTCTGGGCTGCGAGCCGCCTTATTAGGTGCAACATATCTTGGTTCGGCGAGCCATCCTTTCACAATTGCGCGGCCCACGGCGAGATCATGACTCTCCTCCGCACGAAAAAGACCAATACTCGTGCCAATTCCGACAAACTCGCCCGCTAGCGATTCAATCTTGCTTGCTTTAAGCCAAAACACAGCATCGAAGTTGTGTTTTCGTGTCTGAACCCAGTACTGCGCCAAACTCGTCTTGCCAATACCACCCATTCCATATATCACAAATGAACGTAGCCCAGATAGGCTCAAGTCTGGAGGACTAGCTGGTCCCAAGCTCAGGAGTTTTTCATCCATGATAAGGAGATCCTCCGCCCGTCCGAAGAGTTCTTTGCTCATAGGTCGGACTGTCGTTACACTTGGGGGCAGTCTCGCCGGCGGCTTTGACATCTCTACTGGGGTCCTACGGGCCACCACTTCAAATGAGTCATCTGTGGTCCCAGTGACAGCATCCGCAGAGCCGTAGCTACCATTCCGATCATGATGAGGCGCATATCTTGATTTTCTGATATCGGCTCTGAGCACTACGAGATCTGGTTCGCTTGGACCGCACGATGTACTGTGGATTAGCTCAGTTGGAATTTCATCTTATCGCAGTCAGACAAAGAGTGACCCTGGAAGCTCTAAATCGGGAACTTACGATCTTCGAAACGTGCCGCAACTTCACTAGGTGCTTCGCGCGCGAGTTTAGTGATCATTGCCAGCGCCTTGAGCTCAGCTTCAGACTCTCGAGGTAGCAAAGCAACATGGCGATGGTCCAGCGGAGCCCCTATTGCCTCACTCGCAGTGAAAGACAGTTGCACCTGCGCTTCACCAACAATCTGGAGCTGGTCAGAGGACATTGCTGAAAGCTGGTTGGCGATAGACTCACAGTCTGTTCTCTGTGATAGCTGAACAGCATTCGAGCTTTGAACTTGACCTTGGTTTTATAGCGCTCGTACACTGATAGAACTGGTATGCTCAGACTTGAGCCCTCGAAATGCCGTCCAAGTTGATCGAGCTCAATTAGGTCGCTGCTTGAAATGGGTTTCCCAGAACCCAAATGGAAACAATTCATGATGCTCTCGAAAACATTATTGCTGGTACTGTTGAATGCTTTGTGGGGAGTTCCCAAGAAGATGATCCCCGATAGAGTCTTAGACACAGTAAGATAGCTGTACTGGCAATCATGCACATGTTTGAGCGCCTGTACAAGGATCAGCTCCATGCGTACATTAATAGAACGAGACAGTCTACTTGTTGAAGAACGAGGCCGCCGAGACTATGGCAGACAAAGCAGATCGGGCGCCGGTCCTGCTTCTAGATGTCAGCTCGGATCCATGTCGTTGTTTGAGTCTGCATACAGTCTGATGGTAATAAGTCTCTAAATCAGCTAGCAGTATCTCAGCATGTCGCTCTATGTATTCCACCATGCTGTTCTTAGCATAATCGGTGCCATATCGGAAACTCCATAGTTGTGCGGAACGCGTTGTCTTGTTCACGGTTTGCAGCCAAGGCCAGTCGTCCGGTCGGACCGCTCCAATGCCAGGCACCACAATTATGCTGCATACTACATCAGCTTCGAACAAGACCATCGACATCGGGGAACCGACTCTATTAGCTTCTCGCCGATATCATCTCCAAGCCGTTCCAGCATCTTGATGTACAGCTGGAGTGTAGAACCTGGCCAAATGCGAAAGTTTATGCCGGCCTTTCTCAGCGTCGTCGTTAGCAACTCGATCGAGCAATGTGCGGCAGATGATCTGTTTTGCACGAGATGTGAAAATCAAAGGATTCTCTTCGCCCAAGGGGCCGCGGAATGCGAACACTCAGCCGCGCCAGGCAGTGCGTCCTCGGCTCAGGGCATGCTGCACTGCTCGACTGCAACTGCAGGATCCTTATGTGCCATGAGCAACTAATGCGAGACTTGCAGGGAGCAATGATAAGCTCGAAACGAGCCACGATTCAGAGCGGGGTTCGCTTGCATCGCATACGGCTGGAGTACAAGAGGCAGTGATGCCTGTGGGCTTCACCTGCCCGCTATGCGGTCGTATCACGCAAGTACGGATTCGCGATTAGGTGCACCAGTCCACAGGCAAAGCACACTGCGACTGGACGATGCGCCTCCAATAGATGGTTCGTACCATCGTGGGGCACCGGGTCCACGAACTCGTCACTTTTAGTAAAGCAAGGTATGCCATCGGATTGAACTTGTTACCTTATCAACAATAAAGCCTGGAATTCGTGCTGAAAATGTTGATCCAGAACAGGCTTGTGGAATTACGGCGTCGGCGGTGAAGACGGAGATCCATATCACAAGATTGCCGCAAACAGTAGCACCAACTTCCAAGCCACAGAGCCATAGATTGGTTGCACGGTTCAGAGGCTGTGCAGCATGTGGGTGTGCGTCCTTAAAGTCTCGTTAGGAGAAGATTCGTGCGCACAGGACCTCTGTAAGCTTTGACAACAGGGACTATGTTGCTTGTCTCAGTTTGTGCAGACTTTCCAATTTATCGCGACTAGAAGAAGGCCATGAGATTTTACTCGTGAACCTGAGAGGTGGAGTAGACGCGCTCTTTCCAGGTTTCCTTCAGTAGTGGCCGCCCCTCGGGTCCCGGAGCTTTTTCTCCCGAGAAGATCTTGGACCGCAGTACAATACCTTTCGCGCCTTGCGCGGCAAGTTGAGGAGCAGAAGTATCTCGTCATGGGCCTTGCAGCCTCATCCTGCATGCTGATGGAGTAAGCTTTGGTCTGCTGAGCGTCGAAGCTATAGCACCACGAAAGAACGGCGTGTAATGTTGAGAAGGCAATCGTCGGGCATCAGCGGAGAAAACACCTCATGACGGAGTGTGCCGTAAGTCTTGGTCACACCCTGAGTTATGCCCACCAGCCCGACTGCACCGCCTCTGCCATAAAATGGTCCCGATCTCCATTATCTGCATGTGAAGCAAGACCTTCCCTTCATAAAGCTAGCTTTGCCCTCCTGCTCACCATGCCTGGTGATGTCCAGACAGAAACCTACTATGCTGATCGGGACGAAAAATTTCGCTCCGAAAAGCCATACGAGCTCAAATTCGTTCCGTCAGAGAACTTCCCTCTTACCAACATGAACTGGTCTCGATACGATGACATCAATGTCACGGATATTCGTGGCTATGAAGACCAGTATAGCCCCGTCGAGCACGGCTTCCAGCTCAGTACCATGAAAACAACGCTTGAATACGGAGATTTTGATGATCCTGTGAAAATAGAACAAGTCTATATGAAAGAGGTCGCAGATTGTCTTCGATCGAAGCTCGACGCCGCACGTGTGCTCGCATTTGATTACAACGTGAGAGCACTGACAAAAGTACTTGATGAAGGCTCATGTGGTTTTGCAGATCCGCAAAAGCCAGGCTCAATATCCGCTGTCAAGCGGTGAAGCGGCCTCGTTTGAGACTCCGGCCACCATTGTGCACATAGGTGAGGGTCAGAGCCGCATAGACGAAACGCGGCGTATTGATCGCTGCAGACTCAACGCAGTCATGGACGGCGCACATGCACAGGCACTATTGCAAAAGTGATCCGGACCTCGCAAGTTTCACCCGCTACCAATACGTGAAGTACGAGAATGCCCCTACAAACACAACACGCGCTGACATCACGAACAAGTCTTTGGAGGCCGCTTCGGGGTCCCGTCAAGAGATGGCCACTGATGCTCTGCGATTGGTCGACATATAAACCAGATCAAGACTCCATCGCTCGAGACATTGTCTATCCCGACGACGCCGTGGAGACATACGTGATCTATCACAACCCGAACCACCAGTTCTACTACGTCAGTCAGCAGACCTCCGAGGAGGTTTGGATTATGGTGCAGACAGACTCCAGCCATCCGAAAGGTATCATGGTGTTATATTGTCTTTCGACCAATACTGACACTGCAAATTGGCAGGCGTGCCTCATACAGCGTTCCCCACCGCACCGAACGTCAATGAAGAGGAACGCGAGAGCATTGAGGTGCGCGCGATCGTCTACTATGATTGAGTTCCGCTCTCCATATCGCAACAACGCCCAATCGCCGCCCAATCCTCGACGGATCGACGTGCCGTATAGACGACCTCACTGTGCTCCAAATGACAGAGTTCGAAGCCCTGAGCCAGTGCGGACGAACGCTGCGGGTCTCAGTTGCAGACAGAAGACTGTATAACCTGTTCACTTCTTGGGCTCTGATGTCTTGCTCGTGTCATGGTAGACATGTTTCCAGGCCGTCGCGTTTAAGCTAGAGCCACCTTGCAGCATCAATCCACCTTTTGGCACCTGGATCATTGAAGCGTGGGAGCGGCGCATGGGCGAAGTGGTGTCGGTGGGGGATGTGACACGACCGAGCGATTTCCAAGGCTGTCTTGTGGTTTCCATTGCCGACCTGACCTCGAGCTTTCAATACTGCGCCAAATCAATGGCTCCATGGGATGCATGATTGCTTACGATTTGGTGATGATGTGTGCGGAATTTTCTATGAGCCCAAATCTCATTCAGTTGCGGATATCGACTACGAAATCTATGCACAGCGAGACGAAGAAATATTATTCGCTTACGAGTCACAAAAGGCTCAAGACCTCCCAGCCCGCTGAAATTACCAGCACACGGACCTTGGTCTGAAAACGTGCTGGTTCGTACCAGGTCGTCTGTGCCTCAAGGAGAAAGGTTACACAGGCAGAATTTCCATTGGCTGGCATAATTCGTAGAATTGCGGAACGGCGTCGTGAGGCGCAGCCTGAGCTGGACTCTACGCAGCGTATGTGTTGTTCACATGATCAATCCTCTGTGCTAGCAGCACTTGTGCGTGACGTAGCATGTTTTTACCACAACTTATAGATCCATTCCGCAGTCCTGATACTTAGCGCTGGGGACCGGAAAATTGCCAGCGGTATTTCGTGATACTATGGCAAAGCCGTGGTCTCCGTGGCATCATGGGCACTGCTGCCTAGACTGCTGAGCACCCATTATCATGACCAACGCAAAGACGCACGATCGATGCGCAAGGTGGAAATGCGTGATCATAAACTTCTGATTGAAGGAATAAATAGAGACATCGAAACATTATGCGCAAAGCATTTGGGATTTTGCACATTCCAGAGGGCTATTCAATGGAGAGGACTACGAAAACTTGGTAACCTTTCTGTCTCGCCCCTTCGATCTTATGATTGAACTTGCTGCAGTCTGCAGAGCGTGGTCCATTGCAGCAGCCGTCGTCTCGACCACCATCGCTTCACAAATGGACCCAAATCTCGAACCCCCGGAGGTTTGCTTTGTACGAGATCGAAGATCTGGTGCAGATTCGTCCAAAAAGTGTGACGTCTGTGGCTCTTGAATCGCTCAGACCATCGGTTCTGACATTGTTCGCAAGTCGAATGTGTCAACCTGTTTGGGCCCGGTTGTCGTCGCATCTTCGGAATTTCTTGTTACTTTGTACATCGACCGGCATTTAGCAGCCAGTCGTTGTATCTGCTGCTTTTCTACCTGCATCATCAGAATGGAAAGCAGAACGATTGGCATAGCCACCGCAAAGAAAACCCAGATGCTAAGCTGCCCATTGTCGATCTCTCTCGAGTTCATCCCGAAAAATGCACAGACGAAGGAGAGGGGAATGAAGACGAACGCTAATTTGGTCAGCTTGGTGACGGTGGCTGCCTGTTCGATAGCACGCTGCGACTCGCGAAGCATCGCATTGTTCATGATGATGGTCATCCCGCCGTTGCACTGCCCGAGCATATACTCAGCGCGGGTTTTCAGATGCGCGAAGTCTTCCAGTAATGCTTTTAGAATGACAGTAGCTGTGGTTTTCTGTGTTTCGTTGACGTCCGTCCGGGGAACAGACTCAATGAACTTCTCGACGGCGGTGAGATTCTCTTTAATCCTGTCGAGGTGGCGTTCGATGATTCGCTGGTAGTGTAGCAGGTTCAGCAGGGTTGGATTCTTCTCTTCAACCATGCGCTTCGGGTCCCGGACAGAGTCAATCTTGGTTTGGAGAAGGTTCAAGACCTGAGATTCCGACGCAGCAACGTGAGAAAAGATCCCCTCGAGTGCCAGTGCTGGAATGCGTCGCGCGAGATCCGTGTCTTTCAACTGATCGCCCAAGTAAGGCAGATGCTGAGCACTCTGCACCATCGATCCCGGAGGAGCCGGAACTTCTACTCCTCGTGATTCTTCGAGTGCGATGTCAGGCCAGTATTGCACAGTGGGCATCCATTTCGTGGCCGCAAAGGAACCCTCATACCAAGGTGCCCCCCATACGGGCGTACCACAGTCTGACCAGATGACAGCTGCCAACTGTTAGCATGTGTTCTTGGGCAGGACATCTCTTACTCACCAATCCACCCATGCCCAATCTCCTTGGTGAAGATGGAAATGTCTTGCTCGAACATAGAGTGTCGTCCGTCGAGGACCGAAAATTCGCGCACAATCATATCGCCGACTTGCCATCCAGACGCGCGCTTCAAAGCTCTGAAATACTTTTTCATGCCCTGGGCTGCTTCGTCTCGCAACTTATCGACAGCTCGCTGGTCTACGAATCGTGCTCCCAGATCTCGATGGCCGATTGTGGAACTTCGTAGCCTGATGAAATGAGTCCTTTTTGATGGCAGTCCGGGCAAACTAAAGTGGTCTGGTCGCCCTACTGAAGCACGAAAGTCGAGATGCTGTAGCCAGAACTCGGGATCAATTCTGTACTTGGCCCCGATAGCATTCAGCCACGATGGTGAAGGATGCCCTTGCATGAATAATACATGGTTCTCTTCACCAGAAATCAGCTCGTCTGTGCCAATGGCTTGCATATCCTCAGCTCCTGCGAGGTTCAGAGAGGAGGACAGCCTGGCGCTGAGACGATGAAGTCTGGCATAAGGTCGTGGCTGCGACAGCGATCCACGTTCCCTGTCGGAGATTATCTCAAGGCTGTCGAAGGCAGAGCATAGATAATTTGCCAGGTTCCAATAGTGTGGTCCGGGATGTGGAGTCTTGACAGTTTCACACCGAGAGTGCGAAAGGACTCGATCTGCGTAATGCCGGTCTGCTGATATACCGACTGTGAATCGTAAGTAAAGTGACTGCACTCCGTGTATGGGTTGGTTTACCAGCAGAGCGGGAAAGCAGCGAGCGCGAGCCTTCCATTGCCGACGCTCCTTAAGCTTGGGTCATCGGATCGAGTGTTCTGGTGGTCTAAGACGTAGGGCCGATGCGAAGAACTCGGAATATAGCAGGCTGCTGTTTCGCAGGTTGCGCTGCTTGGTGCCCACAGTAGAGTTGCCTGCTGCTAGCATGGGTGTTAACTGAACGGAGGCCGCCCAGTTGCCTTGATGACCGCTTGCATGAGTCTACTGCAAGCCAACGAAGCGGGTGGCTTGCGTTGGCGGTGCATGCACTCAGGCTAAATTGGTCTTTGGGGAACCCAATCGTACCCATCCCACTGTTCACCGGTATGATACTGAGCTTGATCTGAAAGCTCCCAACTCATTTGGACCAGAACGTGACCAGTGCATCAAAATCAGCCTCACGCAGCTCACTATCTGGTTTTGCAGTCGCGTGCTTCACCTGCCGACGCAATTCCACAGCCCGCTGGAAACACTTGACGGCCGGGTCTTCGTCGTTCGTTGCAAAATAGGATTTCGAGAGCAGGAATGTCGATCTGGCTATCTCGCAGCGATATGATTCGGGATGAGCTTCCCAAACTGATAAGGCTTCATACAATAATTTCCTGGTGCCTCACTGTCAGCGTGGCTTTGCTAGGCGTGCGAGCTGCTCACCTTGCAGAAATGTGGTCTTCTCTGCGTACGCAATGTTGCGCCACCTTGTGGCAAACATCAGCAGTCCGATGATGCTTCAGCCCAATAGTTGATTGGTACTGTTGAAGAGCCCTTCTATGGTATGACTCGCTCTCCAGTCGCTGACGTCTGTCGAATTGCACGTTTCCCAACGCGTGCAAGAATCTACCTGTTCTTGATACATTGTCAGCTTCGCCCGAGGTCGTTTCTCCGCTATGCTTACTCGAACGACTCGGTGTCCATGTAGCCGAATTTATCTTCTCGGGCTCGCAAACCTGATAGCAACATTTCGTAGGCCTCATCCAGTCGATTGCCCAGCCAGTATAGTAGCCCGAGATTCACTACAGGAAACGAGGCCATATGATCCTGGAAATTCGTGAGACTTCTATAGGTCTTTATCGACTTGTTGAACAACTTCTCTGCTTGTTCGACAGAGCCTTGCATCATGTGCCCAATGCCGCACTCGTTGTATGCTAGCGCCAGTCCAATGTCTGGCTCATCGCTGGCTTGACATGCCTCTTTTTTCATTTTGAGGAACATCTGACTGTGAGTAGCACATGCCTCTTGATCATTCATTGCATTACTGGTGGCAGCTAGAGCAAAGCTAATGTCACAAAGAAGCGTAAGTACACCGTCAGTCGCACGATCGAGGTGCGTCGCTATAGTCAATGCGGCATCGAGGAATGGCTTGGCAAAGTGAGGGTGGCCGCTCTCGTACTGCCACCTGGAGTTGAAGTCAGTTCTCAGGCGTTTCAAATGAACCAGTTTCGTACTCACCATCCTGCCTGACGCAATAATTCGGCTAATTTGGGGTCGGCATTGACCTTGCCATTCTCCCCATGCGCTCCCTCGTAGTGATTCTTGAAAGCAATGACGTGCGGATAGAGCCTGGCACGCTTACCCCAAAGGGCTATCTTATGCAGTGTCTCTGGTGTCACCTCAGGCCACGAATTGTACACCATTGCGACCGCAGCTGAGCAGATTTGCTTTTGGCGCTCGACCGACATCCGTGATCTGATGGTTTCGCGCAGCAAGCGATGAACAGAAAGCATATGTCCTTCGTCATCGAGCTTGCGCCTATTCACGAGTGCGGAGCGAAGTAGTTCTGCTCTGGCCTGAAAGTAGGCAAGTTTCGTTTCCGGGTATAGTGGAAGAGTCATGATGTCCTTTGGCGAATTCAAAAAGAGCTGTTCTTCCACTCCGCCTGGGTCAAGGAACGAGATGAGATCCAGAAGAACCACCGTACTGTCTTTGAGCTCACTTCTCCACCATATAGATTTTATGGTGCCCCTCGCGGTCTCGCGCTGTGAGTCGGATGATTCTTCCAGCAACCCATGACGTTCGTTATCATTGAGATACAGGTCCAGAAAGTCGTCCATCTCAAGGTATTGCTGACGAATCACACCCGCAATCTGCGCAATGGCGAGAGGAAGTCCGCCTAGTGTTCGTGAAATCTCACAGGCCTGTTCTTCGGAACCTCTGGCTCCCATCTTAATTAGGCACTCTCCTCCTTCGGTGTCTGTAAAAGGTGCCACGTCACGACCAATCGAATGAGAATCGAAAATGGTTTTTGCGTTCACATCTCGACTTGTGACCAGAATTGAACCTTTTCCATAGACTTGCTTCAGTGGTAGTAGCACGTTAATGTCATCCGCATTGTCGAAAACGATAAGCCAGTGTGCTTTGGTCTCGTTGAGGCTTCCGCCAGCGACTTCAGTGCGCTTGATGGGATTAGCTAGCCAGTGTTTTGCTAGCTCTCGGTTGACCACAGGATAATGAACCTCGGACTTTTTGTTGAGTTCTAGCTGAAGGGGAATCTGGCTGAGATCAAATTCCAGCAGCTCCTTCTCGTCTGCTCGAATCCAAAATATGGCATCAAACCGGTCGCTCCGCGAGTGCACAAATTCGAGAGCTATCTCGGTCTTGCCCACGCCGGGCATACCGCAAAGCGCAACATATTTCGGTCTTGCAGGGTCAGAGTTTGCATTCCCCGGTAACAAAACTCGATCCAGCACTCGGAGTTCCTCGTCGCGGCCAAAGAAGTGCTCGTTTCTTTCCATACTGTTGATGCTGATGCAAGGCAGCCTCGCTTGATAGTCCGAAGCATCGAATGTCTGCAAAATTGAAGACATGTCGAAGGTGTCGGTCCCCTGACCTGGGGCGTAGTCTGGCCGTACTACCTTATTGCCATTCAGCAATGTGCCAGCATCAACAGAACTCTGCGCCCTATTCGTGACGCGGGAATTGGATCCTCGAGTGAAGACGTGAGTTGTTGGTCGCGTCTGGTCTGGCTTGGTCGAAGGAGAGCCCATGTCATCGGCCTCGGCCACTCGATTTGGAACAATGAAGTCTCGGCTCAAGGCTTTGGATGCCATGTTAGCTGATTTCGCGCAAACAGCATTCGCAGAGATACATGCCCAAAATTGCATCTTTTGCAGACACTGGTGGAAGCCTGGCCTGCATGTTCTGGCCAGCATTGCCAAGCGGTGCGCGAAGCCATTGGTGAAAGTCATCGATAGAAACGTTCTGCTCGCACAGCACATCAACCAAGTCGCCATGCTGTAAATGTACACCGAGACAAAACTCATGGGCGATGCCAAGCTGCGCAGAGCCGTGGTCAATTATCTGTCGATGTCAGCATGTTCATCATGTTGGCGTGATTCGAAACTCACGGTGATAGACCGCTGCCTGTGGAATACTTTGTCTGCTTTGCATCTGGATCCTGTCGTCTCATAAACCGAGAGAACCGCAGCGCGAATGCCACTGTCTTCAAACCGCGTCGAGAGATCTGCTATCGAATGTGAACTGGCCACAAGTCCCGCAAGAGACTGCCTTGACAGATCACTAGTGAGATGCTTGAGAATCAAGGTTAACTTGGCGTGCATCGTGGATGGTGAGTGCGGAGTTCCGAGAAATATGAGCCCTAGTGTAGCAGTCACGATGTCTTGATGTAGGTTGTGCTCTTGGTTGGCGAGTACCAGTGCCTGTCAGCAGTCAGCAGTCAGCCAGCGCCATTTGACCACTCTTCTGAACTGACTTGTTTAACTACAATGCCACCCAAGCTATGAGCTACAAAGAAGAGCGGCCTTCGAGTCTCCTGTTCCTGCATCAATATCGTGTTTCCAAGTTTCGAGAAGAAAAGAACTGACGCTGTGCTGATTTCTCTGCTTCCGGATTGCTTGAAGAAGCAGCGCACCCTGTGCGAGCAGAGCTTTCCAGGAGAAACGAGCATCCAAACGTAGACGGTGCTCGAACGTCCATGCCTGTACCCGGGCACCAGGCCTGGAAAAAGTGGATTGCCATTTTTCTGGCAGTCGCTCGCCTGTAGACCGCGTCCCACAGCCAGGAACGAAGATGAGGCTTGGTCGTCAGTGTCGTGCCCGCTTGTCCTCAGACGGCGTATAAACCTACTCGATCTCCGTGGCGTCAAAGCCCTCATCGTTGGTGAGTTTCCTCAGGTACGGCCAGTCCATGACGGGATGGTCTCGAGTGTTCCAAGGTGACACATTGAGATCCATTCATGGCCGGACATAGTCGGTGTTTGCTGTATGCGACCCTCTCGAGCTGCTGATCTGGAGCTAGTCGCGGAACAGCTCAATAAGAAGCTACAAGTTGTGTGTCTCTCGACGAGGCGTTCTGTCATATGACGCTTGGGAATGCGGCCCAAGGCTACATCCCGCCGACGAGTGAATAACATGTCGAGGTGCGTGAGGGTTGGTTCAGCTGATCAGCCCGGACCAAGGGGACAGTAGCGCAGCCTTGTCTGGTGAGAAGTGTTTGCCTCGGCGGCACCCAGTAGCCAGCTGGAGAACAACAAGGCGGACCAAGTAATCGGGAAGAATCGCGCGGCTGTGACTTGTACATAGGCTGTACACGCCGCGGATTGTGCTGATGACGAGGGCTCGGGCGACAGCACATGCGACCGGCGAACACGTCAGGCTTGGCACAATACGTACCCGGACGCCAACCACGCGTGGGCAGGCAGGCACTACTCTCGATACATGCGTACCTCACCCTTCCTATCTCGCCCATGGCTGCTGTAGTCAGCCAAATTGATTTCCTCGGCCAACATGACTGTAGCGTACGCGGCAAGCCATACTCCCTGCGATATGATCCACCTGGCGACTTTCCGAGGACAAATTTCATATCTGTCTCCGAGGATGTATCGTTGACTGATGTGCGCGGGCGTGAGAGCGAATTTCATGTTCACAAACAAGGCTTCGGCGTACTATATTTGAATCCCATGATGGCGTACGAAGACTACGAAGACAAGCACAAGGTAGAGACATTCTACTTTAAACAGGTTGCAGAGGGCGTTCGAGAGTTGCTCGGTGCCTCAAGAGTGCAGATCTTCGAGCATGTGGTAAGCCGCTCCAGCTTGTTTCTCCTACGCGTTGTTTGACACTGGACGAAATGTAGCTTCGCAAGCGGCACGCAGAATTCCCTATCGCTACTGGTGAGCCATACAAGTACGATCAGCCCACCACTCGGGCACACATAGGTACATTCGGACTTACTTGTTCTACATGCCAGAGCTGATGCCAGTAGATATGACGCCTGCCTGGGCGACGGCCATGGCCGAACACATGAACGAGCGCAGCGGAAACGCACTTCCCTCGACAAGGTTCCAGTTCATCAAGTATGTGCCCTTCTTGCCGCGCCCGCATCACACTAACGGCCGCGTCAAGCATCTGGAAACCACTACGAGGGCCAATCAAAGATTGGCCGCTGGCTCTGTGCGACGCAAGTAGCCTGGACCAATCGGACATTGAAGCAATGGACGTCGTGCATAGCGCGACCGTGATTGAAACCTATCTCGTGCGACCCAACAAACACCAAAGATGGTACTACCTGAGCGATCAGACGGAAGATGAAGCGTGGGTATTCTTACAAGCAGACTCGGGAGTAGACAAGCACCTGGGTATATACACGACCAAACCCCGGGTAACCGACAGAGAGATGCTAAAAGATTCGCTAGGCGCGCCTCACAGTTCATTTCGACATCCTGACCACGAGCAGAGTCTGTTCCCGCGAGAGAGTATCGAGGTCCGCGCGATTGCCTTCTACCATGACACCTAGCCAAAGCACCACATCATAGCGAAGCGAAATTATCCAGCATTATTCCTAAATCCAGTGTACCAGGCCTGCAGCGCGGAAACTGGCCCCATCATTCCCCAGGCTGCCAGGAATGTCGTCAACTTGTCTTGCGCAATCATTGGATGTCCGCTGGATTGTCATCTTTCGATCCCATATGGTATTCGGAACGTCCCTATCCTCGTATCAGCCGACTCGCTCTTCCGACCGGCTTCCCAAAGATGAGCCCACATCAGACTACTGCTTTGCGGTATCGTAGACAATTTTGAGCGGAGCATTGCCGGCGCTGCCATCGACGATCATCCTGCAGCCTTTGCGCGCGCCGTATGTGATGACATGCTCCGACAACTTCGCGTTCTTGTCCGCAGGCCATACTGCGCGCCATGGCTGGTCTTGCTGTACGCTATGCGTGGAGGGTTGGGTCTGGGCTGGCATGGCAGCGAGTGGGTGATCTGGCAGGATGGTCGGATTTGACGACTCGAAATACTGTGCGCGTAATAAGCCGAATTCGCTGCAGCTTAGCCGTGGCAGCGTTGCACTCGTGATCATCAAAGCACAAGAAACTGTCGGTGTACGACCTATGGCAGACATGGCCCGGTGTGCCGAGCGCGTCCGGGAGCCGCAACGCGACTGGGGAGAAATTATGGCCTGATTCAGGGCCGCCCACAGTCATTTCACGAGGCGGTTAGGGAGGCCGCGGAGGTGGCTGGCATGGCCATGTCGGCTGGAAATGAGAAAGCGAGACCGGAATGAGACACGTTCGCCCGCCGCTCGGTTCGTCCTGATGACAAACGGTGTAACATGACCATTGAGCACAGTCGTTACTGCGCGACGCCTCGATGCCACGTCTGCATGCCGTGTCGTGCCGTGTCGTGTCGAGGTCACACGAACCGTGGAGGCGCAGCACAAACACGGAAGACAGAGACAAGATATACGCCCTGACGCCGTCGGCGTTCGGACCGGCCCGGTATTTGACCGCTCGTCTGTGGCTTCAGGTCTGCATGTGCGTCAAATCTGCAACACGTTACAACATCATCGTGTCTGGTCTCATTGCACTGTCTACCATGAGACCTTGATGTTTGACAAAAGCCATATATTGGGAAAGCCATGGCAATCTGATGTACGACTTTCGTCGGGGTACGCTTTACGCTTACTACTTACGAAGGTTTGCACTACTCGCCTTGTGCAGGCTGTGCGAAAGAAACTTAGCACATGCACATCGGCCGGTTTTGTAGTCCAAATCGCATCGTACCTCTGCAAGATCTTTGGATGAAGAAAAAGTACAGCAAGGCTAGCCTTTGTCGACGACAACGCCGCCGCGAACGAGTCGTTGCGATGCTGAGGTTCCACAAGGTGCACATCGCCGATGATTAGCATACTACTCCAACTAAAGACATCAAAGCTATACGATTATTCGATACAGTAGCGCGGCAGTATGAATATCTTCCTACCCACGTGAAGACGCTACACATGCAGTGTCAGGAATCTATCTCGAATTTGATGAGCAGAACTAACCTGAAGGAGGTCAAGACTTCTTAGGCGTTGTGCAGACATACTTGACGACTGACATTTCTTGCCGCCGTATTCGCACCGATGGCATTCACGACTTCGTTTTACTCGATGGATATCGGCCTGACTGGCCGCAATCTGAGTAATTGGTTCGCAGTACTATTGGTGTGATGGTAGTCACACTAATCTTGACGCTTGTCGATGTGATAGTGTGGCTAGTTGTACAGTATGGACGCGGCCGTACTGCCGTCAGAAAGTTGGCACTTGCTTGAGTATCTCGCGAGCCTGGGTCGAATACACAGAGTGTCACACGCGCTGCGCATCAATATTGCATAAGCTGATACCTCTTCGTGACAAATATCATCTAGACCAGAACACCACCATCTCGTCAAAATCACTGTCATCGGCTGTTGTTCCCTTAACGCCGCGCTGATCCTGAGCACTCTTCAGCAAGTCAGCTGCAATTCTGAGTTTCACAGACTGATCTTCTCCAACGGGAACCAATTTTGCTTTCCAATGCAAGACACGTGCTCGCTCTGCCTTGTAATGCTGCTTCTGCGTCTGATATATCTTATGTGCGTCCTCCAGATACTTCCTGGAAAAATATATGTTAGCGAAACGGGACATCACTAGAGGCGGGAAACCGGAAATACTGACTTTGCTTCATCGAGGTGACCTGTGCGATATTTGTGCTGTGCTACTTTGAAGCACATGTCGGCAGTGCGGTGATGGGTAGGGCCGACAGTCTCTTTGTAGTGTATCATGGCCCGCATGTGGTAGGAAAGACTTCTTTCCGTCTCATCCAAGGCGAGGTAGATATTCCCCAACGCATGCAGCAGCCTTCCGGTGCTATTTGCAATCAGTACTTCTTTATCGTTTCGCAATCGCTACTGTATGTACTTACAGCATTGATGACCGATCGTCCGGACCTAGTCTCTCCTCTCGCTCCTGCAGAGCCTGTAGCGCCTTGTCCCGGGCTCCGGCCGCATCTCCCAACTCGAGCAACGCGAGAGCCAGATTCGCGACAGCCAGAGTCCGTAAATTCATCACCATTTCCGGCAAAGGAATCGACTCGCACAGGGCGAGAGCCACTTCACTGCAACTCTTGGACTCTTTGTACTCCAGCTTGAAGGCATGGGCCACAGCTAATTCCAAATAAGCTATCGCCAGCCGTGGATCAGTTTGACAGTCGTCGTCTCCTAACTGCTCAATCATGAGTTCTTTGTACTTTACGTAGTTGTCGTACACTGTCTTGACATCGCAAATGTCTGCGGCAGACGTGCCAAGGTTTCTATAGGTCTCGGCGAGGAGGAAGGAGGTGTCGTCAGGACCATGTTCCAGTGCGCGTGAGGTATTGGTATGGCCGAGACTATTGAACAAGTCTGGTAGCTGTCGTGGATACGTCTGCTGTTTGCCATCTGTGTAGGCTTGGTCATGAGCGATGATCTTCTCAAGATGATTGCGAGCAACCCTGAAGCAATCCATCGCGTACAGTGATTGACCGCGCTCCTGCAAGTACCTGCAAGTGCCACCGTCAGCGGAGATACAACGTGAAGTCTCACATCTACTCACCAGCCGACCTCATTCAAGAGGGAAGCGAACTGTGTGTTCAACGCCAGTTCGTCTCTCACTTCATCTGACTGCTTGGAAAATCTGTCCTTGAGTCGAAGAGCATGTTGGCTGAGCTTCTCACACTGTTCCCATCTGCGATTATCCTGCCTAATGGCATCTGCACCTGCCACTGGCCAGAGTTTCGATAGAACTCGTACAGCAAAATGGAAGATTGGTACAATGTCAAATGAGCTGATCCTGAACAGAGCAGCATCTTGGACCAGAATGTTCACCGACAATGTCCTAGTCCTGCGATTGTGCATGGCAAGTGACTTTCCTGTCAGCTCTTCTCTGGCTTGCTCGTATTCAAAAGCAGTGTTCGGAAAATTGGCCGATGTGATCACCCCCAAGATAGGCTCGATGATATGTTCCTCCGAGATGTCAGAATCTATCAACGACAAGAAGATCAAGAGCCTACGACCCATCTTCGAAAGTTGCTCGAAAGCAAAGACAGTCGCTACTGTATGCTGGTAAGTCGACGTAGTAGCTCGAGCGTGCGAAAAGCCGTCGCTGCCTTCTGAAGGATCGTAGACGGCCAGAAATTGATCAAAGCTCAAGTCCCCTTTGAGAATAACGCCTGACATTTGTGTGAGGGCCAAAGGATATCCCCGCAATGCTCTGGCGACTCTGCTGGCCGGACCGGGTTGGTCTTCCCGCTTTGTCAATTTCATCATCAGACGGGCCCCTTCCTCGGTGCTGAAGGGCTTGAGATCGAGCCCGTCAGCAACTCCATACGCGCTCGTCTTCGCTTTGATATCTCGAGAAGTGACAAGCACCGACCCAACACTGCCGACAGGAGGCCAAAAGTCGTAAAGGACTTCTGGTACATCGGCATTGTCAAAAATCAGTAACCAGTTTGCTGTGTTTTCGATCAGCCTGTCATTCTGGTCACTGAAGCGCCTGGGACGATTCAGCCACCCTTTGACAAGTTCACGCGTAACAGCAAGATCCTTAGCATCGAGAGAGCCCTCTTCCACTAGACCCAACGCGACGGCAACCTTATTGAAGTCATTTGCAAGCTTCGCATGGTTCTCTGCTCGCATCCATAGGATAGCATCGAACCTTTCGGTGTGCGTAAGAGCAAATTCAGCGGCTGTCTGTGTTTTTCCTATTCCTCCCGGACCACATATGGCATAGGTTTTGAGACCTAGATCATGCTCAGGAAGTCCTGACGGCAAGAGATGATCTCGTATTTCTCGTAGTACGTCTTGTCTCCCGAGGAAGTGAAAATTGCGCTCATAGGGGACGTAATAGAAGGGTATTCGAGGAGACCAGGGATCCAATGAGACACCGTCGACGGCGGGTGAATTAATAGTGCTTTGTAATGCTAAAGGCGAAAACACTTGTGGGTGCATTGGAGCGCTAAGGCTTCGTGCTAGTGATCGTCAGCGCCAATGGCGCGGGCTCAACATGCGTGGAATGAGTCACCTGAGGAATGCCTCTGCCTCGAAGACCGGCTCCGAGTGCCCTTGCGCGACGATGAGCTGCTTGAGGCGACGATACTCGCTGATAGAAATTCTGCTGCAGGGTTGTGAGATCAGTAATTTCGAACCCATGAGGCGTACGAACCCGTCGTCTTTTGCGCTTGTATCCAATCCGCACGAAGTATGATGGCCTCCTCGCAGAAATCGTTGATGTTTTCGTAGACAGGACTATTGATATCGATCTCGTAAAGGCCGAAGTGATCCGTGTGTGAGTCGAGTAGCCTTTCACGTCCCGCATTTGTGGTCCCTGCCGCACGGCCTACAATCTTAGTGTTTGTTAGCGTATCGCATTTGCTTCGTACATTGGAAAAGCAGCAAGTACCAGTGCTTTTGATCTGCTAAATGGCAGCGACTTGGACCCTAGTTTCGCCTCCTGTGTCTCGTTTATAGACAGTATTGGTAACGCTGAGGCGGCGTCTTCAAACTTGACACACAAGGTACTTAGCTTTTCCAGGTCTTCTTCTGCATAGCTAATCCTGCGTGAAAAAGCCCTTCGCTGTCGTAACAGAGGAAGAGCTCTGGCCCATACAGGGGAACTCGCAGATCTTCCATGTGGTGTCCCGAGAAAGACTATTGCGGCTATCGCATTGCCCAACTGCCGTACATGGCTGAAATGCTTGGAAATCGACCGAAATGCCTAACGACGGTGAGGTGTGTCCGGTAATGTAGGGACTCGGGTAGACGAACTTGCTTGACTATGACACCCCCGAGGCTGTGCGCGATAAGCACCACTGGTGGGAGTTGTCCCTGATGGATTAGTTTATCTTAGCCAAACATGCGGCTACACATACGTACTTCAAAAGTGGTTTGCAAGCTCACGAGCGAAAGCACAAGCTCCTCCCCTAGGTCCAGAAGGGATTGCGGTGTAGCGGACAGCCCGCTCCGCACTTCATAATCGAAGGAGTAGATAGCAGTCTTTGACGCTGAGCCTTTTGGTAAGTTGCGAATCCAAATGCCCCACGAGGAACCTGATGCCCCAAAAGGCCCTGGAACGATGATGATACTGCAGATAGTCAGCCCCGACGCAGAGCGGCATCGCGTGAATTAATACTCACACGGCGTTTGCGTCTTCGCGCGCCTGAATGGTCTGTAATTTGGAGCCTTGTCGCTCGCGCGGGACAGAAACGCTCTGTGATATGGATGAGCTCGTGCTTGTAGGCATGTCCGTAGCCTCCTAGCGGTCGGTACCCGGCTCATAAGGACGACGGCGAGTAATGATCGGGCTTCATGCTGCAGTGCTTGTAGGAAAGCAGGATGCTTCACATTTACGAGACGAGACAACTGTATACAATACTTTGCGGGCGAGATGGAGGCTGTGTCAGGCCGCGAGGGCAAGCTGGAACCGCTCACATTGCGCCCCTCATCTTCCAACCGCGACTTTTGGCAAAGTCGGCCACCACTCCTGTCATCCCAATCACTTTGCGCCACGACACGCAGCTCTCTGCACGTTTCCCTCACGCTGATCTGGTGCCAACACCCCCAATTAGGGCCCAAATTGCCTGCTGACATGGCTTTGAAGAATGCCGCAGCTTATCACGATACATAAATCCATGAGGCGCAGTGCAGAGTCATTGTCAGCGATGCCACCGGTCAACATGGCAAACAGCCCTGCCCAGTGGGAGGCCGCCAACCACACCATTTTTGACTCACCTTACGCGACGTGCCCATGGCGCATCATGCCTACACGACACTGAAGGCTATGGCATATATGCACTGTTGGTGCGCAATGCTCATCTCGTGCATATCTGAGCTTTGCATGAGAACTACTGCATCCCAGCCTTCGAAGCTGCATTTGTGGAGGCGCAGACGGCCGAGGCTGCATGCAATCTCACACAACGAGCAGATATAGGATGCTCCCAGGTCATGCTGATGGATCACACCGAGCATTCCGATTTCTCATTCTGAGAGATGCAACAAGATGCAGGGCGCAAATCTCGACGAACTCACGAATATGCCTGACCATTCGCGAGCACAGACGAACACGAGCTTCCCAGAGGAAGATGTGGCCCCTCGTAGGTCTATTGCCCTGTTCATGTGACGCTGTCTTTCTCACATTTGCAAGGGACTCCCGAAGAGTATGCGAAATGCGTTGCTGCTTTCGCGCTTCTGAGGGGCTTGTATCACGGAGAGGACTACCAACATCTTGGGGATTTCATGATGCGACCTATCGGTCCCAGGCTTCATCGGCCCACAAGCGTCAATGACGAAAACCCAGCTCTGCTGAGGCCACCGATCATCTATCGATGGTCGCCCAATACCGAGCTACGCCGCAAGCACGTAAAAACCGTCGCAGAAGTCTCGCAAGAGGTTGATGACTTGGTGGGAAAGCATGGGTCGATGCTGTTTCTGTCCGGTCTCCAGAAGCCAGACTGGATCAATGCAATCGGAGCAGGACTTGACCTTGATCCCAGGTTTTTCCATGACCATCTCCACATCAAACCACCAATAGGCGCAAGGACTCTCTTCTCGATGCCTGCTCTGCCCTCCGCGAACGACAGTATCGTGCGACTGCGATACTTCACGATTGGTGAGCACACTGCTCTTCCTAGCGGCACAAAATTATCCAGGCTCCGCTCAATGGGCTCAAAGGCCATGGAGCAGTATCGGAGGGCTCTGAATAGCGAGCACAACTCGAAGCAAGGGGACTCTATTGTTCGCCTGCACTATGTCCATTCTCTGGAATATTTTTCGATCATGCAACAGATGACGATCGCTGTTCACAGCACCGGAAATGGCTTCAAAGGTGAGTTAAGAGCAGCGCGAGTCTCAATCACATAGAGGATGACCGAAGCGAAGGGGTTGCATGGATCGACAGTGGCCACGATCTCGATCAAGGTCCGGATGGACCGTGGAGTAACTCCGCCCATAGTTGGAGACCACGCTTCCTACCCACTGCATTGCACGCTCCTCGAATCGCACTGGAATGGCAACATTGTGCGACTCTGCCACAATCTACCGGGCTATTGATGCAGACTGCATCGCACCTTTGTGAGAACTATGGACGCTCGTTAGATGACGAGATTTTGTGTCAGGATGCGTTTTACGCCATCTCAGACTTGCTCCAATATGCCGCCGCATCAATCTGTCAATACTTAAACTTGCTGGATTACACAGTTCGCAATGCAACCATACATGCTACATCCAAGGCTGGTAATTTCGACGTCTCGGACTTGGCATACCACCGGCAATCGCTCGACGATGTTATATCTGTGCTCAAGGAGAATCTTCGCGCTGTTCAAGCGCGAGGCCACCCTGCTTGGCCTCAAGCTGCAGTAGGAGAACGTCTAAATGAAGCGGACAGAATCGCAGCATCTCTACTTGTCGACTACCAGGAACTGCTTTCTCGTGCTCAGACTCTTGCCGAGCGATGCAGTAGCGACATGCGAAATATCATGCACCAAGCAGCGATTGCGGAATCGCAGCGTTCATTCGTACAGGCCGAGAAAGTGGGACAGTTGACGTGGCTTGCTTTTCTGTTTGTCCCTCTAACTTTCACCACATCGTTCCTGGGTATGAATCTCGAGGTATTCGGTCAAGGGACGATTCCGTTCTGGGTATGGTTCACCATCACGCCACCTTTGGTAATGTTTGCCTTCTTCATGCCGCGACTGGCCCGTCAGGATTGGAAAGGTAACAAAACTGCGCGACCGGCTGCCAAGCCTGATCCCCATCCAGGGAGCCAGGAGGCACAGCAGATGCGACATTCGGTATGACTGTTCACATGTATTTTACGAACGACATTCACCTGTTTGATCCATGTCCTGTAGCACAGAAGTTTGACCGTCCATACTTTGACTTCTTGATGATGAGCAGGTTATGCCCGGGACCTTCTTTGTATTGAATCACGAATCGAAAAATTGACACCTCATGCGACATGACTCCGGATAAGGCGCTAGCGTAGCAACGAGCGGTCTCACGTGTTGCATTCGCATTTGTCGGAATTCAAACCAGAGCGAGTCAATGCGCTATGCTGAGATTTTGTCACAGAAGGCAGCAAATGTGGCAGCACAGAGATGTTCAATAACTGATCATCAGATGAATGCACGACTTTACGATTTCTTTTGCCTTCTGCGGTTTACTATATTACCCATCTTCTCCACCATGACGCTGAAGTCACCCCTTCCTCAACGCTTGACTGCTGCATCAGCTTTTCTCGCTCAATGAGATGTATCTCCGAAAGGTCCATAGCAGACAACGATATTGGCCGATCTCGGAATACGAACAGGGCGAGCAGCCACAGTCCTATGGGTTGGTTAGCAACGTGCAACTCCGCAGACACGTAGACACAGTACTCACCAATGAATATCGCAATGTCGATGTAGTATGTCAAAAAGCTGGAGACGCTCCACTTCCCAGGAAAGAAGACGCTATAACCCGAAGTGAGAATGACGACGATCAGTGCGAAAAGTGTCGTCCACGCCACATATGGCTGGAGCGGACTCTTGTAAGGCAAGCCTGTCAATTGAATCAGCATCATTCAGGTAAGAGCAATTTCGACTCTTCACTTACGATCACGACTGATGCCTTGAAGTCGCATACCGTGAAAGAATTGCAAATACGTAACACAAATCACCAACCATCCCACAAGGCCAGCAATCGTTGTAATGTTGACGAACCATCCGAAGACAACACTGCTACTGCTTCCGAGCGCCAAGTAGACTAGTGGTGTAAAGACCAAACTCGCGGCAACAGACAAGTATGGTGTTCCATATCGGTTCGTCCTCAAAAACCATTTTGGAGCCTGTCCCTCCTCGGCAAGCCCATAAAGTGTCCTAGACGCAAGGAACACACAAGCACTTCCACAGCTGAACGCACTGGTGCAAACAACAGCGTTGATGATGCTTGGTAGTACCTCGATCCCAGCACGCTGGAAGGCAATAACAAAAGGGCTCTGCTCTGCAGTCCCCGTCGACATCCCCAGATTCGGATCACTGGACGGCACCAAAAGCCCCACGACAAAAATCGACAAGACGTAGAATATCATCACTCGCCAGAAAGTCATGCGGACAGCATTCGGAATGACCTCTCTCGGATTCCTAGTCTCGGCACCTGCGAGAGCAATGACTTGTACGTTGGCGTAGCTGTACGCAGCGCTGATGAGCGTCGACCAGAATCCGAGAAACTTGCCTGTATTGCCAGAGACAAGATGTTCGTTGAACGGGCCAGGAGACTTCCAATATCTGAAGCCTATGCGATCGTGATTTGGTCCACCTCCAAGATCGACGACCATGCCGGCGATGATGAGACTGATGATGAGGGAGATTTTAAGGACGGCGAAGAAGACTTCGCTCTCGCCATAGACTTTCACAGGACTGAAGTTGAGTGCCATAGTAACAACAATGGAGACTGTAAACCAGACTGCGGGATTGATTGACGTGTTCCAGAAATTGATGACTGATGAAGCATGTCAGCACTGGAACTGCCAGCACTATCTTCACACTACAGCCCAGACACACCCGTTGCAGCTGCAGAGATCTCAGCAGGCGCTGTGATGGCCATTGTATACCAGAAGTTCTGTCTCATATGTCAGCACATTGTTTCTCGTTGCCGTCTCGAGATTCCCACCCATCCTGTCGCGGTTCCAAGCGCTGGCTGGACAAATTTGGTGGCATGTCTGACGAAGCCGCCGGTGACTGGCACGAAAGATGAAATCTCTCCCGTCATGAGCGCCACTGCCCATGTGATGAGGCCCATGACGATGTATCCGAATAGTGCACCAACAGGTCCACCAGTGGCGATTGCTTGTCCTGAGGCGAGGAAGAGGCCTGTTCCCTTACGAGATAATCAGTGAAGAGGTTGAAGGGGATGACTGGTGCTGAGATACAATCATGCCAGCAATCGCTATCATGTTGATGTGCCGTCGCTGTAAATCTCTTCGAACACCATTGTGCTCGTCAGAGGCTTGAGGATTGCTTGCTTCTCCCCTTCCGGTTTCAGCAGCATCAAGCTCGACGCTCAAGGATGGTATTTTGGCGTCCAACATGTTGGGGTCGGGATGCATGCTCAAGAAAGAGTGTCTTGAAAGGCTGCTGGGCTCAGGAAGTATGGGGTTCGATCATCTGAACTATCCGTGAAGGAGGATCTTGAATAGTTAGCATATGAGAGCAATGCTTGGTTGCAGATCCATAATTGGTCAAGCCTTTATCATCGTATGCTTGTTGGCAGCAGTTCGCCGGAGGATTCGGCTTCCTGCAAGCTTCACGAAGCTTCGTACTCAGTTGGCCGCTTGGCCGAGCCGGCTGCGATAGGCGGCAAAGGCCTACTCCAACTCTGCATCTAAAGTTGCCTGAGACTTATGTGATGACTGACGCCTCGGGAACAAGGCCATGTCAATGGAAGATTCGTTCGAGCTGTTTGACCTCAAAGTCGAGGTCATCTGCCCTCCAGACGCGAAGATCTATTGCGGTGCGAAAGAAGGCGATCACTTTTACTTGCGTGGGGAGATGCTACATCTACCAGAAGGCCAAGGATTCAGTATCTATAGCTTGTGTAAGTTTGCGTTCAAAATCATAGGTCGAACCCAGCTCAGTACCGCTACAGCAGCCGTGTTGCCGCTTCTGGCAGCCAAGCAGAGACAGACGCATGCCAATGATTGGGTAGGTGGATATCTGTGCCGATCACCTAGTATTGCTAAGCATGGCTCCAGATGTCGACCCATGCTCTTGTTGCTTGTCCGGATCCGTATTGTCCTTCGCAGTTGAAGATTACCAGAGTTGGTAAGCGGCAGTTCAAGCATAGCGAGACGACCGCCGTGCCACTTGGTATGTGAGTGACATGGCCGACATGAGTCAAATGAGCGATAGTGGAGTACAATGATGCGTTGCGTAGAGACACGATGAGCTTGTGGACATGTGTGTTTTTGGAGAGAGACTCAGAGTGTGAGTGGTCGTGTGAAGTCAATGTGTCAGACCGCGCGACAGTATGAAAATCGAAAAAATCTTCATGTGGTGTTCTTGAACTTGTTGCAAAGAAGACGACATGTGTGAGGGGTTGTTCTAGGTAGAATGTCAGAGAGAAATGGTATGCGAAATTGGAGGAAAGTGTGGTATTGTATCCCAGCGCCAGGAAAGGTCCACCGTATTTCTTACTTCAATTTGCCTCTTCAGCAACCTCACCTGCTCAACGACACCGGCCAAGCTCGGCCAAGCTTATCGCCGGCCGTGTGCAGTAGTCAGTGGACATGCAGTCCCATTGGTCTCGGGCGGAAGCTGATACATGCAGCTACAGATCGATGGACTTCGCTGTCCTCGACTGCATACCTGGAACTGAGGCTCGTAGCTCGCCATTACCACGACTGCTCTGAACAGACCTGTGAGAGGCAAGGCTGACAGTTGATCAAGGCAAGAAAAGATGTCTTCCTCATCGGAGCCCGACGTCAAGATGGCACATGTCAATCTCATGACAGACACAATTGTAGCCAACATTCCTGAGGATGGTCTTCGCGCAGTATTGAGATCAATGCTGGCCGTTGATCCTGCAATTACGAAGGCATTCGAGGATAGAGCCCGAATTTACTTGACAAAGCAAGCCAAGTCTCCCGGCCAGGAGATCTTTATGAATGATGGGGAGAAAATCAGGCTCACGTCAGGCTTCCATGAACAGCAAGGCAGGATTCGAGCGATGCTGGGATGCGGGCTGTGCTTCGAGAGCATACCATTACTGGAGCACATTGTTGAGCAAGCATCGGATCCGGCGATATTATCCAGTCAGAATGGGATCCTGGGTCGAGCGTTGGCGAGTATTGATGGAGACATCATCCAAGCATTGACGGCTGTTCAGAAACTGCTGCTTGTTGCTTCAGGTTCGAGGCGGTTGAATGAGACTGAGATTGTACCAATTTCTCGACTCCACCAAGCATTGGTACACGGCCAGAAGCGGCTGTCACCAAACGATGATTATCCTTTTGCACGGAGTTTGTTGGCCCTGCAGCTCTCACAACTACTGCCCGGGACCTCAGAACAGGACGCTCTAGCCTCTGACTCGGTGCGTATCACTATATCGCCGCTCTCTGAAGCCATTGAGACCTTCACAGTCAACGGACGTGCCCTGCCACGCCTCTTCTCCGGTCTTTGGCAGCTCTCAAGTCCCTCCTGGGGCATCGCCACACTTAGCCAGATCAACGCGCAATTCCACGAATACTCTTCCCTTGGATTCACAGCCTACGATATGGCAGATCACTACGGCGATGCTGAGATCCTCTTTGGCCGCTTCCGCTCCACATGTACAAATCCCAACGCCCTCTTCGGAGCAACCAAATACTGCGTCTTCACTCCCATTGAAGTTACAGCAGAGGTGATCTCCGCTAACATCATCGAGCGTTGTCACCGGATGCAAGCGTCTCACATCGACTTGCTCCAATTCCATTGGCAAGATTATAGCGACCCCAATTACATCCTTGCGCTGCAGTACCTTCAATCAGATTCTCGAATACATGCTCTGGGTCTCTGCAATTTCGACACTAAACATATGCTTAACGCCATCAACTCCGGGATCAGAATACATACCAATCAAGTGCAATTCTCTTTGATCGATTCGCGGCCCTTGCATTCTATGGTGCCCGCTTGCAAAGCTCACGACGTCAAACTCCTCACCTACGGGTCTTTGCTCGGCGGCTTCCTCTCTTCAAAATGGCTCGACAAACCAGAACCTCTCGACAACTTCTCGCAAAGTATCACGCCAAGTCAGAGAAAGTACTATGAGATGATTGTGAATTGGGGAGGATGGGAGTTGTTCCAAGAGCTACTGCACGTTTTGCAAGACGTCGGCACGAAACACGATAGGAGTGTGAGTTGTGTAGCGATGAGATGGGTGCTAGATGTAGCGGACGAAGTGGTCGGTGCGGTGATCGTGGGGACGAGATGGGGTGTCAGTGGACATGCGGAGGAGAATCTGAAGGTCTATGGGTGGAGACTGGAAGGAGAGGATATGAACAAGATTGAAAGTGTTCTCAGCAGGAGTCGAAGAGCAAAGATGGTAGAGCTTTTGGGTGATTGTGGAGGCGAGTATAGATGAACAGTTCATGTGCAGGAGCACGAACACAGATGCGCTCCTGTCGGATCGTCGTCAGACTTGACACTTGGTTCCTGAGCTTGGGGAAGAGTGGATTTTGTGAACAGAAGCGTAGTATTGACTTTTCTACCTATGCAATGCGACGATGATTGCAATCGGATCGACCACTTCTGTCCACCGTTTCCGAGCCTCCACTTGATATACAGGGTACTGAGTTGATCTAAAGGAAGTTGAGGATGTCCCAGTTGACAGAGGCCTCACGATCAGTCTCGAGTCCATTGTTGCCACACTGCATGGTGTTTTGAGCATCGAGCTTAGCCTTCCTGTATCCTTGGGTGGAAACAAATTCGCCGTGAGTGTATCGCGAGATCGAAGTAAGGATGATGTCAGCGACATCCTTGTTGCCAATGTAGACCTTCTCGTTGCTTGCGGAGCCCAGAGAGACGCGGAAAGTGCAAGTTCCAGATGATACGATGTTGGTTGGAGAGCTGGTGACCTCCCACTTGTTGCCATCGTTGGCAACGTTTTCGGCGAGTCTCTGGCAGTCGGACACCTTTGGAAGGTTCCAGCCGAGCTGGGTGCGCTCGTCGTAGCGGTCGTAGAATGGGGAGGCGCCGCAGAAGTCTTGGGAGTTCTGTCTGGCCTGGACAGCTGCGCCGACAACAGGAGCTGGAGCTGCGTTGGCGGCAGCGGCCAGGAGGCCAGCGAAGATGGTGGTGGAGAATTGCATTTTGATGAAAAGACTTGTTGTAAAGGAGGATGTGGTTTGGCTTCAATTATTGGGTTTGTTGTTGTGGTTGTAACGAGCGTCGGATGGAAGGAGTGTTGTGGTTGATGGAGACTTTGTTAGATGGGGTTGTGATATGCCTCTTATATCCTCTGCTGGTCGTTGTACTTCATCCTCTGGTCGAGACTTCTGGTCGTATTGTCCGTGCACATACTGGACCCAAATATGGTACACACCTTGCATCACTCTTCCGCTGTCACATCCTGAGACATTGTGAGCAGAGTGGCTTCTATACAGCCAAAGGGCTTTTGTCGGCTACTCTTGGCCACACTCTACCGAGTCAGGGATCCTGTTGATGTGAAGTCCAGAAAATCGTGCGCCTAGTTCTCCTGTAATTGAAGGAGCTTTCCATCTATGCATTTCCATGTATTTCATCGAGCGACCGTCTCCTCCGTGAAGCTCGTTTCATCTGCCATACCAGGACAGACAACATGCTACACCATGTTTGCCGATGTATCCTTCCCTAATCTGTTGCACTGCGATCCGGCGTGTCCTTCGCGAGCGAGACGTAGTTCAACTATGAGATTGCAGTTCCTGCTCCATCACTGTCGATCTCTCCCAGTCATTTCCCTCACCTTAAGTGCATCACGATAGCCAGGGGGACTCTGTAGCCTGACTTTGACGATTGTGGAAGACCGAAGACGAATTGCAGCCGGTTCTTTCATCTTCCTTGCCAGGGGATGGCTGTACCAAGTCTTGTTCTCGGAGCCAAGAGTCAATGTACTCATCTCGGCCTTACGATATCGTTTGTTGGAACATGTTCATGTTCTGGATTGCAGTTCTTTGCTCGATTCTTCGACAGACCGCCACCAATGTGCTGGGCTGCAACTTTGTAGCTCATCGTTGAATCGTAAATAGCAGGCTAGGGCGCATCCTACTCGCTTTGTGGTCGGCCCAGCAAGATCGATGCCAATCGCGGATCCTACGGACAGCCAAGCCATGTCCACTAAGGTACTGTACCCCACGAACAAGGACCGAGAACTCGAACGCTTGCTGATCTGCACTCACTGTAGCAGAGTCCAGACTCCTCGTACTGGGGAACTGCGGTGATCGTTCTAGATCTTGGCTCTGGCAAAAACAATGTGAGGGCAAGAATGTGCAGCAAAAGTCAGCACTAAGTCTCAGGCTGCGGAAGTGCCGGAAGCAGACGTAGTCGCCTTTTGCTGACTCGCCATATCATGTCACATCGCAAATGGACAAGCTCAGCATGGCTATTGCTCTGTAGGTACTGCTCATTGCATGGCGCCAGATGCTCGATACGCAGGGCCAAGCAGGCCATCAGGCGTTTTGAGATTCATCATCGCAACATGAGCCGGTAGGCATTCACCTGCCGTATTACTGTTTTCTTTAATTGCAGGTGGTAGGCCAAAGCAGACGATGTCGCACGATGTTGTCCGTAGTTGACCGAGATGGAAGCCGACTGGGAGTGCCTGGCTACGTTCTGGTATGGGTCTGGACTCCTCTTCTCATGCCGTCGCTCCTGCATTGGACTCAAGTCTCGTTTACAATATCTGACATCGACATCCGATGGACACGGGCTGGCGCTCTAGCTGATGGTGGTGGTCTGCTGGGCATCGGGATGTATCAGTTTCATCGTGACCTCATCGCTATTGTCAGCCTCGTGCCTTTTGTCATCCGGTGTCCACAGGCGAGATCCAGAACATCTCAGGCTTCGTTTTGCGTGGCTACAATGGATGGAGTTGGACCTCATGCCAGTTGTGTAGAGTAGAAGTCGAGACATGCATCTTCACAACAGTCACACGTGGCAAAGCGGGAGAACGGGCCGCGCGGGAGTCTACAGGCTAAATCTTTGACTTCTTGTGTAACCTCTTCGTATCTTGTGTAGCTACGTTGGATCTGCTTCGATGCATGGTTTACTCTCTTCCAGTCTGCGCACTGGGGGAGAGAAACTTTGAGAATGGACGTCTTCGTACCATGGCAGTATGACGTTGCACGCGATCCATACGGCACAATTTCGACGGCCTTGGGTTCGATCTTTCCAACCATTCTCAAAACTAAAACCGAAGACGTTCCGGCCGACGACTCCTCTCCCGCTACCAGTGACCATGATCTTCCACCTCCACACAATGGCGAGCTCAACAAGTCGGCCCTGGCAGCAGTTGGCGTAATTGCAGCCCTCAATCTTCCAGCTTACAGGTACTACCGCTCTCAACATACCCTCGCAGTCCTCGAAGCTCAAAATGGACTCCCTGGCAAGTGTGCGCGATGGGTATCCTATATCTCCAGCACGCTATCGCGGAACATCCTCGACGCCTGCGTGCGATACAAATGGTCGCAAAAGACGATTGCCATGACAGAAAACACAATGCTCTCCTATGACAGCATCAGAAGTGGCCGATGGTGGACTCTTCTGTCCTCGAACTTTGTACACCAGGAAGCCGCTCACTTCAAGGTCAATGTGTATTGTCTGCTCTGGTATGGGACTTCATGTGCTCGCGTACCGGGCGTTAGCTGGAAGGAAGTGTTTGGTTTGGCGATCGTGACTGGTTTGGCATCGAGCATTGCCACTCTTCTACGCCTCAAATGGCAGGGCTCATGGATCGAGAAAGAGTTCCAGGTCAGCAGAGGGCTGAGTGGAGTGGTGTATGGTTTCGCTGCGGTTGCAGCTTTGAATGCTTACCGCAATAAAGAACGCATGCCATCGGGGTTCTCATCTCGCATTCGCTGGATCATCTCACAGAGCATTTACGCGTGCGATCGGACGTTTCCTATGACGATAATCGCCAGAGATATTGCCGCCCTTTTTGGACGTCCCTACAATGCCAATGAAAAGGGCATTAATCACGCCGGGCACGTTGCCGGAGCAGTATCTGGCGTAGCCTTTTACTTCTTTGTGCTTTACAAGAGAAAGCGATCGCAAGCTAGCTGTATCGCGCCCGACAGCCATCCAGGTGACTTGAGTAAAGAGCATGAGAACAAGAGTTAATAGCACCGCGATGTCATCCATGACTCAATTAGAGACATCCAATACACAGCAAGCGACATCTTTCTTGACCTAGCACCGTCAGCTATCATGCGAGCGACCGAGCTTGGATAGTCGTCCCGTTGACAGCCAGAACAGAAAGAAGCAGGACAACGTTATAGAGAAGACGAGCATTTCAAGTCAAGGTCTCACAAATGTATGACAAGACCCCACCACAATTCTATATCGCGCGTTTTGATCGCTACACTTTCATCCCCATCGGAACTTCGTGCCGTCTGCAACCCGAGCGCCTCACAAGAGTCGTCCATATCAGAGAAAGAAGACAAAGGAAAGACGTCGCTCCGACCTCACCCACTTCAGATTCATGCACCGTCTCCACCTCGAGCGCCTAGAAAGGGCTGTCCAATACAGAGAAAGAGGAGAAGTGAAAGAGATAAACAATCCAGGATCAGAGCAGCAGTACTGCCAAATTCCTACCAACTCTAATCTGCTTCCAAGCTGCTCCTCGCCGCAGGTCTTCTCTCTCAGTCTCACACGATCCCCGCTGCCGCATCATTGATATACTCGCACATCAGATCTACAAACCTTCCGACACGATCCTCGCGATCCTGTACCGCAGTCTGGATCGCCAAAATAATCTGCTGGATGCCCACACCAATTCTCTTCTCTCCACCCAAGTTCTCCTGAATTTCGCCGATCGCTCTGTCCACATCTTGCTGCGAGAACTGGCTGGATTCACGCATAACATGTGCGAGCTCCTGCTGGGTTTGAAGAGCGGGGATGGCGATTTGTGCTTTGAAATAGAGCTGCAATTGCTGCATAACTGTGCGCTCGGAGGTCGTGGCCAGAATGAGAAGGGGCCTGTTCTTCGGGGGTCTGTTGTCCATCAAGCCCTTGAGGGCCGCCAGAACGGCAGAGCTAAAACGCGGGCCGACTGGAACCCAGTCGACCATGAGTTCTATGTTGTCAAGGACCAGCACATTGAGCGGACTCTTGTAGGCGTCTGTGAAGACCTTGCTGAGGTGCTGTATCTTCTGAATCTCGTTCATCCCAACCATGTCGACGGCCCGTACCAGCTTGATAAATGGAAACTGTGAATTCAGAGCGATTTGTGCGGCGAGTGCAGTTTTTCCGCTTCCGCGCGGACCATGGAGGAGTACGGAGTGGAGACGCGTCGTGCCTGTTCTGACTTGCTCAACAAAATCGCGACCGTTCCTCAGGATCTTATCAATTTGGGGGCCGTAGTGAATTATGCCACCCTCGACACAGTCTTCCAGAACTTCTTCGCTAACTCCAAATAGCGGTTTTACCTCATCGAGGGCTCCAAGGAAGTCGGCCATGTGGAGCTGCATGTCATTTATGTCATCTGATAGGGCGGCAACAGTGCCTCCCTTGATGTGTCTCTGCAAAGCAAAGGAGCTTGCTGTTACCTGTTAGCTTGGAGCGTGTGCAACTTTGGGAAGCATTGGGAAGAATTCGTAAGTGAGGCAAGATTCACTCCTGTGCTTCCGCGAACGGTCGAGCCACCATGCCAATCAGGGGGATATTTTTGGGAAAATGTCAGTGCAATAAATTCAGAAAGGGACCACTCACCAGATTTCACCAGACCACTGATCTCAGCTCCTGAGAAGTTTCTGGTCTGTCGCGCCAGTTCTGCCAGGTCAACATCGCCGCCGAGCTTGCCATTGGAACGCATCTTCTCCGTATGAATTTTGAGGATCTGCCTCCGCCCAGGCTCGTCAGGCAAGCTGATTTCCATGTGTACTTCCAAACGGCCAGATCGCAATAGTGCCTCATCAATCATATCCTTGCGATTCGTCATACCAATGAGGAGGATATTGTTCAGCTGCTCAACACCGTCCAGCTTGGACAGCAGCTGGTTCACCACGCTGTCGCCTACGCCTGTGCCGCCACCAGCACCAGAACCACGCTGCTTGCATACGGCATCCAATTCGTCGAAGATGATGATGTGTAGGCCTGATTCGTCGCCCTTTTCTTTCTGTTCCTTTTCTGCATCTGCGAAGAGTTTTCGAATGTTCTCTTCTGACTGTCCGACATATTTGTTCAAGACTTCCGGACCATTGATGACCTTGGGTTCGCGGGCATTCAGCATCTTGCCGATTTGACGAGCAATGAGTGTTTTGCCTGTTCCAGGAGGACCGTACAATAGAATACCGCGGACATGCTGGATACCCAGCTTCTCTGCCAGGCCAGGTGGGAAGATGCGCGATGCGAAAGCACGTCGGAAGATGTCGCTGAACTCCTTGTCCAGTCCACCAATGCCCATATCCTCGAATTTGAAGTCAGGCCGAATGACGGAGTTCGCAGCCGGCCGCCGCGTCGACCCCTTGAGCTGAAGTGGTGACTTGGCATCTTTGTAGAAGTTGATTTGCGTTTCGGGGGTCAGAATGCCTCGCGCATGTGGATGTGTTTGCTGCTGTTGTTGTCCTGAGCTCTTTAGTGAAGCCAGATCGACCAACTCCACAGTCTTGATAGTCAGGCGAAGCTTCGGACCACCTCTGAAGTCCAGACCGAAGCTTTGTCCTGGCGCAAATATCTGGTTGCGGAAGACCTTGACCACTGCGTCTGCGAGCTCGTCTTGGTCAAAGGGCGGTGCCTGCTGAGGTCTCGTGCCAGCGAACCCAATCTCGATGTCCATGTTGCCCAAATAACTCTGTGCGCCCTGTCGGAATGGGTCGTATGGCTCAACTTCCACAATGTCTGTGAGTGCAACCTGCATCCATGTTCGCTGGAAGTCGTTTAAACCGATCTGACCACGCTGTATTTGTGGATGAGGGCGCGCTGACAACACGTATTGCCCATTTATCATGATGTGAACATCCCCGCCATCTCTTGAAGGTCCGATGTCTTGAGGCGATACGGCACAAAGGTTCGAGAAGATCAGCTCTCGCGGAGAGGAGACAGGTTGTAGCTGCATTCTGCGTGCGCCACCTTGGTCGTATTGCTTTTCTCGATCGTGTGAGGAGCCGCCGGGCGGAGGTGGTTGTTGTGGGCGGACTGGTTGGCGCTGTCCAGGAGGGGCCTCTTTCCTACCACCGAACAGCGCATCGCGATTAAACATGGTAAGTGCGGGTGTTTCTGGGGAATGCCGAATGTGAGTTGCGGTCGTCGGCAGATATAGATGCTCAGAGTCGCGAGGTATGCAAAGTCGCGGAGAAACAGGAACAGGCACCAAGTGAAAGCGCAATACGTGTCGTCGTGAATGTTGTCGCCTTCAGGTGAAGACACATGCACATGAAAGTCCCACCTCACATCGGATGAAGGGTGTTGCCTCAGGCACGCATACGTCATTCCCTGCGGACCTCCTTGTCCCGAGTTGGCGTTCACTCTTCTCACTCCATCTCCACTACATCAGTACCACTGGTCTGCTGGTCGTCATCGGCAATGAAATACCGTCACAAGAGCACAGTGTGATGGCGTGAGCGCAAACGACAGTGAACGTTGCCGGAATAACACTCCCAGGGTGACTGGACACTTCTCCGCGAACGGGGCGGTTCCGATCGCGGGGCTGTTCCTCGCTGTCGAGCAGACGGATCCGCCAATACGTGAGTAGAAGGTATAGCCAGGTCGCTGCCAGGTACAAGTATTTCACTGCATCGATTCACGTATCGTTCATACCTTGACACATTTCTCTTTCACCGACCATCATCATGTCTGCTCAAAAAGTCGCATTGATCACAGCAGGGACAGCTGGTCTAGGAGCACAGATTGCTCGCGTGCTAGCACCAGACTTTCGTGTCGTATGTTCATGTTCACAGGTGTTCGTTACTCCTCGAAACGTGGAGGACAACTAATTGTTTGCTCGAACCAGGCTATCAACTACGCCAACAATCAATCCCGAGCTCAGACTCTCATCGATGAGTTGCAGAAAATCCCAAGCACAGCAGGCAGCTCGTCATCATCACAAGAATCTCCTCGCTTCGAGGCCCTTCAAGCAGATGTTGGCGACCGATCAGCGATACAAAACTTGGTGCAACAAACCGTAGCCAAGTTCGGACGTCTTGATCTCGTAGTTTCCAACGCAGGCTGGACTCGGATCACGAATTTCGCGAATCTGGAAGAAGGAATGATCGACGAAGACTGGGATCGTTGCTTTCTCTACAATGTCAAGTCGCATTTGTGGTTGATGCATGCTGCCAAGGAGCATCTGGACAAGACCGAGGGAGCATTCGTGACGACGGCGAGTATTGCGGGCGTGAAACCTAGTGGCAGTTCCTTGCCGTATGCTGTCACGAAAGCTGCTTCGATTCATCTTTCAAAGTCGCTGGCTGTTATCTGTTCGCCGAAGATTCGGGTCAATAGTGTTAGTCCGGGATTGCTGTTGACTGAATGGGGCATGAAGTTTCCTGAGGCGAAGCGAGAGGCGTCGAGGAATAATACGAAGCTGAAGCGATTGGCGACTGTTGAGGTATGTGTGCAGTACAGAAGACGAGAAGAGTTACTGATGTGTTTCGCAGGATGTAGCTCAGCAAGTACGCGCTCTTGCGTTGAATCAAAGCATGACGGGACAGAATATCATTTTGGACGGAGGTTTGACGCTATAGACTTTCGACGGGCACGACAGTTCGTCAATTTAAGCCTTGCATCTCGCGCACACTCCAACCAACACATGTGTAATTTGGGCCTTCATCCTTGCACCTTCCTGTTTGAGCCATTTTGACGATGGCTGCAACTCCCTCTGCTCACGAACAACGCAGGCTTGATGCACAAAGCAAGGCAAGTCGTGTTTCCCAAACGACGCCATATGAGCGACTCGGGCTAGACAACGCAAGCACAAGCACGACATGTTGTGACTTCCTTTTCGCGACGTGTCTGAGATTACACAAGGGTTACGTTGTTCCCATGGGAAAGTTTGTCGCGCGGTCTGTGCAACTGCAGACACGCAAGGAATGTGCACAAGCAATCAAATGCTGTACCTCTCCGCTGCCGCTGCACTGAGCCTTCCGTATACAACAAACGCAACACGTTTGCACGTTTCTTTCCTGCTCATCGGAATCAGTATCGAGTCTGGCGAATCAGTTTCAGCATTACACATATCTGCATCGAGCAGTTGAGATCCAGAACAGACGAAGACGACGACCATGCGCTCGATATCCGCCCTCCCTTTTGCGATTGCAGTCTTGCTCCTGCATACGACGGTCCTCGCCTTCCCGACCTTCTCTCTCACAGACATCACGGCACGCCTCGGCCTCGAACGAAGAAAGATTACAAAGATCCTCGCGCCTACGGTCGTGGGATTGTACGTTTGCACGGATGCGGACTGGAAGGGAACTTGCAAGGACTTGAGGAATGGGCCTGGGTTGTGCAGTATGCCAAACGGACACCACCTGAAGCACATCGCTGGGGTTGTGAGTATTGCTCTTGGCTGACCGGAGGCACAGTAAACTTTCAAGAGCCATTCGCTGCGAATATCAGTAGTCTTGGACCAGACTCGGAAGTCAGCGGGTGTACACTTTACGAGTGAGTTTTGCCGCGTGCCCGACTGTTGTTCAAGTTCTCCATCAGCGCAAGGAAACGCGATCTGGGCGGTCCATGTCTGATTTGCCGTGCTGATTTGCGGCCAACAGGAAGGAGGATTGCGACTTGAGCGGAGAGTTCGTGGCGAACATCAAGAAGCCGGGATTGGCGAATTTGGGCAGCAGTCCACAGGCTGGCCGGTACAATGACAACCTCAGGAGCTATGTCTGCTATTGAGAAGGACGAGAGCGGGAGTCGAGGGTTTGCAGCTGTTTCTGATTGAGCTGAGAGCACAAACGGCTTGAAGTTGGGATGCCACGAGACGGAAAAGATGCAATGATACAGCAATAGCATACATGGAAGAATGGTAATCATAATACACAAACAGAGTCTCGAATGAGAGATCGTGACCATTCACAGTAGCGCGTGTCTAGCGCGAAATGCAACACGTCATCTCATGTCCCTCCTCGACGCGTTCCTTCCACTTCTCGCTCCACCCTGGTCACAGCTCACTGCTGCCTCGCCCACCAGCACCACTTGCATCTCAATGAGCGGCATCTACCACTCCTACTTCGATACCGTCTCCACAACCCGCAAATCTCCCACTAAGCGATCGAACTCCGCGAAGAAGCAACAGGAGCCGCCCAAAAAGCTCTCGAAGGCTTTCACTCGACAACTCGAAAAGACACTTTCTACAACGCAATCGACGAAGAAGCGGAAAGGCGGTGTCAAGAAGCAGACTTCCACAAAGCGCAAGCGCGCGCCGACAACAGCGAAAATGCCGAAACGCCCCGCTGCAGAAGAGACGTACGATAGCGATGGCGGGTTCGTAGAGGATGCGGAGCCGAAGAGTAAGAAGAGTAAGCACAGCGCAAATTCTACATCCAAGACTTCTTCGAAGAAGAAGAATGTCGCAGGAAGCGCGCCTGCGACTATGGAAAAAGACAAAGATGGCGGAGTGTACTGGTCCATTGCGAATAAGCGTCGTGTACAATTGACCGAGTTCAAGGGGACGCTGATGGTCGGGATACGAGAGTTTTATGAGAAGGATGGGGAGATGTTGCCGGGGAAGAAAGGGATTTCGATGACGTTGGAGCAGTTTGATGCAGTTTTGGGGGTGTTGCCGGAGTTGGAGAGGGAGGTGAGAAAGAGGGGTGGGAAGGTTAGGAGGGTTAGTGTGGAGGGGGAGGGGGGCGAAAAGGAGGAGGGCGGAGAGGAGGAGGAAGAGAAGGAGAAGGAAGCAGAAGAGGAAGAGGAAGCAGAGGAGCTGCCGAAGAAGACGAAGAACAAGCTGGAGAAGTTCAAGCATAAGGCGAAGAATCATGAGGCTACGAGTGATGAGGAAGAGGATTGAGGAGTGCGAGAAGGCACGGAAGGCCTATGCGGCCAGAACGACTACGACGAACGATACCCAGAGACCTGCGGAGATGCTTCAGTATACAGAGCTGGCTCTACCCACGTTACTTTACATGGCATACCACTCCCGCAGCAGAGCTGCCGGTGATGAACCAATAGCTGCAAAATTGAGCAAAAAGCGAATCTCGAGATTACAAGGAAATTTTCAAAAAGGCTGATCTCAAGTTCTATCGTTAAATTCGCGTGGTCTATTGCCAACGCCTGCAGTGCTCTCTTTGCGCCGCCTTCTAGAGTAGAGAAGTACAAACCAGCGCTCCCTGCGCGCAAAGACCATCGCTCGAACGCTTTCCAAATACCCTGAATGTCAATCACCGACTCCCATGATGAACGCCGATACTGTAGTCTCTGGCAGAAGATCCATCTACGCCTCTTTCAAAAGCTCCACGTGTGCCGGCTTGCCAAGCTTTCCGATCACCTCCTCCCTCTCCCACCCCGTCGGCTTCTGATGCCTCAAATCTTTCACCGGATGCGGCGTCTCCTCATCGTGGAACTCCGAGACATAAGGATTTGGATCTTCCTTTTGATCCAAATTCCCCAGAGTATGGTTCACTTCTCGATGCTTGCTCTCGTCGGCGCGAATGTATAACAGCAGATCTCGCATCGTGCGTCGATCAGCTGGCATTTTCCAGTACTTGACTGCAATGTCTGGTGCGGTCATCTTCTCCCATTGGGGTAGACGGCCGGCGTCGAGATCTTCGATCTCGCGGGTGTAGGTCAAGACGGCTTCTTCTTCGAGATGGCCGACGAAGCGGTGGCAGGTCTTGGGGGAGATGAGGTAGGAGACGAAGAAGGCGTTAAAGAAGACGCCTTGGGCGCCGAGGACGGCGACTTTCATGAACCTGGAAGTCATTGTCAGTAGGTCTAGGTTAATGCCGATGATGGGTGGCGTACCATCCTGGTTCTCCCATCTTGAGGAATGTGAGCAAATGCATGCGCTCGTTGTAGGACTCTTCGAGCAGTGTCTCGATCCAGCCATTGTCTCGCTTCAGGCGACGCATGGAATGAAGATGGCGAAGCATGCCGGCGACCATGCCTGGAACACCAGCGACCGATTCGAGGAAGATGTTGCGGATCATATATTGTCGCTCAGTCATCTGTCCTGCTCCTTTGCGGTAGCCTGAGACGGTATCCAAACTCCATCGAAGTAGTCGTACGAAAGCGAGAGCGACGCGGTCGGACATGGTTTTGACTTCTCGTCTGGCGACTTGGACTTGGTTCATCTGCTCGTAGGTGTAGACGGGATGTTCCCATGCTGGAGGTGTTTCTCTGATGTTTGGAGCATCGGGCTCGGGGAAGTAGTCTTGGCTTTGCTTCTTCTGTATAGTTCTCGATGTGCTCAAGTTGCGTGTGGCGACCTGATGTTGCAGACCGATGAAGCTGGGCCGGGCAGCTGTGGTGGCGGTGGAGCCATTGATGGCTCGAAGGACCGAAGCAGCGGACGGCTTGGTCAAGAAGGCGTGTGTTGCGTATGTTCTGGTGCAGCTCATGAGTGGAGATGTGTGCTGCTGGGTGGTGAGATGTGTGTTGTGCTCTGTTGTGTTATTGTCTGTGGATGATGATGAGAGGCAAGAGAAGGGGCGAGTGAGGGGGAGGGATATATAGGATGTGATCAAAGGAAAACGTGCTCGTTGCTTCCTACCGCCATTGACCTTGATAGATCCTTCCTCGTATGAATCACCGGTGCTGCCGTGTCCACGCGCAAGCCAAAGAACCAACTGCGGTCATGGCGATGGCGCATTGCGGAAGACGACGCTGACTTCAGCGAGCGGACAACACTCCGCAGCCAATGGGAGCGCAGAGAATCATCCGGTTCCGCTGGACTGCGCTAATTCGGGATTCCTGCCGATTATCGTGCTGACTACGCAGCGTTCACATGCATCGCTGCAGACGGCGACCACTTTCCCCTCTTTCATCTCTCATCAGCACTTCTCGCCGATGCAAATGCTGACACAATATACGCAATGCCATGACTGAGCTCTTGCAGCTCGCTTTGCCAGCTTGTCCGCCCATTTTTCAGCACAAACGGCGAAGCCAAGCCCTTCCTATTCATTTTCGTCCGGAATGTGCTGAAGTTCGGACCAAGTCACGCGCCGACCACAGCCTTGCCAGCCCTATCCAGGATTCTCTCCATGACCAAGCGACGAGAACAACACGGACTGCGATTATACCCGCTCTATTTCCTGTCTACTACATATCGAGCATCTGCCAGCGAGATCCATGAGCCTCTGACGTACTACAGCACGTCCATGCAGCGACGTAGATGCGGCGAAATCTTTTCTTCGAACGTTTTCTGCACCAGCCACGTCGATAGGCCTGTTTCGAATACTGCCTCATATCCACTCTTGACGTGGTCAATGGAACTGTAGGGCGTGGTCAAGTGGACGTCTCCGAGCGGCCTCCATTGCGCGGCGGTTTCCTGCATCTGGCGACGCCGCTCTCGCCTTCGGAGGCGTCAATGTCGGTAGGGGTGTGCACTCTCTGCTGTTGATGTGACATCAGGGGCAGAGAAGACTGTCAAGACCAGCACGCTGATCATGTCGATACGCTAGAAGATTGTTCTACAGTCTCATCCTGATCGACTGGCGACTCATAAGACCCGTTCTCTTATACTTATATCATGCTATTGTCTTGCTAAAAGAGGTACAGGCACGGCGTATAATCGACCTTCGCGTCGACCATAGCAGCAAAGGGCTGTGGACATCCTTCGCGCGTGCAGGAAGCATTGGAGGAGACGAGCTCTTGCAGTGTGTATGCTCTCCCGCCGGCTCGACAAACTGAGTTGCTCCGTGTATCAGAAGGACACGACCCCCCCTCGATACATCGGATGGCGTCGTTCTTCTTGGAAACGGTCAGGACTACAGTGACCGAGGATTTCAGTCCAGTCGCCGGAACGTGGATCGTCTTTCCAAGATTGATCACCGATTCAGCTAGAAGCTCGCCATTTTCCGTGAAAAGTCAATCAACGATCGTTTTGAGAGGCAGCAGCCGTTGTTCAACTTTACAGCTACAACAGCCAAATGAGAGCATACCGCCACCTGGCGACGAACGACCCTGCATATCAAAGGCACTGCTGCTGATAGCGTTGCCAAGCTGCCCATCTGCAACCCCATGTACTATTCTTGCTATCAGCGGCCGTCCCAACACGAGCAGCTCAAGGCCATACCTGGATTCAAGCAGAAGCTTCATGACATCGACGGCTTATTATGACTGAATGAGAGGGAGAACAGGCAACATGACCTTTCAGGTCAGCTCACATGCTTGCGCTCCTGGAGGCCCCAGTCTGGAGATGTGCGGGGAATGCAACGATCAGCTGGCCGCCGCAGTGATAGATATCCAAACCAGTTCGCCAGGAGACCATAAGACACGAGAAGATTTGGAAGAGGTCAGCTTTGTTTTACCAAAGGCGTTTTCCGGCTGACCCGAAGTTGTACAGTCTATTCTTTGGACACGGTCTATCATCTGCATACGCGGATTCGAAGGGATGTGAGCTCGAGAATCTTTCGGGCACTGTCCTGTCAACAAGGTGCCCTAGACCGATGTCGCGATGCCCAAAGAGCGAGTTGTATCCTGCTATCCGACCCCCGACTGAAGGTGACAGATTGTGCGGAGAATGAGTCGCAGGTGATATATCGATTTTTGGGCTTCTGCTTCTTTAGCGGCAGCCCATTCAGAGCACATTTGCCCTCATCGTCCTACCTCGACAGATAGGAAATCCCGAACAGCCCTGAAGAGGTCGTCAATTGGGTTGGTATGAAGCCAGAGTGAGTAACAACTTCTTTAGTCAGTCTCACTGGGATAACAATGTTGTAAGACGACGCTGTTCTTACCATCTATAACAGCGAATACGGTATTCGTGACAAAGAACGCCATTACTGTATACCTGCTTCGCTGTGCCGAAACGCAACACGACATGACACGAGACAGTGCACGCCAGCGCCAGATTTGAAATCAGCCATTGCACCAATCCTGCTTCCCTGAATCCCTTCGCATCGTCAAATTCATGTCGAGATCTTTGACAAAGGTATCCCGGACACGGTCTTGAAGTTGTGTGAGAGTCAGAAAAGCAAAAGACAATATATAAAACGCCTAGCAAGCGAACGTCCTCGACAACACAACCAAAACGTTACAACAGAGCCAGAAAAGAAAAAAAAAATGAAGACAACTCCACTCCTCCTCCTCGTCTCCTATACTATCCTGCCTGCCTGGGGTTTTCAATGCCAACGAACTCCCGACAAGTGGTGCGCGAATGGAATTTCACCCAAATGTAACAAGAAGCACGATAGCATGTATTACTGCGAACGTCCCATGGATTGGACGTACTATGGCTCTAGTGGAAACGCTATGTACGTGGCAGAAACGGGAAATCCGGATCTCTCGTTTTCTTTTTTTCTTTTCCTTCTTCAGGGAAATCAAACGATGCGCCCCTCCATCCGGAAGGTTGTCATGATTTTTTTTTTCTGCTAATTTGTCCCTTCGGGAACAATAGGTCTTGGTCTGATAAACATGCTGGCCCGAACTCTGATTGGTGTTGTATAGGACGCGGGTACTACCAGAAATGTAATACCAGATGAGTGCGATGAGGTGGGTCTGAAGGGAAGAAGGGGTCTGGAATCATTACTATGTTCGATCTTTTCCGTTCATCTGTTTGAATTTGCGTGGTGATGTGTTGGCGGTTGACAACTATTAGGTGGAACAGAAGGGCCTAGCACTCTTTGCTCGATACGTGGAATAGGAAATGCTCTTCTGAGTTTGGCCTTGTAGCCCGCTGTCTGCAACATCATATCTGCTGGGAAGCACAGAATGCTGACACCCCATTTGAAAATGGCATGCTGGGAGGCAACTAGCAAGTTTTGCGAAAGAAGTTGAGCATACTCTGCTGTGCGGCTATGAGCTTCAAGTGCGGTGTTGGGGGACAGTCGACGACGCAGATGTATGAGCTCTTTTCGAACATTACTGGGAGATGTAAAATGAATTTGTCACGGTGACAGCTGATGCCCAGGCACACAAATCCATTTGCTGTGTCGCTAGTCGACTCGTTGGCCTGTATATCCATTCTTCTGTACGCTCGGGATGATTCGTGAGGGTAACACGCATAGAGATGGGACACTGACAGGAAGTCTGTAACCAGTGCTTGTCTGCAGAGAAAGAGTCGCTACAAGGCTCACGCCCACCCCCGTAGACTGTTCGAGAACCATGGACGCCAAACAATACCCCTTTCCTTTGGAGTCAGCCAAGCGAATGGCCGATGGCAGTATCAGCGATCATCATGAGCACTACCTCGAAGCGTAAGTTGCATTGCGTAGTCCAGCTCTATATCCAAACCATCGCTTACTGTCTGTAGCATTCGCCAGGCAATCATGTGTCAAGGCGATCTGACGTTGTTGGGATGGCGATGGCATGAACCAGTGGGCGACGAACCGAATCTGCTGAGGCAGCTGCACGGTTATCCACACCTTTGTGTTGACTGGCACCGGATTCAGGATTGGGTGTTGGACCGTGGGCTTGATGTATGGAATGCTACTGTTATGGGACCTGGGCTTATCTCAGACGAGATAGCAAGACTTCCAAAGGAGGTGATGCAAGGAGTGTCTTAACATGGTCGGCCTTCCTAGAGCAGCAGCTTGAGCATGATGGTTCAGGCCAGGTGGGTACAAACCCGTAGAAGCTGGGTGCTGAACGGAGAAAACTTTCACAAGGATATTAACAGCGTCGCTGTTCCGCAACGGGAGAGGGGATTTTTTTCCGTCTTTGCTACGTTGCTGATCTATCCAGGTCAATCATAAAGGGTTAGCTTCCGTCTGTGCTTGATGCTACGGCTATCTATTTTGACCAGGCCGTGTCGAAACTTCCCGGCATGGGGTACGTTTCTTCTATGGCATCGTCGTAAAAGTGGTCGTCATCACCGTCCAATTCTTCTATTCTCCAATCCTTGTTTTGCTCTCGTGCTTTTTTCACCAGCGCTTCCCACACTTTGCGCCTTTCATTTCTAGCCGAAAAGCCAGGTCTCTCCCAGCAGGTTTCTCCATCATACATACGAAACACGTCTTCCGCAGTCAAGCCATAACTCTCGCGCGCATCTGGGTGATGTCCTGTAAGGTCGAAGAGTAATAATTCCGCCATTGTTCTGGCGTCAGCATGATATGCTGCTATGTGTAGGTAATTCTCGCCTAAATTGTTGTAGATCGGATAGTCTCGCCGCTTCATCTTGCCGTGAGCTTTTTGAGGAGCAGTCGTTTTCATTGAGCAGTGTTGCACTTACAGGGTCTCGTTCATTTGCTTCGCGAAGAGCCAGCAGAGTCTGGTCTGAGTTGACAAGAATCGCACAGTGGAAGGGAGTCTTGCCTCTATTAGTGGTAGCGTATAAATTTGCTCCATGTCGCGCCAGTGCTGCCACAGCTCCCCCGCGTCCAAGTAATGAGCACAAGTGTATAGCTGCGTCGCCGTTGTTAGTGATATGATCGAGGTGGGCACCGTGCTTTATTAGAACGTCAACTTGCGCGGCATCTCGGGCATAGAAGAGTGGAGTGTGGCCAAATTTATCAAGTGCGTCAACGCAAGCATCATGGTCCAGAAGATGTTGAGAAGTCTCTGCGTCACGTGCTTGGTGCAGTGGCGTTTGACCGTCCTCATCTACAGCATTGACATCAGCACCATACGCCAGCAGAGTCTCGGAAACTGCGACTCTTGTACGCGAATCGACTTCCGCCAGTCCTTCACAGGCATGATGCAGTGGCCTCATACCCGCCCAGTCCCTCGAGTTTGGCAGAGCGTTGACTTCCAACAGAGCTTGTACGAAGTCCAGTGACCCTGTGGCGCATGCCCAATGGAGCGGTGTTCTTCCCATTGCATCCGGTGTGTCTATGTCTCGCACATTATTGTCTATAATGTCCGATGCGGATGCATCTCCTCCTTCTGGAAGCACAGTGGCACAATGTATCGCGGTGAATTGCAGGTAGTCGGCCAAGTCGTCGGCACCAACACCCAAGCCTTTAAGATGTTGCACAACAAACTCCCCGTAAATTCGCGGCTCTGCATGCCCATCCAATGTGACTGCAAAGCCCGCCCTTCGGAGTAGATTGCACAAAGGATCCGGCGGGACGTAAGTCCTTTGATGACTATAAGTGTAGCCCTCGCGACTTATGAAATCGTAAGCATACTATTTATGATCGTCAGTTCTTACGTGCTTGCTTTATGGAAGTCCCTGTCACTAGATCTACATTACTAGTCGTGGTTACTCGGCAGGATGCACTTACAAGAAGTAGTGGTACGCCCCGGAACAGCATTCGCGAATGTATTAACCCTGATGTAATTGATTCTCGTATGGCCTCAGTGTTCGTATTGCCGATGGCTGCGAGGAACTGGGAGCCGAGATCACGATGTGTTATATCGACATTCACTCGTAGACTCCAAGTAGAGCCATAGCTCGCAAGGCCAGAAGAATAGTGTTGGAACTCAAGTGTCTTCCAGGCCAGCCATGATGGAAAGTGATACGAGAAGGATGACTTGTGTGAAGCTCTCAAACAACTATCCTTGGTGCAAGGACGAGTGTAGATGGCTTGCGTGTAGTTGAACATGAGCTGGCCTATCACTCCTTTCAGCCATCCCGGTGTGCAACCTGCGGTCCGTACATGGCATGCGCAGTCGCAGGATACGTGACACCGCCTGCGAGCAATGGTGGCCGTGATGGTCATTGTGTCCAGGGGAGACGATTGTGCATAGGGGAAATTTAAATCCAAGTCGTTGCTGGGGACAAGAATCGAGCTCTGATCCTGGTTTTCCGGGATTGGAATTGCGCTCGTAGAAGCGGTTCGGGTTTGCCGGGCGAGCTGTGTGGTGTGAGTTGGAAGAGGAGTTTGATTTGTCGTCCCTGGCCTCGAATAGTGCACCATCTGACTGAATTGGTCGGAAGCATCGTGATTCGCAAGCGTCTGCTGCTGGCTCGGCGAGAGTGCAGTAGGGAAGTGGGCCCGCTGAGAGATGTGAATTCCTTGGATCTGCACGACAAGCTGTCTCGTCATTTCACTGTGCTTCATTAACATATGTAGTCAGTCCGGCACGTAATGATGTTACCCTTGAATCACATTGACTGCGGTCAGTCCCGTGTGTAGGTTATCCCGAGCGTCACGGATCTTCTGTTTGGTTCGTTCGACTTCGGGTCCGTACTTCATCCAGTCTCGTCGATTTACCTAAACGAGGTTGATTCCAGTCAGTGTTGGAAGCCAGCGAAATATGACACTGTGTGAACAGCGACAGCGTTCGTCACCTTGGTGCGACCATCCTTGGTGCGGCCTTCGCCGGTCCGGAGCTGGTACTCGAGCACCAATTGCATCTCTAGGGCAACATTCTGGGTGTTTCGCAAGAGCCCGCCTAGCATGTCGTGCGTGCACTTCCTGCTCAATCTCGGAATGCTGTACTCTGCGGAGGCATGCTCGAATGATGATCAGCACACTGCGCAGGGCCTCGACTTCATTTGACAGCTCGTCGAACAGCTCGGGCGCTTTGCCCGCTGCTCGTAGCTTGCTGATCGTCGAAGTCGTCGTCGTCGCTGCTCCAAGGATGGCGATGATGCCAGCTGTGATGGACAGTGGATCCATGTTGCGCCGCGGTGAGCTTTTACACTCCGTCCACGAGAAAACTGCGCTAAAGAGGGAATGACAGTTAACTAGTGAGCAGCGAGGCTGAGCTCTCGCGAGATGCCATGACGAAACGCACGCCGACGCATCGAGCTGCGGCTGAACAGGATGGCAATGCTGTGTAACAAAGGAATTGTGTACTTTGAACCTCGAGGCGTCAATAAGCTTTTCATCTGCTCAAAGCTGCTCCCTATTGCGCATGGGTCCGATGAGTGAGCTGAAATGTCGGGAAGATGGAATTGGATTCTGGCAAACAGGCGACATTGGAAAGGCAGATGGAGTCAATGAACTGTTGATCACAAAAGGGCCGGGACGACTTGGCGCTCCTTGTGGCCAGTCAGTCTGATGTCCATCACGATCACGAGCATCACGACTACGAGCATCACGACGACCATCCGATTGGCACGCACAATTCATCAGATTTCAGAAAATGATGTCCGTACCAGGTCACACGTGCTGAAGGGCAAAAAAATACAACACCGGATACACGACAATCATGCATTGCATCTCTATGTGGAGCTTGACCGTGGTCGTTGACGGTCTGCTTCATGTTGTCGGTGAACATGGCTGGCATGAAGTAGCTCGCGATCATGCTGCCTTTGTTCGACTCGATGAAATCCTCCACTTCCGCCTTGCCGTCAAACTGGGCGACAAGGTGCCGTCGGCCTTCGCTAAGCTTGGTGACGTTTGGCAGGGAGCTCCAGACCAGATGTTCGGCATTTGCAGCTTGAGAAGCGTTGAAAATATTCTTGCCTTGCTGGATCTCGCGTGCCTTCGAACCCAGGGACCAGAAGTCGGTGACACCGAAGACTCCCCACGCGCCAGAGAAAGCGGCTTTGAGACTCTCCACATCGTCCAGATCGGCCTTGACGACCTCGACCCCTTTTGTGGACAGAGCTTTGGCCTTGTCGCTTGCTGGATTGCGTGTGATGCCGCGAAGAGAGTACTTGGTGCTCAACTCTGGCCTGGACAAGACAGTGTCGATGACTGAGCCGCCCTGAGTGCCAGTGGCACCCACAACAGCGAGAATGAGCTTGTTGGACATGGTTCCTTGATTGCTTGTTGCGATTGTTATTCGTGCTGAAAAATCTGTATGGGCGGACCGAGCTGCTTCATCGCTTTGGGAAGATGGGCCAGCGCTCTTTTAACTCATTCAATTCTCTGTGGTCCCATGTATCCAGAACACGGCTACATTTCGATACTCTGGTGCTTCACGATGGATGCGGGACGCATATAGACGCCTTGCCGTGTCATCACCAAACATCCGGACAGACTGATGTTGCCGTATGCCAAAGCGGGAGCGCCGTGGCCGAATTTGGAAGTGTTGTGAACCGATTTCTTCGCCAAGAAACCTTGCTCCCAGGAAATCCTATGGTCCAAGAACAGCATTGCATTGGCAGGGCATTACAAAGCATGCCTCAAAGTTGCGCCGAGTGCTCAACGCTAACCTCGCATGAAACAAGAACTAATACGAGTACCTTAAGGGACAAATGCCGCCAAGATTTATGATTGGCGCACTTCACCTTTCTCGGAAGCTGAGCTAAACCCGAAAACCCGATCAAGGAGTAGGAATGCGACCCTTTTAGTTCGTATCAAGATCGTTCTGATGGGCCTTCCGAGACGCTGGTGGAAACACACCGTCCTGACTCACCTGCAACAACTCCGAGAGGAAAAACGCTTTTCTTAGCAACGTTTGAAGTGCCCATGGCGAAAGGGCGCTCGAGAGCTAGGCCTGAGGTTGTTCCACTTCGGTCGATGACTGATGGTGGCATATTACCTGGCATTTCACCAAGATCTTTTCGCAGGAGCACAGATGTTAAGAAGTTGCCGAACTGGTGTTGTCGGCTTCCGATTTAAACTATCTAGAAAGACATTTTTGGCTTTCTGGATTATCAGAAACCACAAAGCGAGCTACGCTTGACGGGCCGAACAGACGACCTCCAATGGAGGATGGGCTGCCCTACCAAAGGCCCGTTAGCTGACCTTCTACCTCTCCAGATAGGCGTATACCTCCGCATCAGCATCCCACTCTTGTGTTTCGGTAAAAGCGTTGCCAATGATCCAACGACCTGCTCGCGTCTCTCATTAGCTACGGAGCTTGACTCGTATGTGCTGTCAAGTCCTTACCCAGAAGTGGCCAGCGTGTGACGAGCAAGAGAAAACAGTAGTAGATGACTTCCCAATATAGGTTCCTGGCCTGACGACCACCGAAATACAGATTGCGGGCGCGTATTTTGATCCTCGCCACCCGCTCGTGCCTGAGCTCATACAGGCCTCGGATAGCAGCATCAACACTTTGTTCGACCGCATATGTTCTGTCGTGTTTGATGCTGGCTCGCTCGATTAGTTTACACAACAGCAGCGAAAAGGTTACGCTATCTTCAATTGCCTGGGCGGCGCCTTGGCCGCTGGTGGCCTGCAATGAGTGGGCGGCGTCGCCTAGCAGCACACATCCCCTTTCACCCCAGTGGGGAAGAGTGGGAGTGGTCCACAGCGGATATACTCGATCTGTTGAAGAGGTAGCGATGCACTTTTGAATGATCGGGTCCTTCCAGGTTCCATGCCTCATCTGCAGCTGTTTCTGCACTTCCAATGCATCCACTTGGTTGCTTCTGGGAGGACACTCCGTCGGCCAATTCGACCACCAGCCCAATGTCTGCTGCGACAGAGGCGCTGCTGCAGCGTAGCCGAATGAGCCCGTGGGACCGAACGTTACAACGACGCTGCGGTGCTTCGTGATAGCCTCGGGCATTTCCGGCATGTTTAGAAAGGAGCCTACACCACGGTAGCCCCTGAAATATGTTACTTCATCGATCTTGCCATAAAGAGTTCCTGTACCTACTCGAATTGCGGGGCGAAGGCATCTGCTGTGCCAAATAGTGCTCGTTTGACGACGCTATGCACCCCATCCGCGCCCACGACCAGGTCGGCCGTCTCGCTGCGCCCGTCTTGAAGATGCACAGCCGGTCGTTCACCGTTTATGTCGACGCGAATGACTTTGCCCAAAGTTATCCGCCCTTTGCCGACGGTATCTCGAAGACATTCCCACAAGACCCATCGCGGGCAAGAAATGGGCCACTCCCTAGGAGAGATCCCATCATGGGTCGAAATGCGAGCAATAGTGTGCCCTCGTGCGGAGGCAATGGTGAATGCGTGGTTCTCGAAGCCTCGTGATTTGAATCTGCTGTACAGATCGGGACTGATCCTTCGCAGTAGACGAATGCTTGTCGGCGGCAATATGATACTATTACCTACTACTGCAGTCGAATCCGAGAGAATATCATCGGCATCCATCGGTGCAGACGAGGCATAATTTGCATCCAACCGAGACTCGTAAATGATTATCTCTGCTTTCAGGATTCTTGGAAGTTGCTGGGTCAATTGCAGGTAAGTGGCCAGTCCTGACACCCCAGCTCCGACGATGATAATCTTCATCGTTGTGAAGACCGCGAAGAAGAAGTTGTTCCAACGAACAGCTGACGCGCCAATCGCTTCAAGGTCGATGTCCACTGCTCACCTTTGCTCCTCTCATCATTTCGTTGGTCAAGAAATATAGCAGTGGGGTGATGCATCGTAACCTTGCATGGAAACCACGTGGAATCACGAAAGCCTTTGCAAACTGCTCAACAGGGTACCTTGCATGATCGAGGCTCTCTTCTACCCCGGACAATGAGTAAACAACTGCATGGGCGCCAAACTTTACTGGGAGCTGTCACAAGGAGTGGTGAAATCTGAGGTGGCGACATTGCTCTCGTCCGGGGTTACCAACGGCCAGGATCTGTTTTGCTGAATGGTTCTACAGGGCATTTGAGCAAGTTTACAACTTCTTTGTTCGAGAGTATGCGTCGAATTGACAGCATGTCGGCAGGACGTGACTGTCGTCCACCCGTGCTGCTGAGCTCGGGACCATGTGCCATGGGCAGGGCATTGATTTCGACGATGGGCTGCGTTGAGGTGAAGCTCACGTCTCGCTCTCATCGGTGACGCTCGTTAAAGTCATGATACATTCAGCAATGGCATCGGCAGGCCGCATCGGTAACCCGCAGATGTCCTTGAATACAGACCCCAGAGTCAATAAGGGGCTTTTGAAAGCGCTGATCGCTCATGGCATGCAGCATAATGCCTTCCTCTCCACGACCTTGACTCCGGATGCAACAATAAAAGACAAGGTGGCTTTTGCACGTCACAGTGAGCGCGAGTTTGAAGCCATGATCGCGAAAATGCGATTTGAAGTAGACCAGAATCGACAGATGCCTCGAGTTTCCTGCACCGATGTCTCGATTTTCGGCTGTCATGACAACGATATCAGACTGACCATATATCGCCAGCAACAAATGGACAACCAATATCTCCCCGGTGTGATCTATTTCCATGGCGGAGGAATGGTCATGTTGAATACGAAAAACAAGCTACACACATCATACGCTCAATCGATTGCGGAGCTAGGCCTCATTGCTATTCTTGTCGACTTCCGCAACGTGCTCCGCAGGGAAGACCTGCCAAACACTGAAGGGATACCCAATTATTTCCCTGCTGGCTTGGAAGACTGCGTTTCAGCAACGGATTGGGTGTATAAGAACGCATCTGCACTCGGAATAAGCAAAATTATCCTCCACGGCGACAGCGGAGGCGCAAACCTGGCACTCGCCACAGCGTTATGGCTAAATAAGCAACAAAAGACCTATGACAGAAGCATTGTTCCAATCGTGGATGGCGTCTTCGTCATTGATCCTTACATTAGCGGCGCGTATCACCAATCTACTGCCTGGAAGCTTCTCAACCTCCCGTCACTGGTTGAATGCGATGGCTACGACGTCAGCTGCGCGGCGTCTGCAATCTATGCGGCTTTGTACAACGGAGAAGAAGGAGCTGCCACAGCGATGGACAGCCTGGCTTGGCCGTATTGGGCGACAGAGGATGCGATGCGAGGGCTGCCAGCACATTTCATCACGGTCGCTGAGCTTGACCCGTTGAGAGATGAAGGAAGAGAGTACTGGAAGAAATTGGAACGCGCTGGTGTGCGATGTCAAGGAAAAGTTCGCAAAGGTGTCACGCACACGGCGGAATTATTGTTCAGGGGCTGTGGCTTGGAAAAGGAATTTGTTGAGCTCCTTTGCATGTTGAAGAATTTTGCGGAAAGTGTCTGATTTCTGGGAGAGAGCTGAATGCTTTGTGTCGTCTTGTTCAAATTCGAAGGCCGTGAGAAGGAAGAGATTCATTTACTCCTTTTCGCTAGCTGCAAGAGTTCTAATGAGAACGAAGCCGAGATGGTAAAGGTGAAGTGATGGAGCATGATCTTTTTTAATTGGAGTGGAATATACAGGTGACCGAGAACAGAAATCACGGTCATGGTACACGCCTATCTGTAGTACGGCCATGCGCGAATGATTCTATCGCGGTTGACGTGGGGTGGATGCTAGAAGAATAGGAATGGTGAAGACATCATCAAAGACAGCAGCGGCTTGTCTTTCGTTTTAACATTGAGCTTATATTGTCAAGTGAGTGACTTGTATTCCCGTTCCTTCGTCCGACTACCACCAAGAGCCATGTGTTAGTTATCGCGTGTTGAAACCTTGGTGAAGGAGTAAGGCAGCAGCAGAATCTGATCTCTTGCACCTACACCTCGATTCAGAATGTCAGAGATAAGATCTCCGGGCTCTTCTGCGTAGCATGACCGGTGCAGCTACTTCTCTGTTCGTCCATCATTAGCACCGGGGAAGCGGTTTCAAAAGTGATGAGTCTTCGACAATCTAGCCTGCACTCACCTGGTACTTTGACCTGAATGAGCTTGCCCTTGGAATTTGGTGCGTGAGTACCATAGGACCTTTGAAGATTGATCTGATCTGGGTTGGCGGAGATATCAAGCTCTTGGTCGCTGGCGCGTTGTGGGAAGACGGCTTTCCATGGCTGAGCCTTGGCAGCGTCGGTGTTTTGTTCGGTCTGGGCTGGCATTTCGTTTCGGTTTGTGTGATTCTCGATGGTGTGTGATGAAGATGAACAGAGGGATATCAGCTGTGGTTATATAGGCGGATTCCTTTGTGCTTGGAATGGAGCTTCCATTGCTCCGGTAGACATGCGCTCAAGGTTCACATGGCGTGATCGATTCGACAGTAATGCGATGATCATGGCCTTGTCAAAGGATGTGATGATCAGTCAAGAGATCATGCTCTCAAGGGCTGTTTGTGAGTTGTGCGCTGTCAACTTGCTCACGCAACATGGGAGCATGGTTCGAGCACCAACTATGTTCACTGTGTGCCCTGTTTAAACCTACATGGTATTGTCTCTTTCCGCCACTGTATGGAGTCGTGAATATCTGCCACAAAGTCGTGTGGATTCACCTTGCAGCATCAAACACAGCAATTGAGATCACATCGAAAGGTCCTTTCTCACCATTCAATTATTCGATTTTGTAGCTGCATTCAGATATTTCGAATAGGTTCCTGCTCTGTGCTATTTGCTAGTCACCCAAAGTAAGGATACATTCAGGTGAGAGCCACGTACTGCAGACTGAAAACAGCTTCCCTGCAGTTTGTTGGACTATTCATTCCGGGATCGAATTGTTGGTGACGGCCAAAGTATGTGCTACCCTCGTGATAGGGACTCAGCTCTTTGCATGTCAAGTGCTTCATGAGAGATTAGGTCGTGGCTGGCAAGACAGAGATTTGCCAAGTTAGGAAATCCGGCAGCTTCGATCAGCCCATGAAATGGCTCATTCTTGCTCCTGCAGCGATGCTGACACCCATGTGCCCATGGAAGTGCGCATTGTTGGTCGTACTGCAATGTTTGCATGAAATTCACCTCGCGCCTAGCTAGGGATTATGTGACACAGAGTTCCCAGCCGATCCAAGGTGGGATGATGGGAGAGCGTGGCAATCGAATGGGACATGTCAGTTTAGCGTGTACTCGTTGTCTGTGATCGATACTTAGGCGTCTCGAGGCTTCAAGCGGATTGGAAGGAGCGGACACGCAGTCCTACGCTTTGTGACCGACCATACTTTCTTGCAATGGACAACACAATTTCGGTAACGATCAGATATGCACGGAGTGACGGGAAGAGATTGGACGGAGAGAAGCCATATATTCTGACTTATCCAGTGGATGAGGACATCCCTTGGAGCAACTTCGATATTGAGTTCTATCCAGGAATCGAGCTTCGTAGCCTTCGAGAAGCCTCATTGAATTGGGAGGGGAGCGGCTTGAGGATGGCTTCTCTGGGAGGCTGTATGGCGCGAGAAGACTTCTACGACAACTTCAAAATTGAAGAAGTGTTCCTGCCCTCGGTCTACAAGTGCATACGAGATACATTGGGTGCGAAAGAAATTCATATCTTTGACTACATGATTAGGAGAAGGAATCCGGCATTCCCCTATCATCCTCCAACACAGGATAAGGTGCCGCAACCTGCATTATCGGCACACATTGGTGAGAAATGTCCCGCACTTGTATTCTTCTGCGGCTAACGATGCCGACTGGACAGACTACACTGAAGCGGAAATCAACGAGCGATTGGCGAACTATTTTGGGACAGAAAATGTTGAAGTTCTCAAGAAGCGACATTTTCAAGCTGTAAAGTGGGCACTCCGTATCTGCGGCAGAGACTCAATGCTGACGCCAGTATTCAGCATCTGGAAACCACTGAAAGGGCCCCTACGAGATTATCCATTGGCATACTGCGATGCCAGCAGTGTGAATCAAGAGACCGATCTGATGATCACGGATGAAGTGTTTCCCAAGATGGCAAGTGAGATATATCAGGTGCTGCATAATCCAGCGCACAAATGGTACTGGATCCCAGACCAGACGGAAGATGAGGTTGCCATATTTGTAGGCTATGACTCGCTTGCAGCGCCTCGTCTGGCGGTTCCGCATTGTTCCGTGGATCTAGGAGAATTGAGCGAAGGAGACCCGCGCGAGAGCATTGAAGTTCGCGCGCTAGTATTCTATGATTGAATTGAAGACGACATATTTTTATCGATTGCAGCATGACAATTACCCATGCTTTCAATTACGTGGCGCATAGCTAACTGGAGTGACACGTTGCTTCCTTCGGAGCTTTCATGGAAAGTTGCAGTACTTTGACGCATTCTGTGATCATTGTTGACCACCTTCTGTCAGCCTTCCTTGGTTCATTAGCGTGACAAGTGCAGAGCAAGCACAGGACAGGGAGCACAAAAGCTGCAATCCTCGTCCAGAGCTCAAACCTTCCTCTTCACTGCTCTCGATACAAACTCTCGAAAACAATTCCTCGACTTGCGTGCCACGTCTTCCAATACTTGCTATCCTGCCTATACTCTACAGTTATCATCCACTCTTACTGTTAGAGATATTTGTCATGTCGATGAAGCCTGGTGTACGCGGAGACTCCTTTGCACCCAACGTCGCCAAAACTACAGGAGAGTGGCGCAGCAATCGATCAAATGCCCAAGAAACTAGCCATGGAGTGACATCTGTGCCGCTCGAGGCATCAGCACATCCGAATTGTGCATCAACCTCTGACGAGAAAAGGAAGGTCGATTGGATTGGTTCGACAGACCCAGCAAATCCACGAAACTGGTCGCCACGCAAGAGATGGGGTCTCATTGTGATGAACTCGGCAATCACATTCTGCCAGTAAGCATAGATCTGGAAGCTGTTGACATTCATTTTCACTGATTGAGAACTTCGCCAGAGCTATGTCGAGCACGATGTTTGCTCCTGCGGTTCCACAAGCCATGGTTGATCTTGGAAGTAAGAGTGACGTTGTTTCTCAATTGATGGTCTCGATCTATGTGCTTGGACTGGCCGCGGGACCTCTGATCTTATCACCACTTTCAGAGTGCTATGGAAGATCATCCATTATGCACATCACCAATTTCCTCTTTACACTGGCAGCAGTCGTTGGCGCTTTGAGCCACAACGTCACACTCCTCCTAGTCTGCCGTCTGACTTTGGGTATCAGCACCATCTCGTTGGGTGGTGCATATGTGGCGGATCTGATTGACCCCGAGGATCGAGGAAGGGCGATGAATGTGTGGAACATTGGCCCTGTTCTGGTAGGTCCAATAGTGTCGCCTATTCTCGTGGAGTGCTAACACTACAGGCGAGGCTCCAATAGCAGGCCCGATCATTGGTGGATACATTACTCTGACCATAGGTTGGAGATGGACATATGGCTTAGTTGCAATATCTGCAAGTCCATCGAGTCATCACACTGTCCGCTGCTAACGATCATCAAGGGCAGCATCTGGCTGTTTATGTGTTTTGCACTGCTTCCGGAGACATATGCACCGCGGTTGTTGGAATTGAAAGCAAGGCGGGCTCACACGATTGAGGCTCCAGTATCCTCAGACGGCATTGCTATCAGCACACAAAGAAGGCGAGCTTTGCTGCAGTCACTTGGACGACCGTGGAGAATGCTCATCCACAGCCCGGCTACGGTGGTTGTCTCGCTTTTTGGTGCGATCGCCTACAGCGATATGTATCTCATGTTCTCCACCTTCACCGAAGTCTTCCAGAGCATATATGACTTCAATGCTGGTGGAGCTGGACTTGTCTACCTTGGCTTTGGCTTTGGGTCTATTGCAGCGCAAGTTGCCATCGAATTTTTTGGTAGATGGCAAGCCAAGGAGAGAACAATAACACGATCAACCGTTCAACCGGAGCACCATCTACCACTTCTTGTGACAGCTGGCGCATTTATCGCCTGTGGACATGTTATCTACGGTTGGACACTCCAGTGCCATCTCCACTGGCTTGTACCCATCGCTGGCACTGGACTAAGTGGATTCGGTGTTATTCTTGTTTTCCAAGCGGTACAGGCCTATCTTGTCGAAACACATACCATCTATGCAGCAAGTGCGATAGCACTGAGTGTTGCCATTCGCTGTGTCTTTGGTCTCACAATCCCTTTGGCAGGACCCCCACTTTTCCATCATCTAGGGTATGGCTGGGGAAACAGCTTGCTTGCTCTGATAGCCCTTGGGATGATTCCGGTGTCACTGATCCTCCTTCGATACGGAACAAGATTACGAGAACGGACTAGGGCAGACCTTGTCGAAGCTTAGAGCAGAGTTTAGAGCTCACTGTCGCCGTTGCCTGCACGTGGGCACGACCTGGACGAGCCCCTGCCCATTGATGAGCACGATAGAGCAAATTAAGCACGATCCTGGTCATAACGTGTGGTAATGTGCTACTTACACTCTCAGCAAGTAGTTCCCCTAGGGCTACCAAGTAGTGTCCCAATGGACATGTACAGTGCATCTCTACCTTCGCGCACGTGTAGATTCATTTGTTCTGCAGAAGGGTCTGCTCCCATCTCAAGGAAGTATACATACATTTCATTGTAGAAGACGCTTTACCAAGCATGGCGTCGCAGCAACTGGTACCTGCGACTGTGTTCGCACTCGTTGTGGCAAACTCGCTATCGGTGGCTTCCATGGTTACAACAGGACGGCCTGGACACGGACTCATCGGGTATGGCATAACGATGTACAATGTGAGTGGCATACGGTCCTATCGTGTCTAGGAAACAACAAGTATCTGACCATCCGAATATATAGCCAGTCTGTCCATATGCCTGTCGAGCTGCTCTCTCTAGCAACAAGCTCAATTGCTCGTCTACCATGGTCATGGATGGTCGTCCAATGATTGAAACCTCGGCGGCATGCTACGCATCAAACTTCGATTTCCTTACATCAGTAGCTTGGTGTATTCAGCCCAGATGCACTGACATGACGCTCTGGGCGATCGAACAGTGGTGGCAGAAAGAGATTCCGGGCAAGCAAGCTGTTCAGCCTGACCCTCAGTGGACCTATCAGGCTACGCTATATCGATCGCAAACGCCACCTACGCTGGAACTACAATCTGGTGACCCCATCAACACAACGGTTCGTGTGTCTGATGCTGCTTATAACATTCAAGCAAACACCCTCGCTGTGTTCACCGAAGTAGAAGTCAACCACTCGAAATATGGGTATGCATGCCAGACTAGTTATGTTCGCAGGGTGCTGATAGTTCATCTAAGCCTAATCCTGATGCTGTCGAGCACCATCATCCCGATCGCCGCTTCATTACTGCGCTTTCTGCCAATCTCCCGTCTACTAAGGAGTAGATTCTACGCTATGTTCATAGACAGCTACCTGATCCGCCATCGTAATGGTCTGTCATCCCGAATCCCGATTCCGGATCTCACACGTGGTCAAGCAATTTTCGTGGCGTACTTACTCATCGTAAATATTGTCCTCTGCAGCATCGGATACCCCGTTGTGCAACCAAATGCTTGGTGGACGACAATCGATCGCCAGATGCTTACATATGTCGCGAATCGGACTGGTGTGCTCAGCTTCGCAAACATCCCTATATTGGTTCTATACGCAGGCAGGAACAACTTTCTTCTCTGGATAACTGATTGGCAGCACACGACATTTATGGCCCTGCACAGCTGGGTTGCATTTCTAAGTACCATCGAAGCTGTACTCCATTCCATCATTTACCTCCGCATCTATGTTCATCTTGGCACTCACGCTACCGAGTCCCGCTTACCATACTGGTACTGGGGAATTATTGCCACGTTGGGGTTTAGCCTCTTACTTCCAGGCTCGATGCCCGCGATTAGGAAAAGCGTCTACGAAATCTTTCTGACGTCCCACTGCACCATCGCACTTCTGTCACTCGTTGGATGTTATTTACATATATACTACAAGTTTGAGCATCAATGGGGCTACGAGCTCTTCATATATGTGGCATTTGCAGTCTGGGGTTTCGATCGACTGATGCGACTCATACGGCTGGTGAGGAACGGTGTTCATCACGCTTCCATCACTGCTCTGGATGATGAGTATCTTCAAGTCGATATTCGAAGCTATAGCGGAGAGAGAGGACATGCCTATCTCTACTTTCCTACACTGACCTGGAGGGTATGGGAAAATCATCCCTTTTCGATCACAACCACTTGCATTCGACTTCCCGTAAGCAACATGTCCACTGTTCAAAGTTCAACTTCGAACCAGGTTGATGCCGGCGTTGGCATCAGCAAAGACGTGGAAGCGAAATCTGGTCAGGTCATGGTCAATACTAGGAGAGATGAAAGCATGGCTACCGAATTCAAGCTCAGGACCTCATTTTTCATCAGAACCGCAAATGGGACAACGGCTTTGCTCAAAGGCTACCGCAGTATGCCCGTTCTGATCGAAGCTGGTTATTCTACTTCCCACAGTATACCCTTCTCGTCAACTTTGGTTTGCATTGCAGGCGGCGTAGGAATCACTGGAGTCATCTCAACTTTGCAAAAGCGTCAAGCACGCCAAAAACTGTATTGGAGTTGTCGAAGTAGACCACTCGTTCTAGCCATGGAGGACTTGCTCGAAGCTGTGGAAAAGGAAATCCTGGTTGGCGCGCGCTTAGACCTTGGGGCTATATTGGATGTTGAGGTCGCTCAAGGTCCTGGAGAGCTTATAGTCCTTGTGAGTGGGCCACAGACGATGTTGCGCGATGTCAGGAATATCGTCTGCGATCTGGTTCGGAGAACGCCGCGACCGATACGTCTGCTATCAGAGAGCTTTTCATGGTAGAACAGGGATATTCATGCCATTTCGTCCCCAATGTGACCGTTCAGCCCAAGCCACCGTCAAGTATACGCCTATACCCGTTGAATGCTCAGCGAGGTCTCCTATACTACGGAAAGTGCAACCAGATACCCTTTGTCGTTGAACCTGCTAGCGATCGTAGTAGCACAAACGAGGCCATAGATCCTGTCTTTCTCCTGTTGTGATCTACTGTCTACGCACCAAAGTCTACGCTCCCGACCGCAACGGATCATCAAATGTGCTTGCTTGTCCTGCGGACTCTGTTCAAAACAAGAGCATCTAGAGCTAGGTATCCAGTTCAAAACAGTATTTCGGGTAAAGAATGCCTGACCTTTGCTGTGCTTGAATGCTGATGAGCCGAGAACATGCCAATGGTCGGTAGCGTTCGAGGCTTGATCAGGTGCTACAGAGTTAATTGGACGCATCGTGGCTTGACTGACCACGAAGGCTGGAGCTTCTAGACTGCGGCTGGACTGCTCCAGTCCATTGCGAACACGAGGTCGTTGATCAAGTGACCGTCGTCGGGGATCAACTCGATTACCAGATTGGGCATAGAGGACACCGAACGAGAAGGAAGACAGTTGGGCAACCGATGAACGGAACGTCGAGCATCCCCCATTCCCTCGGTCTCGCTCGATGCCAAAGCTCAGCTAGCACGGCCCGAATGCTCACAAGTGCACGATAGTCTTATCTGGCTCTCTGACCATCTGGGGTAGATGCGGTGAACGAACAGGCCCGATACGGAAGACTTTGGTGGTTTCTCTCTCTGTTCCTGACTAGTGTCACCTGCTTGGTCTCCGTGATGAATACTCATGCTGCGATGCTCTGGCTTTCACTCTTGGCTCGGTGCAAAGATTACCGGATTACCGCTTCGTGAGGACGCACCCTCCTTTCGCATCTTTCATGCAAACGTCTTCCCGAGCGACTTGACTGATAGTAGAGTCAGCCATGTGATCAGTACAGAGTTACGTGCAGTGATGTAGGGAGTCCAAGCTCCGTCAAACCGCAAAAGTATGGGGCAAGCCTGGACAGCACAGTTCAACCTCGTCCTTGTGCGACTGTACGCTACCATATCGGCTGTTGCAAGGGTTGATCTAAGCTAGCTGTAGGGCTCAGTGACTACAATGAAATGTCAGCCAGCTCACTAATCGGTTACAGTCTAATACTGTCTTGGGAATGAGCCATTGCTGTACCGACCCGGACCCGAAATGTAGAACAGCATTAGAGCCACGTGCAGTGGGCCTCAATCTCGTGTTTTGCTCTCAGCCGAGGATCATAATGCGACCGGTTTGGAGCTCGGTTTCGGGCAAGTGGTCACACGAGTGCATACGATGGGGAGATTGTAACCCGGTGCCATATCTGGTGCCCGATGAAGTCGGTTCTGCAGCCGGACTCATGAAGGTGACACTCGGGCATGTGCTAAGCGGTAGGCTCTCGGGTTCATTCACCTCTGCCGATTGCATGAACCGGTATGTGAACATCTCGCGGCACAGAATATAAGGAGGTCAATTCGAGGCAGAATTGTCGACCATGTGTAGTTGGCCTGCTGTGAGCTGTTCTCAGACTGACAGATTATCCGAAGATCTCGAACGATCAAATTTGACTACAACTTCGTTATCAAAGTAAAGAACGAGAGTGTTATGCGAATAGAAACATCTCGTTGCACTAAAACGCAGATTCAGTCGCCGAGACTTCGGCGCTTGGTGCGGAATTATATCGAGCCGAATTGATGCACAACCACTCGCCCACATGAACCGGACAGACGGATTTAGTCTGTGCAATGAATTGTGCAGATGTCTGAAGACACTGTTGGCAGGCTCTTACACCTGAACGATCACAAAGTTCGACATTTCGAACCATGTACTGCCTTCCCCAGCTCTGCTATGATGGACATACATAGGTTTCAAGTGCTTACCTCACAACTTAGATCAAGCTTCCAGAAGAGTGTTATTCATCCTAGTCTCTGAGAGCTTAGACCACATAAGCTCGGGGGAAATGCGAGGGTAGAGCTCTATAACATATTCATCCTAGTCGATCGATCTAGTCAGGCACGCGACAGCTCAAGTGTTGCGGCTAGCCAGCCACGTGATAGCAGCATCTTGACGTTATCTCGAAGGCGCACTGTGGTTTAATTGCCCATCGAATAGTGTGTAGCAAAAGCGAATAGTGAAGAGCGTCAACCTCGGGCCAAGCATCGTGAGAGTGCGTTTGATCTAGGAAGAGATTCATTCTCAGCCATCGGATAAGGATACGAGGACAAAGGCGATCCAATACCATCCTGGTTGTTTGTAAAACAGCGCGAAATGGTGTTGTGGGGGATAAGCATGACCTACCGCGAAGGGCCCAGAGCGCCGTGATAGCAACTGTGGACCGTGAGTGGTGAGCACGCGGACTGGTTCACATCCTCCCCACAGAGCATTGACTGGTTTTAGAAGTGAAGAGGTGGTGCGCTCATGTACTAACCTCATTCTCGCAACGGAGTCGCTGCACCCTTTGGCGGTAAGATGAGCAACACGCTCTTGTCTTAGATAGACGCCGCATGTCGGGGGCGACACCGTCCACGATGAGAAGCATAAAGTCTCAGTGTTGTCGCCGTCAAGGAACTCCTCATCAGCAGCAGAACAACACTCCAGCCCAACAGTCCCAGTCCAGACCACCAGACCGACTTCTTCCGTCCTTCGACTCAAGTACCCCACAACAATCATCCAAAATGAAGTTCTTCGCCGTCGCTGCCATTGCTCTTCCGCTCATCAACGCGGCCATGCTCCCAGCAAGAGCCGCTGCCAACACCGACCTCGACCTGACCCCACTCACATGCCCTGTCAGCCTGGAGAAGCTGTCTGGCGATCTTCCAGTGAAGGAGATTGATGTGCTCGATGTCCTCACCACCCTTCTCAATGACGGTACGTACGAAGGGATCGTAGATTGAAATTCTCAAACGAACTCGAAGACTGACTGAGAAGCAGGAGAGATTGATCTCGTCGATCTCAAGGAGGCCGCAGACCTCGAGAAGAGAGCCATGGTGCCCGGTCTGCACTGCGGATACACGCGTGCTATGAGTGAGTTATCCCGATGGGATCAATGAGATTCGATGCGCTGACGAAATGCTTGCAGAGTGCGCTCTCAACTCCGCCGGTGTGTTGAACGCTTGCATTTGGGCTGCTCTCAAACTTGGACGTGATGTCCAGGATGATACGTCGTGTATTGCCGCTGCTGTTGCGCTTGGATCCAACCTGGTAAGTGGACATGGATTTCCTTTCCATTGTAGCCTAGCTGACACTTCTCTAGCCCGAGAACTGCAGGCTCTGCCTTGGCATGTAAGGCTGCGTCTTGGGTGTTGGTCTTGTTACGATGGGATATGCTGGACGCTCGGCTACGAGAACGTTCGAGTATAAGGACTGGGTATGAGGTCGGTTATGAGGATTGGAAGTGATACCATGTACGACGGGCTGGGCATGGAATGTCTGGGGTGATCCTAACACTTATTGTTTTCACTGTATGTTTAGTATTAGTATCAGGCTAAGTTTACGACAGAATTGTAGCCCAGGAATGCATATTCATTCCTTGAAGTCATTCTTTCCGGTAGCAAATGTCTTCAAGCTGTAACGCCAATCCGGAGCTGCTTTTAGAGGTTCGCCACGATGTTGCCAAGGAGTATACTATCGGACCTTCCACGTGGTTCCCTCGTGTGAAGGAAGCACGATCCTCTGCATCCACTTTCACATGTCTGCAGCAGAATTGATAGGTGTTGGTGGAAAGGCCAAGTGAATTTCGGGAGAAGTCGTGTCGCGCGACTTTCTTGAGCCGAGGGAAAGCCGTCCGACGAGCAATTTTACGTCACCAGGGCCATCACAAACTCTCCTACTCCTTCTATTGCAATCTGCGGTGTGCAATGCAGCAGGAGCAATTCGAGCGTCGGCGATAGTCAACAATGTCGTTCCAGGCGGATGTGCAGCGCTATGTCGAGGAAGCAGGCAGAACCATTGAGCAGTATCTGCCGCAGGTGAGTACAGCAGTCGAACAACGCATCAAGCCCACGCCGGGGTTCCCCGCTGACTGAAACACTCCCTCAGGACCGCAACTCGCGACTGTTGCTCGCTGGAGGCGCTGCGACTGTAGCTGGTATCGTCTTGTTCCCGCTGGCCCATCACTTCTATCTGGGACGACAACTCGTTCACACGCATCCGAGTACCGGTTCTCTGTGGGCTTCCGTCGAGTGTGGCGAGATTGAGAATGTTCCCAAGGACTTGACTGAGAATGCAAAGGCTTACCGTACTGTGCACGATAAGGTGACGAAGCACATCAAAGATGTAACGATTGGACTCAGCGCTGACCTGGAGGCTGACTTCACGGGCCTGCTCCGCAACAACTTTATCCAGCACAACAGAACTCCAGCGGGCTGGTTTGTGTGGCTGGCGTATGGTTCCGCGAGACAACGTGAGAGTTTCAAGACGGACTACATTAACAACCTGAGTTTCGTCAAGGGGGATCTGGTCAACGGAGCGTACGAAGTCGTCAAGCGAACTCCTCTTCGCGTGGAACTTGCCATTCGACCGCCAGCACAACTCGATGCTGTAAAGGGTCTCTTGGTCATCTCTTTGCGACCACGAAACGAAGGCGCTACTCTGTCATCGGAGACCATTCAGTGGACTGAGAGGAACAGTGGGATTGTGTTGCCATTGGAGAGATGGCTTGGCAAGTTCTTACATGATCTGAGCGCTCGATGGGTGACTCTGTCCGGAGCACAGTACCTTCGTGGATTGGCATCTGATCACGTTCTGTAGATCAGTGGAACGCGATCAGAATTGGGTAAGAGAGTCAGCTCTGCCAGCGGGAATGGCAAAAGACTGCAATTGAGACTGAACGAGGGCGGTTAGATACTGTGACTGCAGTCGACATTGATTGCGAAGCAGATAGCCAGACAATCACAAAATCATGCTCGGCGTGGCCGATGTGTCACATTGCCATTGAACGAATAGGACCATTGATCAAAGGCGTGGAAAAGCAATGGAACTCCTATTACTGCGAAGTGCTTTAAGCCATGTGTATCCGCAGTTCATTTACGCAATACATGTTTCTCAATAGTTCTAGTTTCATTGCCCCATAGTCCTTGTTTAAGATGGCAGAACTCACGCGTCTCGGGACCCCACTTTCTGACTGCCGAGGCAACAATTCAACGACATGTCTTCTCCAGATGGTGAACCAGTATGCACGAACAACCAGCTATTGCCGGAGCAACTTCATTTTTCTTTTGCATTGAGATGCAGCGTCAGAACGTAATCCGTCCTCGAGCCGTCGTCCAAATCGCGTTCTGCAAGCACAATGTCTGAGCCAAAATCACGATCCAAAACGGCAGCAAGTCGAGCGAATCAAGTCTCCGAACACCTCTCTTCATCATCAAATGGAACGAACGGCAATTCTCAAGATCAAGACAGAGACAAAGCACTTCCTAATACTGGTGCCCGCCGCCGCCGAAAAGCAAAAAAAGAAGACGACGACTTACCCGGCGATTATAGCGATATCCTCGGCCACCTCACAAAACTTCGCACCCTCGCCAACACTCCCGATCTCTCCCGCCGAGGTTACGTTCGTCAGAAACAAGACGGAAAGCTCTGGGTTCGCGAACGCATCAGTCTCCTCTTCGACAAAGACTCCTTCCAAGAAATCGGCGAAGCCACAGGCCACGTAACTTGGAAACCTGTCGGATCTGGTGGAATTCGAGAAGAGCCAGCAGCTTTCACTCCGCATAATAATGTCCAAGGATTCGGAAAATTGAATGGGAGGAAAGTTGTGTTTACTGCTGATGATTTCTCAATCCGAGCTGGGCATCAGGATGGTCATTTGATGGCTAAGACGGTTCATACGGAGAAATTAGCGTTACAATTAAAAATTCCGATGATTAAGTTGACAGATGGGAGTTCAGGTGGTGGTTCAGTGACGAGTATTGAGAAACAGGGTTATTCATATGTACCGCCTATGACGGGATTCGATATCGTGCAGGCACAGCTGAATGCTGGAATTCCGAATCTCGGAGCTGTTTTGGGGCCTGCGATTGGGCTGGGTGCTGCGAGGGTTGTGAGTTGTCATTTTAGTGTTATGGCGGAGGATATTGGGAGTTTGTTCAACGCGGGGCCGAATGTTGTGGCGAAGGCTACGTTCGAGGAAGGGTTGAGTTTTACGGACTTGGGTGGGCCGGGGATGCATTGTACGAATGGGACAATTGATAATTTGGCCAAGGATGAGAGGGAGTGTTTCGAGCAGATCAGGACTGTGTTGGGGTTTTTGCCGAATTGTGGAACACAGATGCCGCCTGTCGTTGAGGGTAGAGATGATGTGGGAAGACAGAATGAGGAGCTGCGGAGTGTTGTACCACGGAAACGTGAAAGAATGTTCTCCATGCGGCGAGTTATCTCAACAGTCGTGGATGAGGGCTCATGGTTCGAGATCGGCCCTCTCTGGGGCAGAACAGCAATCTGCGGTCTTGCTCGACTGGGTGGCAAGCCCATTGGGATTTTCGGCAACAATCCCGAAGTGCTTACAGGAGCGCTGGATGCTGCAGGAAGTCAGAAACTTATACGGCATCTGAAGTTCTGCGATGTCTTCAACCTACCACTTCTCCAATTCGTCGATGTACCAGGCTACGCGGTAGGAACGGTAGCAGAGCGCACAGCGACCATGAGATGGGGAGTTGAACTTACAAAGGCCTACTACACGACCACGATGCCCATCTTCAGTGTCATTGTAAGAAAGACGTACGGAGTGGCGGGAGGGGTCATTGTCGATTGTCGAGATCCGCATAGTCGTGTCGCCTGGCCAAGTGGAGAATGGGGATCCTTGCCATTGGACGGCGGGATCGAAGTCGGGCATGCTCATGAACTACGGCAGATTGAGAAGGAGAAGGGCGTCGAAGCAAGACAGGCACGGTACAAGGAGTTGGAGACCATGTACAGGCGGTTGATGAACCCAGTTCGAACAGCGAATCATTTCAGCGTGGAGGAAATCATTGATCCGGCTACAACAAGACAGGTGGTTGCAAACTGGGTCGACACGGTGTATGAGTCTGTGCTGCCAGAGAGAGTTCTGCAGCGGGTGTGCGGTAAGCTGCAACCCGTGTATGCCTAGATACTAGACATCGTCAATGGTACTTGCTCCGACTTTGACTGCAATATGTACATTACATTGCGATTACTGACGTAGCAATGGAGCCCAGCACAGGCATGCCTGTGAATTTGCGCATCGTGGACGCCGAAGCAAACCAGCTGTGAAGTCGGGCCAAGGGTATCATCGCAATGACGGAAGGCCCACATTCGCATGCTCCTCTCATCCGACATCTTTGAGCCAGGCATCTCACCGCCGATCGGGACCGGACACTGGTTTGTCAACAAAATGGTCGCATTCGTCATCGTAGCCGTGCACAGCGGCCCACTCCTGTCGCACAACTCAGGAACTGCAGATTGACACAGGTGGCGAGCCATGCATTCCGTCTTGGTAGCCGCAATAATTCACCTGTGGCAGCTTGGTTGTTGGGAGAATCTTTGCAGGCGTTGAGATTTGCTGCTTGGAATCGAGCACTGTGGGGTCCGTTCCAGTGCCAGAGGCTGACTGTTCAGATAGACCGATCCGTGATTTGCTGTACTGTGAATGGGCATCAGCAGAGAGCTGTACTGCTTCGTGGTGGAGGAAGCGATTCGTGGCTTCGTGCAAGTTTTACACTCCTCTTTCCGGCGGGATCCCGTTTGAGCACAATGGCCACCTGTGATAAAAAGCCGGTACGGCGGGCTCGTAGGTTGGCGAGGATAGGCATCGGTCATTGTCGGACTGCTTCAAGGCGTCACACTTCTGTCGATTTTAGGCAACTTCTTCCCACTTTGCTCGTTAACCTCTATTCCAATCTTCTCCAACCCTTCCCAAGCGTCCGGAAACTTCGTTCTGGCCCAGGATTCCACCTCATCCTGCTTCTCGGCATGACCCGCAGTGGCATCGTATAGGCTGCCGAGCAAGAAAGCATCAACGTCGACCTCGTTCTTTCCCTCTGCCTCTTCCACGCTCTTGAGGGCCAGATCAATGTCACCATTGCCAGCTAGGGCGGCAGCATACGATGCCCACATGCTCTGGTCGAGCTCGATACCCATCTGCTTCAGCTTTGACCACAATTGCTTGGCGCGCAAGTCGCCAAATGGCGCTTTCTCGCATGCACGTAGAGCGATGTGAATGCTGTTGTAAGTAGGACCTTCTTTGGAAGCAACAATGTCGTCCCAGAAAGCCAGTGCCTGCCGAGGTCGACCGCAGGCGGTATATGCAATCATCATGGCATTCTGAAGGTATGTATTGGTGGTAATGTTGTAGTCGAGCTTCAATTGATTGTGAATGAGCTCCAGACTGTCCAGATCTCGCAGCTTTGCGGAGCACAGGAAGGAAGTTACGTATGTGTCGATTACCGGCATGGTATCTTCTCGTGAGTGGCGACGCATCTCGTTGAAAATAAAGACTGCCATGTCGGGCCGCTCGCGGGTGAAGAAGCTGGCCATAGCCGCGGTGCGCTCCGATCGTGGCATCTCATCGAACACTGTTCCCAGAATCTTGTACGCGTCCCACGCACGGGACGTTGGGTTATCAGGGTTGAGACAGAATGCGAGAAGTGTAGACCGAATCTTGTCGCGCTCAGCAGAAGAGTAGTGATGAGCGTGTGTGTTGAGTAGGTCAATCACGTCGTGCATTTCGTCGCGGTTGAGATGCAACAACGCCAATGCTGTCACAGTGGTTGACTCAAAGCGCGCCCTCCGATCTGCCAGATCCATGGCTACATTCATGACTGTGTCGAAGTCGTGACGCTTGCTCTGGCACAATGCCACAATGAGCTCATTCACTGTTGGCACGTCTTCATTCGAGGAGAGGTCCATGGCCTGCAGATTCTTGTACGCGATGAGGGCACCATCCACGTCATTGACCTTCAAGCGATATTGTATCTGTAGTTGATATGTGCGGGCATCAGGTTCAATACTTCTGGCTTGTCCCAGAGCGATGAATCGCTCCGCAAGATACGGGTCCTGTTTTGACGTTGCGTACTTGACCAAGCCGTTGATAGTCGTGATATCAGGCACCCTCCACTGCGCGGGGTCCAAAATGTCTTCGTTGGACTTTTGCATAACATCCAGCATACGTCCAATCTCGTCTGCGCCTTTGCCGGTGGCGGCAGCCCAGATGAAGATAGCATCCCACAGAGGCTTGGGAGGGTTGTTGGTCATGGCTTGCCGCACGACTTGATGGCCGAATTCGAGTTGTTGGTGGGAGACGCACCACCGCAACACAGAGTCAAAGTGGAATGCCAGACCTCTTTCGAGTTCTTCGTCGCCATAGCCATGCTCGGTGGAAGAGTCCCAGTACTGCTTCCACCATGTCTGTACAGCTTCGAGATTTGCGGTGCGGATATAGAATGCGAGCATGGGCATTGCGAGGTATTGTGGCGGCGGGCGGAGTGACTCTCGTTCACTGATCATGTTCAGTGTTTCAAGCAAATCGCGCTCACTGTTGCCTTTGGACACGGCTTCCAAGGCTGTGATCCAGTATGACTCCAGGTGTTGTGCGGTGCTCGCTGTACCCTCGTTGGCATCTTCGTTGTCGATCTCGGCTTCGCTGGGGCTGACGCGCTCTGTAGAAGCTGAGCCCAATTTTTCAATCTCCTCGACCAAATTCCGTGCTGCTAAGTAGTGGCCGGCCAAGCCCAACATTCTGATGTGACTGAGGTTAGCTCTGTATCGAACTGCGCCATTGAGAGATTGCCCCTTCTGAAGAACCAAGGAGGAGAGTTTGAGATGGGCCTCGGTGACTGGCGCACGAGTCTTCCTCAATGCTTTCGTAATGCGTACCAAGAGCTGCGATGATATGTAACGGCGCGGGGAGGAGCCTTGTTCTTCAGCAGCCCAGCAATACTCGAGACTTGATGCAACCAGTTTGGCGGTGCGGTCGTTGACGCGGCAGTGAGTGGATGAAAAGAATTGTTTCAGGGCCTGGGAAATGTCTTCAGGCGGAGGCAAACGAGCATTCATGCGCTGCATTTTCGCCAAATGCATCATTTCTTCCATGCCGGGCTCCAGGTCAGCTTCCTTCACCTGTCTCTTCTTGGGCCCGAACATATTGAGGTCGAAGAATGTCCTCCGCTGCTCGGCAGAAGCCATAGCTCTGCCATGCTGTGCCGTCCATGATCGAGAGCCATTGCGTGATCTGCTCAGCGAGGTGTATGCTTGCCGCCGCGGACACGCTCGGTGGAGGATGGGTTCGTTGGCGAGGATCCGGCGGAGGACATAGCGGGTGAGGTGGGAAGGCATCGTCAGTCCATGAGCGGTGAGTCGTCTGCTGCCGGTCTATATCGTCCTCGCCGGCGGAGACAGCACAGTGAGAGGCGGAGGGGAGAGCTCCGTCGATGATGCGGGCGAGATACATCGCATGCACGTCTCGATGCATTTGTCTTGGCATCTCCGCTCACGCCGCAGCCCGACGACTTTCCTCGCCGACACCCCAATCGAGCACACGACATCTCTACCAACTCATTACATCTCCGCCATGTCGCTCGAGCAGTCCTTCCGCCGGCTCGCAATCCGCAGCAAACCCATCTGCCAGCAATGCCGCCGCTCTTTCGCGACATCACCGGCGACGAGGCAGCAGAGCAACGCAACGGCCGCCGTGGCTGGTATGAATATATCTAGTCCGCCTCTGCGGACAGTACGTCTAACAGCATCCAGACCTCTTCTCCAACAGCGCATCGCAATCCACAAAAACGGCGACTGCCTCCCGCCCAAGCCCCGCTGCCATCGCCAGCACTCCCTCCTCCGAATCTCCCACCGAATCGCCCAACTTTACGCTGGCCCGATCTGCGATTCAGCTGGCAGGTGAAGCACGTCGCCTGCAAGTGCAACGACAACTTGCCCTCGACACGGAGCGCGGCTGGAACAGGCAAGATTTGGAACGACAAGCGGCGCATCGCAAATGGAAGGCCGGTGATGTTTACGCTCCACATGATTTGACTGGCATTGAAATGGCAAAATGGAAGAAGCTGCGGAGGAGGTCGAAGCCCAAGTATGATGTGGTGGATCAGCTGAATTTGAAGCCCATTGATTTATACAAGAACTTCTCCATCATGAGCGAGTATGTTTCGGAGATGGGCAGGATTAAGCACAGCAATGAGACAAATCTGCGGCCCGTGAATCAGAGGAGGATGGCAAAGGCTATTCGCAGGGCGATTGGAGTGGGTATCTTGATGCCGAGCACGCATCGTCATCCTGAAATTCTGCGGATCGAAAATAAGACTGGGGCGAGAGGATATTGAATGCAGAGTAGGGCAAGGGGGAGTTGAAGACGAATGCAACGAAACTGCAGCGCGGATGTCGGAGGCCGGAAGAGGCCTGATGGGCGAGGGATACTGTACGAAATGGAAAAGAGCCAGAAGCGCTGAGCAATGTACGATTATCTGGGAACGTCGGTCGCTGCATGCAGCCACAGGAGCATGTCTCGTTGCCACGAGAGGCAGCGTGGGCTATCTTGGGTGCATTCAGCATAGCAGCCCCGTCATGGAGGATGTTGGCGACAGACATGGACTGCATCGATCAATTCTCCGCTGATAAAGATCTCTCATTTGGTCTGAGAGGGTTCACTGATCGGCACCTTCAGATGCCCTTTGCTCAGAAGTTATCTGTCCGCCCACATATATCGGCGCCTCAAGATGGAACATTCTGCTCTGGCCGCGCACCCGTTAGAACAGGAAGCACGAACAACGGCAGCGCTGCAAATGCAGAGAGCTCATGAGAGCGACTACGGGACCAATGAAGATGCTTGATGAATAACCGCTCGTCGTCGCACTTGCACATCTCGCGTTGCGCAATACCAGTGCCAATGGTGATCAGAAACAAAGCCTTGGCAGGCAGAGCAACCACATGTCCTCCACTTCACTCCAGTCTGTGACACAGACAACGCACTCGCCACTCAGTTTACTGATCATTCGCCCATATTATTCATCGCCCAGCTGTATCTAGAGCTTCAACGATCTGCAACAACCTCCAGCGGGCAAGCGGAAAGCTGCGCATTCGCAAAGTCTAAACAACCACGAGCGGAGGCTGACATCGTCATGTGCGCCGATCCTAGTTCCAACAAGGTCTCCAACCATGACTGAGCACTGGGATAAGCTCTTGAGGAAAGGGTATGCGACCATTGACCCCTCTCGTGACTTTGAGACTGACCTGGGAGATAGGCCGCCCGTCGGCCAGCTGCAATGACAGCGACGGCGGCTGCTTGCCTCCACTATCTTTGCCATTGAGATCAACTCCCGGTGAGCATTGGTATAAGAGTAGCTGATCTCCATCAATGAAGCCTTTCTTTCTTCGAAATGCAGAGAAATCTCAGCATTACCAGTGCGATCAACAATAATCCCATCAGGCCTTCTTCATCTTCCAACGTCACGAACATTGCTAATACGCAGGCCAAGATGCACGTCCTCCAACCAGTCCCTGTTCCGAAAGGAACTCCAGCTTTTGAAGAGAAACGCGAAAAAGTCATCGCTGAACTTGAAGCTTCGATTCCGAAGGACTTTTGGCTCCCGGAATCTTTCTTCAAGAACCCACCTTTGGACGTCACGTCTGTTCCTTCGACATGTGGAACTCTGACTCCTGCGGAGATCATCATTACAGAGCAGTATGATGCTACGGGCTTGGCAGCTGCTATTGCGAAGAAAGATTTGAGTGCTGTAGCCGTTGCCACGGCATTCTGTAAACGTGCCGCCATTGCGCATCAGCTTACTTGTTGTCTCACGCAGTATTTCATGGATGAGGCTTTGGATCGTGCAAGATACCTGGACGAGTATCTTGCCACTCATGGAAAGACTGTTGGTCCTCTGCATGGCGTGCCAATCGGCGTGAAGGAACACATGGCGATCAAAGGCCATTGGTCGAGCTGGGGTTACTTTGATACCAGGGCTTGGAGTGAAGAGGACTCTTTGCTCGTGAAGATATTGAGAAATGCTGGGGCGGTTTTCTATGTCAAGACGAATCAGCCGCAGGGAATTATGCATTTGGAGAGTGATGGATGGGTGGGAAGGGTGAACAATCCGCATAACGTGAATCTTTCGTCGGGAGGATCGACGGGAGGGGAGAGCGCATTGCTGGCAATGAAGGGGAGCGTGCTGGGCTTAGGGACTGGTAAGTTCATCTACCACTCTAAAGCATTCATTCGATGCGTTTCCTGCTGATAATGAGACGTGCAAAGACATTGGTGGCTCGATTCGTGGCCCGTCAGCCTTCTGCGGTGTCTTCGGATATAAGCCAACTTCCTACACCGTCACGATGAAAGACATGATACCCATCGGCTTCCCAGCAGAACTCAACGTCCTCTGCTCTATTGGGCCCATGTCGCGCACTCTCCGCGACGTCGAACTCTTCATGCAGATCGTTGTGGGCAGTAAGCAATACCTACACGACCCACGCATCATTCCCTTCCCATGGACCGGGCTGTCGACTCCACGACCCAACCAACCCATCAAGATCGGTATCATGCTCAACGATGGAGTCATCACACCTCAGCCTCCTGTCCTTCGAGCTCTGGAATGGGCTCAGGATCGACTAAGCCAAGACTCGAACTTCATCCTCAAACCTTTCAAGCCTTACCGTGCGGACCTTGCTATGAAGTATATCGGCGAGATGTACTGGCCTGACGCAGGTATCAACACGAAAGTTGCTCTCAAGAAGACTGGAGAGCCGATGCACCCTTTGACCAAGACGGTGCTTTCTCCAATGACAACGGACTTCGTCGACACTGAAGGTCCGGAAAAAGAGCAGACTGCAACTGAAATCACGCTGCAACGTGTCAGACGTGATGATTTCAGATGTGAATTTGTGGAGAGCTGGAATGAACAGGATGTTGATGTCGTCCTCGCACCCTGTTTCGTTGGGCCAGCCAGTAAGCATGATACCGCATTTTATTGGAATTATACTGCACTGTGGAACTTCGTGGATTATCCAGGAATTGTTGTTCCTACGCCTGTGAAAGTGGAAGGAAATGAAAAGTATACTAGCGATTGGAAGGCGCTGAGTGAGAAGGATGCCCAAGTGAGACAACTGTGGGAAGAGGGAGGCTTTGAGAACGCGCCGATCAATCTGCAAGTTATTGGAAGGAGGTACCATGATAATCAATTGATTGGTATTGTTGGAGAGTTGGGGAAGGTTTTGGGCTTCGCATGAGAGGACGCTTGGGAAATGGAATTCTTGGGCTTGAGGCGGTGGTCGTCGCTACTGTGAGAAAATCAGGGAGAGACAGGTTGTATGTGATGTTGACGGAGGCTTGGAGCCATGGCAATTATGGTGATCTATTTGTATTTCTGTGGATAGCCAGGCGTGAAACGCGGCGCCTTGTGATACTCCGGCTTCCTGTAAAACAGCCCTTCTTGTTGCGACTTCCGCAAGATCATCAAGTACATAGTGTCGATACTGACCGTTTCAAAGTGATCAACGATCTGAACTTCACCTCACCTTTCAAGCCACAACGTCAAATCAGCGACTCGAAATGTACTCCGCTCTTGCATTTGCGTTTGCCGCGCTGGCTGCTGCCACTCCAGCTCCACAAAAAGGCAGCAGTCCAGAAGATCCTCTTCGTGTCACCGCGACAGCACTGGAGGCTGGCAGTCAAGGCGATGGACAGAGCATCAATGCCGACCTTGGAAGTTTCTACATTGGCGGCAGGCCCACGGGTACACTTTCACCACCAGCCGGCGATACAAATGAGTACGCCACGAAGAATACCATCTTCACGTATGTCAACTCCCAAGGTGGACTGGGTCTCTCGGTCGCGGTTCCTGGCGGGCAGCAAGTGTATGTCGACAGCGGTGACGAGGCCAATGGATATCTCGCTGGTGGTCTGAAGTACACTGAAGCCGAGACAAACAAGACTCTTGGTGGCGTGCCTCTGTTTGAAGGCTTCGTCAACTACTACGATGGAATTATGAAGTTCGAAGGCCAAGACTGGATTGCTTGCCCGGTGGACTTCAAGGGACAAGTGCTTGCTGTCTGGGCCGCTTCACGCATCTCACCAAACAAGGACCGCAATGGTTGTGTGGACTTTCAATTCAAGATTCATGAGCCTGTCGATGGGCCTCAGCTGGCTTGGGCGTACAAGTTCAATCCTGGGCCGTAGAAGATGTGCCCGAATGAGGTGTTGAGGGAAGATGAACTTGGGAGGGCTCTGGAGCACATCCGCCGACTGCGTTTTCGATCTGTGCGTCTGGTTCCGCCCAAGCATGTGAGATACAATCCTAATAGTGTTGCAGGTAGTGCAGGTCAAAGAACCACAGCAACTTCCAGATCATTTCGCGACGCTATTTCCGTAAAACGTTATCTTCCGCCTGTCTGGTTTTTCTGGTGAGCCTCAAATCTTCATCAATTAAGGGTCATTGTGAGGAGTGATTTGGTTCTTCTTCTTACCACTACTAAGCACTGCCAAAGACTTGACATTGAATTGGAAGCATCAATCTGTTCTATCGCTATCTGACCGCATCCAACAACTCAGGTTCGAGGTTTTCTAGAACCAGCCTGAAGCTTGCCAGCTAAGCGTCTTCCTTTTACTAAGGCCTATATGGTGGACGTCTGGCAAATAGCGAATGCGGCTCGGGTCATTTTCTTCCTTATCTTCGGCTGTCTCGATCAACAATCTAAAGCGACCACTTTCTGCTCGAGAGCTACCGTGCGATAGTCTTGGACTGTATCTGACATCCTCTGCTGGCGAATGTCGCCCATCGGGACATGAAACGCAAGGAATTCATCACGCAAATACAGCACAACACATGCAAAGGTCTGGTCAGACTCTCTCACTGCCCACAGACACAGATGCGCGACCTCTCAGCTGTATTCCATATCTGCTCTCGCTGCGGCTAGCTCGAAATGCTTGCATGTCTGTAACGAATCGTCCTGTGTAGCCTCCACAACCTCTCGCCTACTTTTGAAGAAAACTTGGTATGCTAAGACCTCGGGCCTGGACTCCTTTCAAGATCTCGTTTTGATCGATGACGAACCTCACCTGTCGTACGAGAAGCCCATGATGCTTCGCATTCGCGTCCTTCACCAAATCCAATTGCTTCCGTCAGGAGCAGAGACTTTGGTTGGATTGAGAGCCGACACAGCAAGAAGGTTGCCGCACATCATGGCATGCGTCATGACTTTGTATCCGTCTTTGGTCTCAACCACGATGGCCGACACGGGCACATGTCGGTGATCTGTGAGAAGCTTGTCGTACACCTGCTTGGCGTTGTTGAAGCTCTCTTGTGCATTGCCTTTGCCACGGGACCCATCGGGCTGCACGACACTAAAGTCCTCGGTGATCCATTCCATGATGGTGCGGTGGTCTCTGCTATCGAAGATCTTGGTTGCCTTCGAGTCGTTTAGTATAGCTACGCTCCCTGCTGTCAGACCTCTTACTTCTTCGCCAAATGCCATCGCTGGATGCTCCCGCGTGGCCTCCCCGAAATCTCCGTCAGCCACAAAGGCATTGGTTGTGTAGGATGACATGATGTTCAGGAGCTTGAAATACGCTTGGTGAAAAGTGTACAGCAGTCTCGTGTATTCACTGTGATGCAAATGTGTCAGGCAATGCAAGAGCTTCTATTTAAGTGCCCGCAAGTGGAGTCTCGGTTGTGGCTAAGGATCGAGCAGCTATAGCTCTTTGCATGCAGCATATGATGCATGACGCCATTTAGAGAAGTAACTCGCGGTCTGCAAGCTCCTGAAAGGGCGGCCGTATTCCAGCCTGCAGAGTGCATCCCCTCTCAAGCTTCATGACAGGCCAAAGCGTTTTTGTTCTGTGGGAGATCGTCTTGGCCGCTTTGCGACTGCAGCGCATTGTCCCATCCCGGCACCAATCAATCAGCAATGGCTTCTACGGGATATCCAACGTTCTTCGAAGACAAAATAGTCTTCCTCACTGGCGCCACAGGCAATCTGGGATCATGTACTTTACACAAGCTCATCACGCAACTTCGCGTCCGATACGTGTATGCATTTGTGCGAGGCTCAAAGCACCAAGCTCTGGACAAGTTGAAGCGAAAATTGGCACACAAGGCCACGTTTATCACAGATAGTGGCAAGGTGCAGTTCATCGTTGGCGATATACGCCTCCCAAGCTGGGGAATGCGCTCCGACGAGCTGAGATTACTGCAGAACGAGGTCAGCATCGTCGTCCATACAGCGGCTAATCTGTCCCTTTTCGATCCAATCGCCGAGTGTATGAAGAACAATTGTGGTCCGGTCCTCGAACTAGCGCGTATGGCTGCAACGTTCGAAAAGATACAAAAGTTCGTTTTCGTATCCTCGGTCTACGTCAACTCTTTCCTTCCCGATGGCCTGGTCAGAGAGAAGTTGTATCCTCTCGAAGACTCTACGGGCGAAGAGATTGATCCAGAGCTGGAGCATGAAGAGATCAGTCGCACAGGGTCGTCCCGGTTTACCAAACACTTTCCCTGGCCGTATGCGCTGTCCAAGTACCTGGCGGAGAGACTGCTACTAACCAGATTCTCATCGTCACCCATGTTGATTGTTCGATCCAGCACGATTGGGCCCGCATTTAATACGCCATATCCTCTCTTTGGCGACGAGGAATCATATCCCATTCAACACGTCGGCAAAATCTACATGCGAAATCCCGATGCCAGCAATGTATGGCATGCACCTGCAAACTCTTCCTCGGGAACCAACGTTCTCGATGAATTGCCTGTCGACTGGGCATCTAATGTCCTACTGCTGCACATCGCAAAGGGAACCCATGGAATCGTCCACGCATCCGCCGGCACCTACATCAAACAGACCTCGAACGACGCACTCATGAACATATCGCACTCTGGTATAACCGGCATCAACAAAGCAATCCAATGGATCGCAGCGGAAAGCGGACCGCAATGTACATTGGCCAATTTGTTCGTCATCGGCAATCGTGACTGGGACTTTAGCTGCGCAAAATCGGCGTCTTTCAAAGACATCGACGGTCCGCTAAGCACTCGCGTTACGCAGGAGCAAGCTCGAGCTTTCAATGATCGTCGCTACTCGGCTCTTCTTGAGCAGATCCGATCGGAGTCTATGAATTGAATGGTCTGTAAATAGTGACAGTGTCGTGTCAAATGCACACAGTCTCTTCGATCGCTGATCTGTGTTGCGACATGACGACGCGCTACGGCGCTTGTGAGCCAATGAATATCGTTTCACGAGAGCGATATCATTGTAAACTCGCGAGACCTATGTCCATACTTTGGACTTGCGTTGAGCACTTTGTTTATGCACGTCGAGCTGTAGCTGTAGCTCTCGCATTAGGAAGTCGCAAGATACGTAAAGGGCTAGTATTGGACGATCACAGCTAGCTTAGCCTAGCCGCATCTGGCCCCTGCAGCATAGCTTGCTCGTGGTATGGAGTGCAGCGTGGGGCTCAAATGACGCTTTGAGAGCACTGTGATTCTCGACAGAGCTGATGGGGAATTTCGAGAAAAGTCAGCAAGAGTTTTCTACGTAAATATAGACAGCCTCGGCCGACTCATGCGAGTCTCAGCAGCGTTGGAGTGAGCATTTGCACATTATATGTTGACTTCATTCAACGCGTTTGCTCAATCTGTCTGATCCCATAGATCGCAGAGATGGGCCAGGTAGATCAAGAAAAACCACCACCTGGTGCGCTGGAGCCCATCGCCATATGCGGCTTGTCCATGAGGCTTCCCGGTGCCGTGAGAGGAGCTGAAGCATTCTGGAGAGCCTTGGTCGAGCAACGAGAATTGAAGTGCGTTGTGCCAGAAGACAGGTTCAATGTTAAGGCTTTTTTCAGCCCACAGGGAAAGCCAGGAACAATCATCTCACCGGAAGCTTTCTATCTCAGTGATGCAGAACTTGGCCATCTGGACACATCAATGATTCCGATAGCAGCTCACGAATTGCGGCACATTGATCCTCAGCAGCGTATGCTTCTGGAAATCACACGAGAATGTCTCGAAAATGCGGGCGAGACAAATTGGCGAGGGAAGCGGGTGGGCTGTTACGTGGGCACGTTTGGCGAGGACTGGATTGACATTGGAGCTAAAGATACTTTGGACGCCAGCATGTATCGTGCCGCTGGTTCATCGGATTTCGCTCTAAGCAATCGGCTGTCATACGAGTATGACTTTCGTGGACCGAGCATGACGATCAAGACCGGCTGTTCTGCTGCCATGATGGGACTGAATGAAGCATGCTGGGCCATCAACTCCCGTCAGTGCGACGCTGCTATCGTTGCAGGGTCAAACTTGATCTTGAGTCCCACAATGACAATATCGATGGGCGCGGCAGCCTTGTCTCCCACCGGGTCATGCAAAACATTCGATGCCAATGCTGACGGCTACGCGCGTGGCGAGGCAGTCAATGCTATATACATCAAGAGACTCTCGGACGCGCTCGCTGACGGCAATGCTGTTCGCGCAGTCATTAGAGGAATTGGTGTCAACTCAGACGGTCAGACGTCAAGAACACTCACGCCCAGTTTAGTTTGTCAAGAGAACTTGATCCGACAGGTCTATACACAAGCAGGCCTTCCGTTCCACAAGACGGCATTTTTTGAATGTCACGGTACTGGAACACGAGTTGGAGACCCCATAGAGACCGGAGCTGTTGACAACATCTTTGGGAATGCTGGTATTCACATTGGCGCCGTGAAGCCTAACTTCGGGCACAGCGAAGGTGCTTCGGCAATCACAAGTATTATAAAAGCTGTTCTTTCCTTAGAGAAAAGACTCATTCCCCCGAACATGAGATTTGTGAATCCCAATCCCGCGATAAATTGGGGCGAAGGCCGCTTGATGGTGCCCACTGCCGTTACTGCATGGCCAGAAGACCGAGCCGACAGAGTGAGCGTCAACTCATTCGGGATAGGAGGAGCCAATGGCCATGTCATTCTAGAATCCGCTAGGATGTGGACGACCAGTACCCCTGTTGAAAGTGTAGAACCACTTGCAGGTCCAACACATCTACTGCTTCTCTCCGCTGCGCACGAGAAATCACTGGCAGATCTGAAAAAGTCATACGAGTCTATGCTATTGAAAAGACCGTTAGTATTGCACAACATCGCTCACACTTTGTCGGCGCGTCGACAGCATCATCAATATCGAACATTCTGCGTCGCTACCGAACAATCTGATAACGTGAGCTTTTACTCTACGGCACGCGCCTCAAAAAGGTCTCAGCTGGTATTTGTATTCAGCGGACAAGGCAACTTGTACCCTGGAGTAGCAAGAGAGCTCGTGCAAGCCAACATGATATTTCGCAAAACATTGAGACGCTTAGACGACGTCCTGGACAATTTGCCGAGCTGTGCCTTCTCAATGCAGGAGGAACTGGCACGTGAGAAAGAAGCAAGCCGGGTGCAAGAGGCAATTATTTCGCAGCCGTTGAGCACAGCGTTGCAGATATGCCTCTGTAATGCGCTGGAAGCAGTTGGGGTACGGCCCGATGTCGTTCTTGGCCATTCTAGTGGAGAGATTGCGGCTGCTTATGCTGCTGGAGCATTGACAGAGACTGAGGCTATCAAGGCAGCATTCTTCCGCGGACAGGCAATTCACGCCGACTCTAGTCATGGTGCTATGCTCTCCGTGGGCCTAGGTCGTGATGTTGTTGAGAAGCTACCTCTGCATGGCGCTACTCTAGCCTGTGATAACAGTCCCTCAAGCGTCACTTTATCAGGCCAAAGTGAAAGTATCGATGCAATAGAGGAAAAAATCGAAGAACGATACCCTAATGCCCATGTCAAAAGGCTCCAGGTGAAAAAGGCATATCATTCTTGTCACATGAATGCTGCAGGTCAAGCATACGCCCAGATGCTGGCCGACCACATCAATCCAGCGCGACCTAAAATCCCTTTCTACTCTGCTCTGCTCGGACGTGCACTGCATGCATCGGAACAGCTCGATGTCGACTACTGGAGACGTCACCTTGAATCTCCAGTACTATTTCGGACTGCATCGGAGGAGATTGCTTTCAACATAAAGCAGGACTTCATATTTGCTGAGATTGGACCTCACCCGACACTAACTAGCTCGCTGCTACAGACTTGTGCTGAGCGAAGAGTATCGGACGTGTCCCATGTCTTCTTCTTGCGTCGATCTACCAACGCTACGCATAGCTTCTTGGAAGCCTTGGGCAGATTGTATCAGTTTGGTGCTTCTCTGGATTATCAAACACTCGTCCCTTACGGGCAGACCTTGACAGATCTGCCAAACTATCCTTGGAAGCATGATAAAATACTCTGGAATGAGACTCGCTTGAGTCGCGCATGGAGATTCCGCGAGTATCCACGACACGACCTTCTTGGCGTTCGCACCGGAGAAAGCTCAGGTATAGAGCCATCGTGGCGGAATGTGCTTCGATTGGACGATGTTGGCTGGATAAGTCATCACCAAGTTGGACCAGACGTCGTTCTACCTTTCACTGCCTACTGCGCCATGGCAGGTGAAGCTATTCAGCAGGTCAACAGCGCCCGCGGCCCATTCACTCTGCGTCGTGTACGTGTAGGCGCAGCCTTGACCATCAAGCAGAGTGACGCAGGCGAGGTGATCACTACATTTCGACCTGTTAGGTTGACCGACATGGTCGACTCAGCTTGGTTCGAGTTTACGGTCTCTTCATTTGACGGGTCGCAGTGGATCAAGCACTGTGACGGGTCGGTGAGACCAGAAGCCGGATCTCGGCCAAATGACAAATGGCAAACGAATAGTCTGGCCAGAACAGTTGAGGTAGAGGAATGGTACCATGCGCTATCTTCTGTCGGCCTCAATTATAGCTCTGAGTTTCGGAGACTACGAGCAGTCACAGCCGACGTTGAAGAATTGAAGGCTGCTGCGACAATCAAGCATAACAGAAGTCTTACAGACTCCCACTACCAACTGCACCCCGCGACTCTTGACTCTGCTGTACAGTTGATCGGTGTAGCAGCATCCAGGGGCCTAGCACGAAATGTTCAGCATCTCTTTGTTCCTGTAGCTGTTGAAGAGATGTACATCAACGACAGTGACAAAGTTCTCACGGCGAGAGCTGAGGCAATGGTCAGTGCAAGAGGAATTGTGACGGGCGACGTCTGGGCCCAGTCTGGGACTGATTTCAGTCTACACGTCAAAGGCTTGACTCTATATCCCCTTGAAGGTATGGAACGTTCAGCTGACGCCCATGCTGCAGCGGAGCTCGCGTGGGCGCCAGATTTGAGTATTTCGTGCGGACCGGCAGCTTTCGAGCACTCAAGATCCATACTTCCCGAATCAGCGAAGACTATTCGGGTACTCCGGGACACCCTGAGCTCGCTTGCCCATGTCAATCCACTCTGTTCAGTGTTGGAACTGAGTACTGGTAACAATGACATAAGTCAAGCTATATTGCAAGCACTAAAAGATCCGTTCGCGAAGAAACGATGCTCGAGCCATACGGTGACCTATAAAGATGAGAATACCCCGTTGCTGGCTGAGCATGAAGCTGACGAAGTCGTAAGTACAAAGCACACCGCCTTCGACCTCTTCCAGGGCGTAGCACTGCAAGAGATCTCATTCCAATCTCACGACCTCACTGTGGTGAGCGACATCGCTCTACTGATGCAACACGATCCTCACAAGGCCCTGAAGATATTGAGCCAAGTTCTGCGTCCAGGAGGAACATTGGTCGTGCATGGAGACCTTTCCATCTGCTCAGATCCGGTCAAGCTGGAAGATGCAATGGCTCAGGCTGGCTTTATTAATACGAAGAAGCAAGACGACAGTACTCTCATTGCGATGACACCTATCACGCATTCGATCTCCATCAGCGCTGCCGTAACAATACTTTGCAAATTCAAGGACGGCTCCGAACTGGACGGTCTGCGAGCGTTGTTTCTGCGAAATGGTGTACATACAAACGTTGCCACTCTCGATGAGCTAGCCAGATCGCCGCGACCTGAACATGTCGTGATTTCATTGATTGATCATCAAGGTGGACCTGTGCTGTCCGACATGACTCAAGAGATTTGGTCGCTTTTGAAGACGGTCTTACAATCCCAGAGCTTGGCTATCCTCTGGCTCACGAAACCGGAACCGAGCTACTCCATGATTCAGGGGTTTGCTCGCACCGTGCGAACAGAGTCTCAGCTGCCTTTTTGTACCCTTGAGTCTTCTTCAATGCCTGAGGCTGGCGCTCAAGATGCCGTCTGGAGGGTCTTCTGCAAGTTCTCTGATTTCGTTCAAAATGACGAGCACCACCGTGGGGCGAAACCAGACACCCTTGACCCAGATTTTGAATATCGGTATCGCGATGGCAAGATTGAAGTTCCACGATTTCGTTGGAGGAGTCTCAAGAATGAACTTCTAGGTAACACTTCTGGAACCCAGGAAATTGAAGAAGTTGATGCTAATGTGCATCGCCCCAAACCATCAGCACGTTTGCGAATAGGCACCGTCGGCCGTCTGGACTCTGTCCGCTGGGAGAATCGGACCCCTGGGCCCTTGCTTAACGACTATGTCGAGATCGAGATCAAAGCTGTTGGCGTCAACTTCAAGGACGTCCTGGTCGGCCTAGGCATCGTCAGCGCTACAGATAATGCCCTCGGGATTGAAGGCGCTGGCGTCATCACTCAAGTGGGAAAAGACGTTGATCACCTTAGTGTCGGTGATCGAGTCATGTTTTGCGGAAGGGACACATTCGCGAATTCTATTAGAGGGCCGGCATATCTCTGTGCTGAGATACCGGACGAGATGGGATTCAGAGAGGCGGCCACGATGCCATGCGTATTTCTCACCGTGATCTATGCACTGACAGATCTTGGAAGACTTTCACGAAATGATGTAAGTACCGTAATTTTGATGGAGCTGAATTTGCATCAACCTAACACTGGCCTACAGTCCATCTTGATACACTCGGCATGTGGTGGTGTAGGTCTTGCTGCCATCCAGCTCGCGAACCTGCTAGGTGCCGAGATCTTCGTTACCGTGGGCAATGAGGAGAAGGCGGATCACCTTATACAAAGCTGTGGCATTCCTCGCAACCATATCTTTTCGTCACGCAACACATCCTTCCTAGCCCAGCTCATGCACCAGACAGGTGGCCGCGGAGTTGACGTAGTGCTGAATTCTTTGTCAGGAGAGCTTCTGCACGCATCTTGGAGATGCGTGGCTAGGTTTGGAAGAATGATTGAGATTGGCAAGAGAGACCTCCTCGGTCGGGGCAAACTAGACATGGATCTCTTCGAAGCGAACAGGACATATGTCGGACTCTCGCTCGAGGAAATTCTTGCTGATAGACCGAAGGTCACGAAGAGGTGAAGGTCGTGTGCTCCCGCCAAATGCAAGTGCTAACGGTTCCCCACAGACTATTTTCACAGCTGGTCGACATGCTCAAAAAAGGTCTGATTAAGCACATCTCGCCTATTACCGCCTTTGAACCCACTGCAGCCGAGGAATGTCTCAGTTACATGCAGAAAGGACAACATATCGGTAAGATTGTGATGGACATACCCGAAAACGTTCACAAGCTCGGTGTCAACGTGGGTCGCAAGCAAGTCAATATCAGCCCTGACGCTTCATACTTGCTAGTAGGAGGGCTTGGAGGGCTTGGCCGTGCTATCGCGCGATGGATGGTCGAGCATGGTGCCAAGCACTTGATCTTGTTTTCTCGTACTGCTGGATCCAAACCAGAGCACACTCTGTTCTTAGACGAAATGCGGGCCATGGGCGCTGTATGCCGGACAATTGCTGGAGATGTTACTCGCAGAGCAGACGTTAAAGCAGCCATTGACGCTGCAGTAATGCCAATCAAGGGCGTAATGCAGGCTACGATGGTCCTCAAGGTAAGCAGGTCTAATAGATAGATAGATAACTCTTATACGCTGGTCTACCTCTTTTAACTAGAGTAAGCAGCACGCCCTATATTTTTCGTAGGNGGAAAAGCCCTCGTGCTAGCACTCCGGCAGAAAAACCCCCTCGTGTCTTTATGTTTTGCAGCAAGCTCTGCATAGCCTGCCGCTTCCGTAGTTTCTAGTTCTCCTTAGGACAATTTGTGTTGTCTTGATAGTTTATTAGATCCTTTGCAATACAGTTTTCCTTGGTTGTTTCTTGTGTTACTATATACTTGGGAGCCCGATCCTCTTGCCTGCTAGCTTAGGGACTCTAGCCTATGCATATAGTCTTTGTCCCTATGCTAGTATCTGTGTTAATCCTGTGTCTAACTCTTTCTTACTAGTTCCTAGGGTAGGTGTCTCCCTACACAAATCCTACTTAGATTTCAACCTTCCTTGGCACCTAGTTATATAACCTATATCTAGAGAAATTCCAGTTTTTGCAGAATGTCCAGAACAGCAGTAGGTGTCTTTGTAGGCAGCTCTAAGTACAGTATAGAGTTAGATAGCTTGTGTTAGATGCTCTGCCTTTAGACTTGAGGTTTCTGGAGGGCTCTAGGGTAGGGGACTAGTCTGCCCTAGAGTCTCCTGTTTAGACAAAAGGCTCCTAGTAGCCAATTGTCCTAGTATCCGTAGGGGTACTGCTGTTCCTTTCTTCTGTTTCTGCTGTCCTTGCTCTTTCTTATTAAAGCCTTCCCTTAGGTATACTCAGTTCCTCCTCTTTAGCCTGTTCAGAGCCTGGGTTACTACTCCAGCCTCCAGACCTATAGTAGCATTTACTACCTAGAAGGGCTGTCCCGTAGTCGAGTATTAGAATCTTGTAGTAGTTGTGCCGCGCTGGCGTCGTCTTCGTGTTCTCAGGAGCTCTCCAGTCTCCCTAGGTCGAAATTCTGGACTTTTTGTCGCCTTCTTCCTGCCTCTGCAGGTGCCCAGCCGCCCTGCACTTTGCCAGCATAGCCGAAGCTATCTGTTTCTACCTGCGACCGCGTGGAGGTGTGCAATGGGACTTCGCAGGCAAGCAGGTCTAATAACAACCCATTGTTTGGAAGCCATGCTGACTCATTCATTCGATCAACAGGACAAAGCGTTCGTTGACATGTCATTTGACGAATGGGCTGAAGCCGTGCAGCCGAAGGTGCGCGGCACATGGAATCTTCACGATGCTCTGCTCGGCGCAGACCTGGATTTCTTCGTAATACTAGGCTCGCTCTCAGGAATCGTGGGCCAGCATGGACAGGCTAACTATAATGCGGCAAACGCCTTCGCGAACGCCTTCGTGCCATATCGCCACAGTCTATCGCTCGCAGGATCTATCGTGAATCTATCAGCTGTACGCGACATTGGTATACTCAGTAGGCAGCCACTGCTTCTCGCCGGACTGCAAAAGGCAGGGGCACATCTCCTAAGCGAGCGCGAAGTCCTGGATGCGGTGCATTGGGCAATACTGAACTCGAAACCATGGCTTCTTAAGTCGGTCTCATCAATACACTCGCGTGAGCCAGGGTGCTTGAGTCTTGGATTGCGCTCTGGCATACCACTGGCAGACTTGGATGAGCAGCATCCGTGGAAACGAGACCGGCGAACAATCATGTACCAGCTGAGCTCTTATGCGACAGCGTCAGACGCATTGCCCAAGTCTGAAGCAGCCCAAAGCGCTTCAGCCAGACTATTGGAAACGGTCCAGCGAATTCATGCAGATCCAGAGAAAGAGCTGTCAGATCCTGCGACTGCCATAGTCTTGGCAGAAGAAATCGGCAAGAAGGCGTTCAGTATGCTTCTAAAGCCAGATGAGGAGGTCAACATCCAGACACCCCTATTATCTGTTGGCTTAGACTCTCTCATGGCGATGCAATTAAGGCAGTGGTGGAGAGAAGTCTTCCGTGTCGAAGTCAATGTCATGCAAGTGGCCAATGCGAAGACATTTGAGGGTCTCGGCCAGCTCGCGGTGGCATCTTTGCGGAAAAGGCTCATCAATATCGAGTAACAGGTACTTCGATGAGCTGCTAAGAGCGGTGTCGCGGAGCGCAGCTAACGTTATTACTGTATGGCTAATTGCTGCCACACTCTTCGAAATCCCCCTCTGTGCATTCCTACAGAAAGTGGTAGGTCATGGATAATGAAGATGAATCGTGGGTTCATAAGAATTTCAACTCGCACCGTATCTCAATTCGGAGGAGTAGTGATCTTTATAGTGCTGTTTGCCGCTATCACACGGATACCGATCCAAACGCTTGTGAAGGTCTCTGAGAACAATGCGCCTTTTCTTGCATGGAGAGCTTTGTGCGGCCTCAATTTTGCTGTTTGAGACTCCATTCCAAGCTTCGACGACATAGAATTTCGTACCGTGATGACGAAGACCCGATAAACAAAGATTTGAGACACCCATTAGGAGAAGCGAGCTGCCAAGTCTATGTGACTGTGGGATGTTATTGGACCCTCCAAGCTATAGATTCGCGGCACGAACCATTATCGAGGAGTTCCGAGATCGATTGCAGCAATGTCGATTGTCATCAATTCGCGCTATATTCGCCTCCACGCTGATCTTTCCGCCCGACGAAACCTTCCTGGCCAGTCCCACGTCAGACCTACGTTCTACATGCGTCCATCATTTCCCGACGTGGACATTGCAGACTCTCGACGTGGAAAATGCAGTCTTGATTTCGACATGACCGAAGTAGACCCCAAACTTCAGCAACAATCAAGGACTACTTAACTCTCGCACGACCAGCACCGAAATCAGTGACAAGACAACCTCCCCATCTGTCGGACTGTTCAAAGTCACCAGCGGATAAGAGAGCATGTCGACCACGACGATTGCGGACAAGATCGAGGCTTTCGCCCGGGAACCTACCGAGCGCGTTTTCTGCTCCTTGGTGCTGGAGGATGCCTCCGTTCAAGACATCACTTATAGTCATTTTCTGAACATCATCAACAAAGCGGCAACCTGGCTGGACGAAAGCCTGCCACGTCCTACTTCGGCGTCGGACTTTCCAACCTTTTCATATGTAGGCGACCTGAATTTGCGGCGCTTGGCGCTCGTGGTTGCTGGCGCCAAAACAGGCCGCAAGGTATGTGGGATGCGAATGGTGGAAAGCTCCTGCTGATCGGTCTTCTTGCAGATTCTCATGGTCCGCCGGTATGCCCTGCGAGATACGATCGCGCACCTGATCACTGAGACCAAGTGTACAACTTTCTGTATGAGCCTTCCGATAGTGACGCTATGGAATCCCAGGTTGGCGATCAGAACGCAATCCGTTTGACACTGCCAGCCTGGGACACGTGGTTTTGTAACGCAACAACGACGGCATACAGATCAGCTGAGCCGAGAGAGCGAAGCCCGGACGACCCTGTCTGTATCTTTCACACGTCAGGCAGCACGGGTAGATTGGCGATAGTCTCTCACCTACTCATGCGGTGCTGACAGTTCTGTAATAGGTAACCCCAAGCCGATTGTGTGGACTGAGCGCCGGATATCCTGTTACACTTCCGTGGAGTATTTACGTGACGTGTTCAAGTCTCAAGGAGCCAGAATGGTCTCCACATTTCCACTGATTCATGTATGTGTTAGCACAAGCGAAACAAGACTCTTGCAGGCTGGGAGACACGAATTTATGCTCGATGCTGACGTGTTGACTAGGTGGGCGGTACGATGACTGCGTTATTCTGGCCTCTGTATCTCGGTAGCGTAGCGACTCTGCTGGAGACAGGAGTTCCGAGCAGTCCAGACGATGTCTTTAGGATGTTGCAGCTATCCAGAGCGACTCTACTCGCAGCACAGCCGTCGTTGCTCACCAGCATAGCGAGTTCAGTCGATATGGTCTCGAGGATAAATGGACTTTCCCGTATTTTGACCGGCTCCGCTCCCTTGAGCACTGCTGTGATAGATCGACTGCAAGAGGGCAATGGCCCAACTATACTCAACCTTTATGGGTCCACCGAAACACTTCCTCTTTGCCAGAGATTCGATGATCAAGATGATTGGCCGTACATCTCATTCAAGGAGGACTCGGGAGTTTCATTTCGGCGCGAGACGGATGATCTCTACGAATTGATCCTGAAGAAGACTGCAAGCGAGCAGGTGTTGAGCGTATTCTGCTCCTTGCCAGAGCTAGACACATTCGAGTCCAAGGATCTATTTTCACCCCATCCACAGAAATCGGGGCTTTGGCGATTTGTCTGTCGCAAGGATGACCTGGTATCGCTCGCTGGCGGACAGGGGATCAATGTTGGCGACATGGAGATGAGAATCCAGGAGTCTCCCTTAGTCGATACCGCTATCATAGGGATGGACGGCCGCCCAGCCACCATGCTCCTCGTCGTACCTGAGCAGCAGCCCGTGAATGATCAGGAGCGCGCTTCTGTTCAAGACGCTATCTGGCCGTTTGTGGAAAGGGCCAATGAGCATGCTCACCCGTATGCTGCAGTTCAGAAGAACATGGTCCTTGTTCTCCAAACAAGAGAGAAGCTCTCAGCTACTACAGATAAGGGATCGTTGAAGAGGCAGTCCGTAATCGAGCAGTACAAGGCTGATATCGATCGTGTCTACTCTGCGGCCAGGTCTAGTTCTTGATACATCTTGTCTCGGGATAGAGAAAGTGCCGGCCATAGCGTTAGAGCTAAGAGTTAATAGCAAGATCACTATAACGGAGTTGCTATAATCAGCCAACACTGTCTACCACTGATTAGCTCCATACAACTTTAGAACGCAGTTTGAGTTCGGTTAGGGCCTTATCGTCTTTTTGGTTTGGGAGATCGCAGGACCCATTTGTAGTTAGCGTTTTTATCGCAATGCTAAAGCTAAGCCAAAAGAGGAGACCTCCTGCCCGATGTTTTGTAGCGTTATTAGGTTAGAGGAGGTTCCGTCCAGTCGCGTACTTCTCCAGCTACGGCTTGTTCTGCCGAATGTCGGCCAGTGCATTATGACGGGAAGCAGAGTTTACCTATCATTACTACTTCCGCTAATACAGTGTGATGGCAGAATCTTCGTTGGCCTTTTTCCTTAGCGGCCGTAGATACAACAGAATCAGCCGCTTGCTTTCGACTTCCCGCTCACCAGGACCTCGGTGCAGCTCTCGTCTATTGGTGAATCATACGTCGATCCGATGCGATATAAGAAGCTGCCGACTCAGCGGCTGCAGATCGTAGGTCGATTCCGATCGAGGAGTTTGGGCCACACGATGATCAGACTGGACTTGTTCCACCACCAAGTGCAGGACGATCAGAAAGTAAAGGTCTTGTGATAATTTGACATTGACACCTCGCCAGGAAATCGAAGTCCTGCTCCGTCTGGACCCGAATAGATTTAACACACAAAATGCGGCATTGCAAGAGGATGCCACTTAGCCCAGGAGTGTCCCGACGTGCTGACTACTTACCAGCTACACACGCGCAGGATGGAAAGACGAATTTGATAACGTGGGAGACAGACCATGATCCGCAGAATCCCAAGAACTGGTCCACAAACCGCAAATGGTGGACGACCATCGTCGTATCCTAATTCGCATTCGTCAGCCCGGTTGCATCAACCATGATCGCTCCTGCCTTGGAGTCCATTTCGACGGAGTTTGGCGTAGAGGAAGCCGTCAGAAGCCAATTGATGCTCAGTGTTTTTGTCCTAGCATATGCATTCGGACCTCTACTATTTGCGCCGCTCAGCGAGCTATATGGACGACGAATCGTGCTACAGCTTGGCAATATCTTCTCCTTCGCTTTCAATCTGGGATGTGGCTTCGCTCAGAATTCCAATCAGATGTAAGTAGAGCTCGCTGTCTATTTGCTTTCGATCATTACTGAATTGCGAGATAGGATTGTTTGCCATTTCCTCGCTGGTGTTGGTGGTAGCGTGCCAGTGAGTGTCGGTGGTGGCACAGTCAGTGATATATGGCATCCTCACCAGAGAGGTCAAGCAGTTGCAATATACTCCTTCATGCCACTGTTTGGACCTGCTGTCGGTACGTGTGCCCGCTGGTCAACGTCCAACCACAGATTGTTGATTCAATCTTTCCTGACTGCTACTACTGCACCTCATGTTTCGAAAACAAGACTGCAGTACACGAGAGTCCGGGCTGATAGTCATGAATAGGTCCAATTGCTGGGGCATTCATAGCCGAGCATACCACGTGGCGATGGTGCTTCTGGAGCACATCAGCGGCATGCGCCCTCATTCAAGGCATTGCATGGTTCTTTCTCCAAGAGACATACGCACCTGAGATTTTACGTCAGAAGAAACTTGTCGCGATCCGCAACACAGGAGACCTGAGCCTTCGTACTGGTCTCGAACGCAGAACCCCGATCTTTGAGTACTTCCAAACAGCGATGACAATGCCGATACGAATTTTCGTCACCCAACCGATAATACAAGTCCTCACGGTATATCTTGCATACGTTTATGGCATAGCCTACTTGCTGCTTGCCTCCTTTCCGACGCTGTGGACATCACCACAGTATTACAGCGAGTCAAACGGTATCGCAGGATTGAACTATATCTCGATTGCAGCTGGTCTCCTTGTTGCCAGCCTGGTCGCTGCGCCGCTCAATGATGTGATCTTCAGTCGATTGACTGCACGCAACAAAGGCGTCTCAATTCCCGAATTCCGGGTCCCTCTCATGATACCTGGGAGTATTATGGTTCCCCTTGGGCTCTTGTGGTAAGTCTATCAACCTCTCATGAACAAACAAGACTGACAACAGCGGGTACAAGGTACGGCTGGACTGCGGAAACCCGCATGCACTGGGTCCTGCCCAATATAGGAGTCGCAATTTTCGCATCAGGAACAGTCATTATCTCCCAATGTATCCAGACGTACATTATCGATGGCTTCGCCATCTACGCGGCATCGGCTTTAGCCACATCCACTTGTCTGCGATCGCTTTGCGGATTTGGATTTCCTCTATTCGCGCCATACTTGGAATCTGCCATTGGTTATGGGTGGAGCTCGACAATACTTGGGATTCTTGCTATAGTGGTCGGCTTCCCAGCACCACTACTCTTGTGGAGATTTGGTCCAACTCTACGTACGAAAAGACCGTCAACTGTTGCCGCTTAAGTCGGAAGTTGGGTCGAGTTGATTGCAGCGGGAGTGACTCCAAGAGGACGCAGAGTGACGCCGCGGGTCGCAAGGCAGCGCCTGACACAGGGAAAACAAGGGTTGGAATAGCCAGCACCCATCTATTGCTCAAGACGTGTTACGGTCGGCCACGGAAGCACGGCCTGGAATTTTGAATATCTGGCGTTTCGAAGCGGCGACAGTACTCGAGCTTGCCGCCACGGAAAGACAACACGTGAAGCTCATGCATGTGAAGCTGATCTGCGCGCTCTAGACCCACTTTGTGCAAACAGTGTCACCTATTGTCCAAAGCACAATAGAGGCAGAAAACTTTGTGCGCACTCGACTCGACAACCACTTCCACTTCATCACCACGTCTTCGCTCTCGCACATCCACTCACACCACATCATGGCCGCAAACTCAACCCCTGGAATCACCGACGCTGTCAAAAGCCTTTTCGGCGACGACCGCTACACCGATCTGACCATCCTATGCAGTGAACATAAATGGCGTGTCCACAAAGCAATTGTTTGCACACGTTGCGAGTTCTTCGCCAAAGCCGTCGACGATGGCTTCCAGGTGTGTTCCAGAGCACTTTTCTACAGGCGGAACTGACGAGTCTATAGGAAGCCGGTGCTGGTGTCATCGATCTCCCGAATGATCATCCAAACGCAATCGCAGCCATGTTGAGATTCTTGTACACGGACGAATACGACGACGCCGCGCACCTTCTGTCTGTGGCCAGCGAAAAGGAAGAGCATGAATGGACAATACTTCCGATGCACATTCGCGTCTACCAGATGGCCCACAAGTACGAGCTCCCCAAGCTGGCTGATCTGGCACAAGAGGAACTTGAGGTTTGCCTGAAGCACGAGGATGAGGCACAAGGCCTGTACAAGGCAATCAAGATAGTGAGTCAAGTCGCTTTTCACATTGCATGAACGCTGCTAACATGTTACAGCTTTGGGAGCAGAACGGAGAAGCCTGGCAACCATTGCGAGCATGCGTCATGGAACATTTTCTCAGACGCACAGACCTCCTGGTCGACAAAGACCGCAGCTTCCAACATTATCTCGAATCACATCCGTCGGTCGCCGCATCATTCTCGCGATCTCTCGTTGTCATGCTCGGCACATCCGGGCCGCTGCAAAAGGTTTACAAATGCCCAAAGGACGACTGCGGCGTAAAGTTCATAGTAAAATGGCGGGATCAAGATACTGAAATGGGCTGTGCAGGATGTGGACAGCGGTACTCAAAGGCGACTTGGAAGCGCTTTGAAACGTTGATGCGGGTGGAGTTTGTGTAAGGTGCTGCATACGACAAGAGACCATCCCACAGTGGCGAGAAGAATGGCCGATATTTTGAAACCTCGTGCTCTGTAACGTGCCGCTTTCGATGTTTGTCCTCGATCGCACTCAATCAAGGGTAGAGATAGCTAGTGCTCTTAATAGATCAAGAAGTCCGAAGAAAATTGCATATGCTTCGTTTCGATTTATCTCGAATATCCCGATTTGTCCTCTACAGATCTGAGATCTCTCTACGAATTAATATGTACATATAGGGGATGTTACCCGGCTTTACTAGAACATTGGAGCACCTTTTATATCGTCTTACTATTTGCTCGCCGATGTTGTAAGTTTCTCGTAGGGGACGTAGACGCTTATCGCAGGCGAGGTAGACGCTTCCCGTAGACGAGGCAGACGCTTCCCGTAGACGAGGTAGA